TTTAATAGCTGTGGGGAAGAACATTTGCTGATACAAATTGCTGCAGAATGCAAAAACAGGGATCAAATAAAGTTACATGGACTGTAAATATAATTCTGGCAAGGTGTGGAAGAAATTAGAGCACCAACAAAACAAAAGAAGCCTTTCAATAAGAGACACTTCTTAGTGTAAATTAAAATGAGTTTTGCATAATTAATGTGTTTTCACTGATTATCTGGAGATCAAGTCCATAGTAAAATGGCACAGGAAACTAATAGAGCAAGAACAAGTTAGATGTCAAGGCATTTGTCCGCTGTCCAAAATAACTTATATATTTATGCTCAAATGCTTCCTAAATCTAGGTTAAAATGTTTTGCTTCTCCTAGATCAAGCTCACTAGAAGTAATAGTTTCAAATGTTCAGTTTCTTCAGAAGAAACTCAGAGCCACTAAACCACAACCAAGCTAATTCTGACTTTCCATAAGAGCTCCTGAAATATTAGATCTGAACAGAGCTAAGGAATCTCTGAATATATGTAAGAAATAGAAAGGAAATACTACTTTTTAAACTATTGTAATTTTTTTTCAATATTTTTAGAGCTTTTTTTGTGCTTCTGTTTGTAGCTATATATGAAAACATCTAAACCATCATTAAAGCAAAAGGAAGATAGGTCTGATCAATCTCTACCCTACTCCCAGGACGTCCTGGCCTTTATGGTCACCCTAGTTTGCAATTTTGTAGGGAAGAAACCAAAAGTAATGGGTAAATCAGGGTACTGAGAATGGAAAAGAATGAGTATTTACACTGAACAGTTACAGAGATTTTAATGAAACTTTCAAAGAAATGAATACAGCCAATTAAATTTCCTTCTCCCGGGCTGCATTTTGACGATGTAAGCGCACTGCATAGATTTGTAATTGGTTAAAAGGGACAGAAAATTTCTAACAAGATATTGAAATAGAAAGTTTCTAACAAAAATAAACTCTAGCATTCCCAAGCACTGCTAAAAAAAACCCCAAACCAACACCAAACCAGAAAAAGGAAAGCAGTGCTTTGCTTTTTTGACTTGGAAGAAATATGGAAAAAAAGTGCAGTGAAGTCTAGAAAAAGAATGTCCTGAGAAGTGGGACTGACAATGAGCTTTTGACTGACTGCCCAGAGCTGTGACTCTGTCTTTTCTGTTGCTTGGCAACTCCATGTTATCACAAAGAAACTGATATTAAGTTGGAACAGGCTGGATATGGTAATTTACGTGGGAAGATACTCTTGCAGTGGGAAAACCATTTTATTTCTAGTTTCTGTCAGCGTAAGTAGGTTTCACATGATGAACTGTAGTACATCCCCTGCTGGGTGCATTTTACCTAAAAAGGTAAAGAGTGACTCTGCCTTGGAAAGAGGCTGTGCAGAAAAAAACAAAACCAAAAAACCCCCACCTTGTTATTCATTAGACCTGCTCCTAGTGTCTACTCAGGCATTTCTTCTAGTGGTAGTGACAAAAGCTTGTTTTCATATTTGTGTGGATTTAGTGCAGATTAGAGAGATGGAACTCGATCATTATCATTTATACCATCACATTCCCTAAGAACTCTTGAGATTTGCCTAAGACCTCCCTGTCTTACACAAACATCAGAAGACGATCCTCACTTTATCTGAATAGTCTTTTCTTTTACATTGGTAATAGTTAAGTGTTAAGTTTCAATTGCACTTTATTCCTTCTTTATTGAAAGGAGACACTGCATGTGCAGCTGTTACAGAATATTTTGAAGACTGTGATAGAAACTGTCATTCAAGTTCAAATTTGTCTAGTACCGTCTGGTGAGCTATATGGAGAGAATGGCAAGAGGATATATGTAAAGCAAATGATTTTGGGAAAGCTTAGAGCCATAAGAGACGTGTAATCCATAATGATATTTTTAGGTTTGGGTTTAGGTCTAAGATTTAATTAGAAAAATAGAAAGCACAGAAGATTCAGGATTTAATGCAAAGCCCTTTTTTCTTTAATGTCTGATTTACTAATAACTCTGCAGAGCTACTACCACAGTATCTCTGCATATCCATCCTGCATAATTTCTAGTAATTTAACACCATCATGCAGTCCTACAAGTAAGGAAGTACTTCAGGACTCCCTGTTCTGGCTTTGGTCAGCAAAACACTTCCTGGCTCCAGGCTTCTCTGCACTGCAGAGTTAACTTGAAATATAACTCAGTTTGTGCCCTTGGCTCAAATCCCAACCATACACAAAAACTTCTGACTTGAGTATGTTGATGCTGTTCAGCTGAAGGGATTGGCCTGGACTCTGAAGACACAGGCTTCAATTAGCATAGCTAATAGAGCTACTCACTGCTGCCTCATGGACTTGTTTTCATTGCCAAAAAAGGTGTATTTTTACTGTGGGATAATTAGCCTGATTTAACTATCCTTATTTTAAAACAAGGTCTTTATTTATTTTCTTACAGGGAAGACATTGCTTCCCTATTAACTAACTCAGTGTCCCTTTTTGCTGATACTAAGCTAACTGAAGAGGAATGAACTGTGCAATGAAGAGCCCACAATGTCCTAGGCATCAAATAGACCCAGAGACTGCAAGCAAAGTCCTTCTCTGCACTGAGCCATGGTGGGGAGGTAACTCCCTTTCTCACTTTTCAGTTGGCCAGCACAGAATGTATCAGCTTGCATCCTATCCACCAAACTAATGAGATTGTCTCCTTTTTAATTTACCACATCACATCCAATAAATCAAAAAATGCTCTGGGCTGTTATCTGACTTGGAGGGAATAATTGTATTCACTCCAGCAGCAGGCCTGGTTTAATTAAAACATAGTGTATTTCCCAATAAGGTAGTAGTGACCAATTTTATTTTGGGTGCAGCCTAAAACAACCTTACAACAGAGTGGAACAGATGAACTTTGCTCTACCTTGAAGCTTTTGATACTTTTATACTGACTTTAAAGACCTGATCATGGAGATCTGATTCCCTACACCCCCTTAACCACTAAGCAGTTAGTGAATAACTTTACCCACTGTACTGTTGTCTTCCAATCTAACTGCTGACAAATATCACCTGTTTCCTAAGCCTTGGCATTAGGGTAACATAGAGCTTGCAGGCAGACTCCCACATCTCGTGCTTATTGCATTCACAAGCACTCACTTGCTGTAGAGTGTTTTCTATGCCAGTAGCAGCATCCTCTGGCTTGTGGGTCATACTAGACTAAGGGTAGCAAAACGGTAGCACCTCCTCTGTATGCCAAAAAAAAATACCTCTATGCTTTCCATCATCTGGGGTTGGCTTTGTTTTTGATTTTAAATTGAAAGTGAACTTTAAAGAGTTTGGTCACTATGGCTTTTATTAAGAAAAAAATGCACACACTGTATAGCCATCTGTTTTCTGCATGCAGTATTTCTCACTGATGAGGAAAAATTCCTGATTTTTTAAAAATTCTTGAATTCTGGTGAACACAGAATAAATAAGGGTACAAATGTGAGACAGGTAAGAAGTAGTTAGGAGTAAGTAGCCTGAAACTTTCAGGGGTATGCTGACCAAAACAGTGGTACATTGACTACAGAAGGGAGCGAAACTCTGGGGAGAGATGCTGTGGGCAGAAACCAAGGCAAGGGCTGCCTCCTGTTGTGGCCAAGTGGAGCTCTTCAAGAGCATTGCTGGGAGCCAAGGACTGGGGAGATGCTGAGAGGCACCATTTCTATCCTGCACATTATGCCCATTAGCACCTGCAAATAGTTTCATCTCATCAGTCTCAGAGACTATATTCAAAAGAGGGTGGGAGAAAAAGTTTTAGCAAGAAGAGAACCTTTTTGTTCCCAGCACTACCCAAGTGTCCCACATAAGACTAGATTAGTCAGTGGGTGCTACTCACCACTTCCAAGATTTTTATTTCATCTCTGTCTCAGGTTTGTGATGACTGTAGGACTGAATTTGATCAAAAATTGAACCAGATTCAGGAACAGTGTTATTGACTCATATTAATGTTACAAAGTTAACTTTCTCAAGAAATTTCTATAGTTATGGCTGCTTGTTGATTTGCAAGGATTGGTACAGAAATGAACAGGAAAGCAAATAAAATAGGAAATAATAGGAAAATTCAACTTTGTTTTTGTTTGTGGTAGTGTTAGCAACTCTTAAAAGACAGCTCATCTCATTTCTTTGAGTAAAAATCTTAGCATGAGGAATTACAAGGTGCATGTGTGTTCCCCTCAGGATACAGAAGAACCACAGAAGCTGTAGGTGAATAAACAGACAGGTTGAGCCAAGGTGCAAAGATGATTTTTTTGTGCCTAGAATGCGTAATTAATGAACGAGCTGTAGAGCCAAAAGCTGTGGGACTGGGACAGCAGTACATTTGAGTTTTAAGTACTAAAACACCAGTAAATAAGGACAGCAAAGTATTCAAATCTTATAAGTGTTAAAATAACCCCACCCTACAAACAAAAATATTGGCAGAAACCTTTGCTCCCTCCCATAATACTGAGTATGACTCATGGGTTTGTGAATTTTGATGTGTGGTGGCACAGAAACTTCTCTATCTACTACCAACAGATGGTAGGTTTCTTGGTATTAAAAATACGAAAACAGCTTGATCTCATGTACCTTGGTTTAAAAATAAAGCTCTTTTTATAGCATGTCTCAATTTTGACAACCACACTGTGCTGTAAATATTGGATTCCAAGTATAAGCATATTTTAAAAGCCTAAACCAGATTCTGATTTTAGGGGTGGCCTGATCCTCTGAGTTTGTGAAGTCTTCAGCAAGAGGAGTCACAGCTGAACATAGTTGCCCTTTGTGTTTAACACCAAAGTTTGTGGGTTCAGCTTTGAATTAAAAAATGTATTTCCTGATTTGGTAACTTGCTTAAATTTAATTTCAAATGTGTGCAAATTCTAAAGTATCCAGGTTTTTTCTGTTTGTTTGTTTGTTTTTTTTTTTGTGGTGATAAGCATAGAATAAATCTCTAAGATTGAAATGCATTTGAATATATAAGTAAAATGATATCTCCTTAATTTTGCAGAGCACAGATAACTCAAATATATCTATAATTGCCCAGAACAAAAAGTGCTTTGACAATGATATTGTTTGCTCAAAGAATGTTTTCATCTCTGTTGGAGACACTGAGATTTATTTTAGCGAACCTTCTGAGAAGCAGGTTAGTTATTTTCTTTCCTTTTTGGGTTGCCCTTTAAGATATGCACTGCAAATTTACAGCTCTAAAGGAGTGTGTTTTTGGAAAGCATCTCTCAGTCTGAGTTAATATAGTACAAGTGTTTAGGCCTGGATAAAGCAGCAGGTCTCAGGACACACTTTTTTTTTTTTTTCCCCCATTGTTTTTTTTCAAGTTCTATTTGTCATATGAAGAAGATTGTCCAAAAGTCTCAAGGAGTTGAAACATACTGGCATTAATGAGCTTCTTTCCAGGTGGTTTTAAAGGAGAAACCAAAGTATGAAGCAAACTTGGATGGCTGAAAAGACAAAATATCAAAGTATTAAACAACAGTTCTACTAATATTATTGATTCAGCTATATGCTAAAACATTCTTCAGTATATACTTTGCTGTTATCTGGCTGTATACCTTAGTAGCATTACTTTAGTAGATCTTAATAAATATTCATTTGTGTCAGAAGACCCTAGGGGCACAGGAAAACAAATCTAACTATCAGCTTTGGAAGGCTGGATATTATACTGTGATACACTTTCCAGAACAGGACATTACAATTCTGTGGGATAAGAAGACAATGATGCATGTTAAAGTTGGACCTCAATGGAAGGTGAGCTGAAATATAAACCTGAGATTTTGTGTAGGTTGTCTATATTGCTAATGTGATCTTTTATTGAATAACTGTTAGTCTTTTCTTCAAGACTAGCTTTCCCAGTAATATGGCTGTTTATTGTGGTGCTTTTCCCAGCTAAGAAGATATGGAGAATACGACTTCTGAAGAGGAGAGGTTTCTACGTATGCTTCCACTGCAGCCTTAGAGCTATGCAGTGATTCAGCTCTGACTCAAAGATACTTTGGGGGCTGGAAGGGAGGGTAGTCTTACCTGGTTAGAGTTACCCAATTCACTGCATGTTTTCATTGGCTAAAGCCAATGGAAAAGAAGTTTCCATGCCCAGTGACGTGGAAGGTGGCAGGTTTGTAGTACAGATTACATTAGACTGATGACAGAACTGACCCTAGGAGGTAGTAGAGGCTTCTGAGATGAACAGATGGAGTCACATACTAGTTTAATTAAAAAAGACAGAATACAGAAAAAGATCTAGAAAAAACTTACATTTAAACCTAATGGATATATCGTGACAGGATTCAGTCATGATGCAAGGAAGAATTCAAAGCTCCTTTTTTTCCAGTTGCTCTTCTCTTTTCCATTCCTATATCATCATCTGTCTTGGTGTCTCTGCAACTCAGTCGTTCGGTGCTGGCAATTGAGAATTACATTTCTCTTTGTTTCAAACATGAACACATGTATTAAGATGAGGCTCATTCAGCAAAAGAAAACATGCTAGGTTAGAGTACAGTGTCAGATTTTTTGAAGTGTAAGTCAAAGCTATAATGACCATCTAATGTGGTTTTAAAGAAAAATTATTATAGGCTTCTGTCCAAATAGCCGTAAAATACTTAATTCACTTACAAGTTGATTTATCAGCCATCAATACACATAGAGAAAAAAAATTTCTTGTTTTTGAGTAAGCTGGCAGGGAGCTGAGTTCTACAGGTTGTATTTAGGAACTCAAATACTTCGAGTTTTCTGTTTCCAATGACTGCTTCTCCTAGAGGCTCCAGTTCAGTAAGTTGTGTGCAGCAGACCTTACGAGGAAAGAACTTAGTGTGAGTGACAACACTTTTTATTGTTGTGCAGGAATGTCTGTTTTCCTATATATATTTATGCATGTATACACAGTTTACCCATCAGGAGCATATGCCTAAGAAGAGAAAGTTGCAGCTGTCTCTTTTATAATTGCTATTACAAATGTTCTAGCTATTGTGAACTAAAATTAGAGGCAGCAAGTTTTAATGACAACAGATAGTCAGGCTTCACAACCATGAGGTAATTCACCTGAACTTTTGACTTTTGGACTGGAATCACTATTGAGCTTTCAGAAAAAAATATTACTAGATTCCAGTCCGTTTTCACAGGCAGGCAGTAAGAACAAGTTCTGGAAAATAAGAAGAAAACTACTGATTTCTGTTGAAGGATATTTGCAATGTAGAAATGCAGGCATAGCAAAGTGTCATATATTTTCCAAGGATAAGTCAGATTTACATTCACCCTTTTCACTTATAAATTTTTATATTCCATGTGTGTCATTTGTGCCAATTATGGGTTATGAGTTTATGAAAAAATAATTTTTTCTTTCAGGGCAAACTGGCAGGCTTGTGTGGAAATTTTGACAAATATACTTCAAATGATCTGACTACATCAAACAACATGGAGGTGAGAAATGCACAGGTGTTTGGAGACAGCTGGGTATTAGGACAGGTAAGTCCCATGTCCAATAAAAATTTAGGTAAAAAATCTATAATTTTAGTTTGTAAATGAGCACATTATAACCACAGGATGTACAGGTATTTTCTAAAATTCTGGTCACACTAGAAGAGGACATTTTAATTTTTGTGTTCATAGATGTGAAATGTGTTAATAATGTCTTATGGCATAGTAAACATATAACAAATTTAAATGAAACTAGACAATCTCTTTAGGGAAGGATGTGTTTTCCCCTGTGTAAGACAATTATAGCTGTCTGCATTTCAGTGTTCTACTAAGTTAGGTACACTGTTTCTGGTATTTTTGATTCATCCCAATTTTAAAAACAATTGTAATTTCTCTAGGGTTGGAGGCATCAGGATACTGAAAGTAAACAGAATCTTAATGCTGGAAAAAAGAGACCTGGAAGAGTCTCCTTCTGAACACTGAAAATAAAATTAGGATTTATTTTAGTGGCACTTTGTAAACAAAGCAAACTGACAAAGTAGAGGTGGTGAAGGGATGGGCAGAAAAGGCTCAGAACAGCAACAGATACAACCCAGTATGGAAACTTGGTTTCTATTTCCTTAGGAGGATGCTGTAGGGAGTGGGTGACTGCAACTCTGGTTTATAACACAGGAGAATAGGTATTTCATTAATTTATGCTGAGAAGATGTAAAGTTTCATAGGCTTGTAGACTTCCTAAAGATCATTATTTGTAACACATTCTCTTTGAATGTCTATCAGGACCAGTTTTTAATCTGTTCTCTCTTTAACACAGCAGGAAATTGACCAAATATCTGTCACCTCATATAAAGATATAAAATAAAATAAAGATTTTGAGGCTTTTCTGCCTCAATATCTCCCTTCGAACATATTTTAATCTACATAAAATGTTTAAATTTCACAAGCAAGCAAGGCAGATGTGTAGAGTTACACTGGTCATCTAGAAGGTTGTGTATAAACAAATGTGTGAATACTTTGTATGAAGTTAATGAATTTTTATTTTTCAATTTATCGATTCAGTGGCTCCCTTAAAAAGGTGCATAGTGTTTGCATAGCACATTAACTTGTAGGATGTTATAATTTTTGCTTATGCATCTCAGACTTTGACCTAACTTTTTGGTGGAGATATGTATCTGTGTAATCTCATGTAATCTCCAGATCTCTGTGTCTGCCAGAGTGCTCAGGATCTAAGTTCAGCCTTGGTCTTGCTGGCTGGCTGTGCTCAGACAGACTTGACACTTCACCTGCCCCTGCAGTATGCCTTGGGGATTTTTTCAGAAAGGACCTTTAGCTGTTGTAGAGATGCATCCTGGTCACCATTTCTGAAAAACTGAAATAGTGTAAGGAGTATTTGATAGCTGGAGGCCTAGAACTCAGCTCTGCTATGGGGAAATGTGCTTGTGTCAGCACTGTGAAGCATCAGATGCTTCCAGGGCTTCTCCTTCCTGGGAGTGGCAGCACACGTCCTCGCAGCAGTGCCTGAGCACCTGCACAGGAGGGCAGCACAGGTGGGTGCACTGCAGCTGAAGCTGCTGTGGGACACCTCGGTGATGCCTATGCATTCAACTTCACAGCCCCCTGATGCATTACTGTCGTTCCGATTGGGAACGGCTAGAAAGAACGACACTGGACTCTCAAGGGAGTCACAACAGGAGAATTCCTTAGTTTATTGCTTCAGGCTTGTCTTATAGACAGATACGTGGAAAGTACAGAAAAGAAACTCTTATTGGTTAACAAAGTGCTACATCACCATCATTGGTCAGGGGCACACTGCCCCCCCGACTCTCTCCTGCAAGGGGAAACAAGAGAACAGATAAACAGCACCTGGCAGTTGTTTTCTGTCTCTGAGGATTGTTTTAAAATCCTCCTTTGAATTCCCAGGCTAGCTTCTCAGGCAGGACTGAGAGGCCATGGGCCTGCATTTTCTGCAGCTCCCTGCAGCCTGTTCCAAGGCTAGCATCCATACATTACACACACCTTACCTGCCTGCACCAAGACAGAGTGGTTTCAGATTAATTCGTTCTCCGAGATGAGTGTCCCTTTCCTGTATTTTTCTGTTCTATTTATTTTTACCTTTTATAGAGTTCCTATAAGTGATGTAGTTGTACCCCACACATTTTTTAATTATCATGATGATCTTTGACTCTATATTTTTTAATGAGTTGCTCCCTTCCTACCACTGCTTCTTTATTTGAACTTACAGGGCTAAAGCCATCTGTAGTAAGGCTCCATTTAAAGTCAGTGAAAACCACCCAGGATGGATTTGGACCACGTATTTGTTTGTGATGTTACAGTTGGTTGCTCTGGTAATGATTATAATGTGTCACAAAGAAAACATTTTGTCTTTATGCACAGCAGACAGCAGGAACATTTTAGTGCTGTAGAACAAAACAAAAAGATTCTTTTTTTGTGCCAATGTTTTCAATTATAAAAACAAATCAAGGAAAGAAGATGAAGAAGATAGCATTTAATTTCTTTATTTTCTGATTATGCAAGTATTGTATTGTATTATACTGTGATGTACCTGAATCTTTGATAAACACATCTACCTCTAAAATATTTGTGGGCTTTTTTTGCTTGTTTTCAAGTGCAAGAGCCCAAATGAAACACTGAGGCCATGTGAAGTACATCAGAGCAAGTTCCCTTATGCCAAAAAGGAATGCTCAATTTTATACAGTGATCTTTTTGCACCTTGTCGCAATGTGGTAAGTTCATTTAATATCTAAGATTGCTGTCATGAAAATAATAAAATTCCAGTAATTACTTTCTTCTTGCCAGTACCCTCAGTCTGAATATGAGGATACAGAGTAAAGCCCTGCAAGTATCTCTGTGTGGGTGGGTTATATTTGTGCAGAGGTTCTTTGTTCAAGACTGGATTCTAAATGGAAGAGTGTAACAGAATTGTGAGTTAGTTGACTGAATAATCAAGGTTCTATTGCCTTTTATCTATATAGGTAGCTAAGTTTTATAAATTGTAAATTTGTATGAATTGAATGATTCTAAAATAAGTGTATGTGTAATGCACCTACACCTTAGCTCAAATGGTTTTATTTTTTAAGTTAGAAAGAAATATAAGAGAGCAAGATTTCAGCTTCAGAGCTATAGGTGTTTTTAATTATTTGGTAGCTTATCATCTGGTTTTATTAAAACTCAGAGGTTTGGTATCCTTGTTTTCCCAATACATGGCTGAGCCTGGGACTTGAGTAACAATAATGTCCTTCAGTTCAGTCTAGACAAGATGGGGACAACACTATTTCATGTGGTAATTTTTTATTCCATTTTAATCCAACAATTATCAGTGCAAGACTTGCTTTATACATTTTTCCTTTTTTCTGATTTTAGTCTCCAAATGGTATTTAGGTGCTTCTTTACACCTGAGAAAGCAAGAACCACTACAACATTTCATTTCAGTCTCTCAATTTCTTCATGATTATTAATACCAGATGAGATCATTAGCTGTCTCAGCTGAACCTCCTGGCTTTCAGGACCAAAGCTGGATATCAACATGGTTAGGAATTTGCCTGTGAAGGAGGTTGCAGTAGTTTAACCCAAGAGATTTATTAATGTTGACTTAAGTTACTATGCAAAGAATTTTTTGAGCATGTGCCTGAGAAAATAGCGATGAGTGTATTTTTCAAAGTGGCAAATAATAAATAAAAACTGAACTTTCAGGAGTTTTTAAGGAACTGTATTATTATAACAACTCAGAAAGATCTTTTCTCCTGAACATTAATTTTCTGTATCTTATCCATGTTGTGATTAGAATTTGCAAATAATTTGGCATAAATATATGCCAAAATTTAGCATAATTGTGTTAAAAAATCTATGCCAGGTGCAAAACATGTAATTTAGTTAGTAGTCAAGTATTTCCACACATATATATTTGTCTTGTATGGCAGAGTCTGTAAAGCAAACATCTTTCATGTGTTTTTAGAACTTATTAATCACCATGTGAAAAATGTACAGCTCCTGGAAATGTAATGTGAGCTCCTATCAAGGGCACATGCAGCTGACTGCTGGGTGGGGAGCAGGGTGCCAAGACAAAAGCCTGAGCAGAAACTGACACTGGGGGCATGGAAAGAACAGAAAATACAGATGGGGGTTTCAGATGTGCTTCTTGTTGCTCCTGTTATTGTGGGTGGAAGATCCTGCAGTGCGTGCAGGCAAACTCCTGTCTGTGGGACAGGTGGCCTTGCAGTTTAACTCAGGCTGCAATATCAGTTTTCAGGGAGACAAAATCTTGCATCTCTGGCTGGCAGCAACTGATGGATTGCAGTTGCCCAGATAAGCACTGAATTCAACAGGGTCTGAGGAACCTGAACACTCGGAGAGAAAGGGTCTTTCTCATAATTCCTGAACTCAGCTTTGGCCCAAGGCTCCCAGTTTATCACAAGAGCAGGATATTGCTGACCCATGGAGAGATGCTGTTCTGCAGGCCTGCGAGACAGGTTGAGATCTTTGGAGCCGGTTTGCTGTTTGGTGATTTCTACAAAGCTACCACAGCCTCTTTCAATGGAGCTAGTTCTCATGTGTGTCCCCCATGTCCCCAGTGGTATCCCTGTTTTCAAAACAAGAAAAAGGATGAAAGCACAATAACGTGTCTCTGCCCTTGATCCAGTCCCTGCCAGCTTCTAGCAACTGAGAAGCTGTCTTCATGTTAGATAAGTACTGCTTTGTTACTGTGGTGGTATTTCTGTAATCTGATGTGTGCCATTTCACTGCTGTACAACTGAGCTAGACCAGAGAATCAAGTGAAGAGAAGCATTGCTTTAAACATTCCACGTGTTGAGTAAGAATGCTGTTTTGGGAATGTTGTTCAGCATTACAAAAAAGATGATTTAAAATCAAGAAATAGTGTATCATGTAAAACCATAAAATATTGTAATAGGATTTTAGAGAATGTGGGTTTCTGATCTAAAGAAGTTTTGTGGAGAAATTATATTAAAATCTTGGTAAGTGCAGAAGTATTTTGTTTTCTGCACAATGTCACCAGTGGTCTTAAACTTTCTTCCCATGGGAAAACCTTCCTCTACATATTACTAGTTTAATAACTTGGTAATCAGAGTCGCAGCTCTGGTTTTGCTGTTGTTCATGCAAAACTGACAGGATGACTACAGGTGGCGGTATTTGCCTTATAAAAGCAGAACTGCCAGCTTCAATAATTCTTTGAAATGGATGAACAGCAAGTATGCGGACAAGCATGTTTGTTAGTAATCACTGATTGAATTTTTCTTTTGACCTTTAACTCAGGCATAAGCTGATAATTTGAAGTGTACATTTTGTGTAGGAATATGCCCAAACTTTGGAAAATGCATTATCTTTGTGTTTAATTCTTTCAGCCAGCCCAGAAATAAAACTCCTGCTGCAACTGGAATTTGTGCAGCTCATGCAATTAACTCACCTATTTTTCTTCTTCTCCCCTCCCCAGATTGATGTGACTTCTTTTATCAAAAATTGTCACACAGATACATGCAACTGCAATCTTGGTGGGGACTGTGAGTGTTTGTGTACCAGTATTGCAGCTTATGCCCACAAGTGCTGCCAGCAAGGAGCAGCGATTCACTGGCGATCTCCTCTGCTCTGTGGTACGTACCTTGGCTGGCCATGCACCAGAGCTCATCTCAGACATCTCTGGCTTTTTTCTGACAACTATACAAATATGAAGCAGGTGGATAATAAATGTAGTTCACATCACTCAAGCTGTCTCTGTGTTAGTTATGTCATCCTTATACACCCAAATTCATAGTCGAGAAGGGTTCTTAGCTGTAGAATAATTCCTGCTTCAGGTCTGCTGTCACTAAACAAAAGTCTAAGAAAATAAAGTCACAGACTGAAAAATCTTGTGGGACATGAAGCTTCCTCTCCTGAAAGTGAGCTTTACATTTTTAGGATGCAGGTATGCATGGATTCTCTTGTCACTTTGTAACAATAGTAATAGTAAAAGTTATAATAATAATAATAATAATAATAATAATAATAATAATAATAACAACAATATGCTTGTTTTCTTTTTCTTCTAGCTTATGACTGTGAATATTACAACCAAGGTATGTACTATTTGATAATCTTGTTTAAAAAACTTGATTAATTTATGGGCTTTTTCTTTGACTTGAGGTATGTAGTTTTAACATTGCTTTTATTTTTAATGAGTGAATGTTAGTGGCCCAGCTGTGTCGAATGATCCTAGTAATCCCTAATGCCTCCATCAATAATTTCATAATGTTCAGTGTGGGTGGGTGGATTGATCCATCATCCTACCACTTATGGTAGCAGCCAGGGAGAAGCTCCAGAAGGACATTTCCTTGTGTTTGTACTGTAAATTTTAGAGCTGGGACCTACAATATTTGGACATTGGAAGGCTATGGGATTTTATGCACAAGTCTCACAATACTATACTGTAAAAAGAGCAGTACCTTAGAATGGGAGTGGTATTCATTTAACAGAATGAATTCCTGCATCATCCCCTCTAATGTTTGGGTACTGTGCATATGCTTTATAGGCAGCAATAAATATTGAAAAGGGAAACTAGACTAATTGCAATGATACAAATCTGACTTTAATGTATATTTTTGATGACTAGGATGACTTGCATCCTATAATGAGGATCATTATAGAGATGTTTTTTCTTCTCCTGTCTGGCCTACTACAGTAGTAGCATGTAGATCTTGCAAGGTATAGCTGACTTCCCACAATTACTTTGTAATAGGGAATTTTATCTTAGTCAAAAAGGTTTGAAGACATGATTTTAGTGGTGAACATCACGACAGTGGTCTTAAAGGTCTCTTCTGGCCTTATTTATTCTATGATTCTGTAGAAAAGTAGGAAGGAGTACTGGTTTTGGCTAATTTTCTTTATTTAGTTAACATGAATTTAATAATATATTTTGTATTTGTGATGACAGTGGTGTTTTAGCTACTGCTTACAGAGATCAAGGCTCTTCCCAGTTCTCATGCTGATCTACCAGTAAGGGAGCTGGGGCTGCAAAGGAGGTTAGAGGGGACAGAGTTGGGACAGCTGACCCCAGCTGACAAAAGGGATGTTGCAGAGCACATGATGTTGAGTTCAGCAGTAGAAATTGGAAGGGAAGTTTTCTGGGACTGGCATTGCTTTAGGGTTCATCTAGATGTTGGTCAGCTGATAGCAAAGAATTTTGGCTTTTCCTTCATTTTTCTTGTAACAGTTTTCTTTGGTTTCCTTTTCTTTTTCCTAATTTCTCTATAAACAAAACTCAAACCAAACCATGATTTAACTGTCTTTATGAGTTTTTTTTCAGTTCTTTCCCTCTGATTCTTTTGTGAGGTGTGGGGTGAGTGACCAGGTGTGTGGTGCTTAGCTGCCTGCCAGGGTTAAAGTCAAGGACAGAGCTATGCATGTTTCCACTACCAAGTGGAACCAAGTGGAAAATTAAGATTTAAGTTTTGTATATTATGCAATGAAAATTTTTCTTTTTCTATTTTGTTTTTCTTCCCTTAGGTCTTGGTGAAGGACCCTATATTTTGGCAAGTTTTGGAATGAATGACACAATTATAGGGGCTAATGTATCCAGCAGAAGGATATTTCCCCTGCCTAGAACTGGAGCACATGGAAATGTAATTTTCAGTTTCATGATAACTCCAGGTCTTTTCAAAGATAAAGATTTATGTAAGTGTCCTCAGCAGTTCTTCTAATGGTGAGATATATATCTCAAACTATATGAATGATTTTTGTTGTGTCTTCTAAATGTCCTAAAGTAGTCTAGATATTTTTAGTTATTGGAATAAGTGGCCAATTTCAAAATGAAATAGTGATTTAAATTTTAATTTTTTTAATATTTGAAAACCTCATTTCCACCTTTAAAGCTGTCTTTTTAAAAATTATTTTAGAAATATTACAGAATACAAGCAAATAAAATAACTTGTAAAAAAATCCAATTAGTTTGTATAACTGGAAACTGGTGAATTTTACACATGTATCTAACAAATATGAACACTGAAGGTCAATGCAGGGTATTTTTGTCTCCAGTAAAATTGGTTGTACTTTATGTTTACACCTTATTTGTTACTTTTCCTGACCTAGAAAATGTGTAACTCAGAATGATCAATCTATTTCTGCATTATTAATAAGCAGCATCCCTGTGCAATGTAGAAGGTAGTTTCTTAGGTGAACAGCTAATCCTAAGCTCTATTTTTTACTTTTCAGAGACTTACCCAAACTATACAACAAAAATAAACGTTTGAATATTTTTCCTTCTGTATCTATTTTTCTTTCTTCACATATGTGAAGATTGTGCCAATTAAACCAAGAAAGATTTTGTCATTGCTTTCTCAAATAATTTAATTTCTTGAAAAAATCAGAAACCCTCAAAAATAAACATAAAGAAGGGCTCTCTCCACAGAAAAAATTCAAACTAAGTTTACAAATATTTGAATGGTTATTGCCATGGGAAAATCAGGTTTTTAGATGTGATTTTGATATGAAAAATACATACAACAGAAGAATTAATTCAGTCTTGTCAAATCCCAATGTAAGGTGGAAGTAAATAATTCATTATATCTGTGCAGTACACAGGTGACTTTCATATGGAAATGAGGGATGAGAGAGTATTCCTCTAGGTTAAAGAACTTCAAGACTGTATTTAAGTTGAAAATCACTTATGAAGTCATTCTTCTTATAAATTCTTACATTTTCAGACAATTCTTTCACTTTTGATTTGTGATGTGGGTAGAGCAAATAGAGGTCAGGTCTTATTTGGTCACAGATCTTCTTACCATATTTCTGGCCATGACTGCATATTAAAAAAACCCCTGACCTCAATGTTCTTACAATGTGATATTATTTACTAATGAAATTTTGGCACTGCTAAGCTGTCAGACATTTGTACAAACTTGAGAAAAACTCCCAGATATGCAAGTTCCAGTCTGAGACTGCTTAGGAATCATTTTTGAAGGTTAGTAGTAGTAGGCTGAATGCAATTTCAGTCTAACTGGTGGTTCTGGATTATATGATCATTTGAAGTTTCTTTTAGACCCTGCACTGTGGTTCTAACTCTCTTTTGTGCAACATAAAGCTGAAATTTTTATTTTTTTGGTGAAAAGCAGGTTTTTAAAAGGAGACATTTAACAGCCAATATATATGATTTAATTTCAATTATAAGTTGTTTCCTGTGAAAATCTCACCGTTTTTTTAATTAATTTTCTTTCTTCTGTGGAAGCTCTGTCTCTTGTTTCCCTTGAATCTGCTGAAAGACCAAACTATTTTCTGTATGTACATGACAATGAAACCATTGGGTTGGAGCAGTGGCAGGCAAGTGCCTCCTTTCAGAGACGAGCCACCTTCTTCCACCACCGGGGTCTCTGGAGTCCAGGGCTCAGTGCCTTTGAGCTGCACAGTAAAAAGGGCTTTTTCATCATTCTCACATCATCCAGTGCTTTTTAATTTCTCTCTGTCTTCCATTCCATCTCAAAATGCTATTATTTTCTAACTTTTGCAGATAGGATGGTCACTTTATCTTTGAACTATGTTTTAATTGGCTTACCTTTTCAAAATGAAGATGGCATGTCACAAAACAATGTATGTTAATATCTCATTAGTAATCATTAGTAATATATAAATAACTATTATTTTAAATTAATTGGGTAATTGTATTGTATCTGCAACCAACAGTATCTTTGCTATATTTAACTGGTCTTTTAGGTTTTGAAAGAGAGTATATTGTAAAAATGAATAGTTGTTTTTATTGTCAAAGCTGGAAGTGTCTTTTAGCTTGAAAAAATTTAAAATACTTGAAACTGAACAAAATCTCACCTACTGGGAAGTTCTAAAATGTTTGTCTATTTGGTTTTCATTTTTCATATATCTGAAAATCCCAAAGTATATTATGGAAAAGGCTGTAAATTTACTGTTTATTGGCTATTGAATCAATAAAAAACCCCTTTCTTTCCTTCTCAGAACTCAGTGCTTCTGTGCCTTACAGAAGGATGTGTGAATGGCGATATGAATCTTGTGCTAATCCTTGTTTTAAGACATGTAGTGATCCTGAAGGAATAGCATGTAAATTTCTTCCTCTGTAAGTAAAATTCATCTCATATTGCTAGTGTATTGTTTTTTGTAATAAGCATACCATATGCTTTCTGAAAATTACTGCTGCTGCACTATCCATTTACTTCTACTATCCAGATTTTAATATCATTCTTATGAGAAAATCTCAGTAGTCATATGAAAACATTTGTGCCAAGACTCTCATTTCCCACAGTCTGTATTCCCATTTACATGTGCTGTCCAACACAAGAATAAGAGGGATTGTATTTAGTCCAGAGATTTAGCTTCTGGTAGTGCTTAAGTAGAAAGCTCTTAAATTAAATGGTTATTTTCTTCTATGGATTTATAGTTGCAACCTAAACCAGCACACCATGATGCTAAAACAACATCTTTCTGGTGTTTATATGACAGAGATCAAAAGTTGTAGGAATAGTAAGGGAGGAATACGCCCTCTCCTGTAAGAAAACGTAACTTTATACTGGGAGATACTCACTGGTGTGAAGGGAGGGCTTTCAGAGGGCTGATGTTAGCATGGGGTTTAGTAAACAGATTTCCTGTCTCCATGGTTCTCCCCATGCCTCTATGAAACCACAGTAACCTAAAAGGAAAAATGCCTAAAAGCTCAAGGCACAATGTGGTGGAAAAGAAAGGATATTTTAGATTTCAGACTCCCTAGGCATATGTAATTTATCATTAGTAATACTACTAATATGGCTAATTTTCCCTGTTGGTGTTCTTAGTTTTTTCCTTTATGGGAACACTGGTTGTTAATGTAATGATTTTCTTATTGAACTGTTCCCCCAGAATGAAAAAGACATGGAAATATAGTGATTTGTCTGCATTCTCCTATGTTGAAAGGACACAATGAAAAGGCTTTATGAATTCAATCTAAATATTTTAATATGTCAAATGAACATATATAGATAAAACAAAAGACAAGTTCATTTTGTGAACATTTTGTGAAAAACCTTTCTGCTTAGGGATCTAAACTTCCACCTGGTTATGGAAGCAGAATGGTCCAAAGCTAACGTGTTCATCAGCCTATACAAATAATTATTAACACTTTAGAAACAGAATTTTGCTCCTCAGTAACTTTTTGACCTCGTAATGCCTCAAAATATTATGCTCATAATTCCACTAAAAAGTTCTCTGAACTGTGATTAGACATTCTATTAGCTTTTTTAGCCAAAGTAAAACAATTTAAACTTAATTTCTACTGTGGCTCTAGAATTGACTATGAAATATTTTAAAGGGTTGAAGGATGCATGCCATACTGTCCCAAAAACATGATCCTTGATGAGGTCACACTTAGATGTGTTTATCCAGAAGACTGTAAGTATACTTTATTATGTTGATCTACTCTTATAAATTACTCCAGAGATCCCAGGAAAGGATGAATTGAATATAATTTTTTTAAAATTAAGTGCTTTGTCAGAACATCTTTCTATTGAAGATTGTCTCTCTGGGACATAGACTCCATTCCCATTCATCCAAAATACAGCTTCTGCATTCAAAAGAGTTATATTTTAAATTGAATTCTCTATTTCTCTAATAGTGGGTTATATATAACCTTTTGTGATTATGTTGTACTCGGAGCAACTATGGCTATATAATGCTTGTGTATTACACATCTGTAAGAGAGAAATCCCAAATGAAAGAAATACAGCTGTGGCAAAAAGTTCAGTCTTTTCAGAGGATGACACACCACTAACAAATGCAGCTCATCTCTTTCATAATTTCTGGTGTGTGTAAAGTTGCCACATTATTTGCTTATTTTGTGGGATAAAGTATTATTTTAGCATTAAAATTTAATTTTAGCACTGTATCTTATTTTATTTTACAAATTTTGATTTAAATACATTTTGCTTGATATAAGATAGTACAAAGTCATCTCATATACTATCTTTTAAGGAGGTAATGTACTTATTAAAAATATTTTACTATTTTGGATTTACTGACTTTTTTATGGAATTGCCTTGTTACTTCAAAACTGTCCTGCAAAATAAAGGTTTTCACCAATAATAAAGAATTAATTAGTTCGTTAGCAGAGAAAATTATAAAATATTTGGAGTCAGCTGAATTCCTCAAAGTCATCAGCCAGACTGGAACTATTGGCAAGATGTGATTTGCTAATATTTAAATAGTATTTGAGTAGAGATAGATTTGCTATTTTTCTTTACTAATAATCCATAAAAGATAGTAAAACACACATTTTTCCTTTCAGGCATACCTGTGACACCTACAGAATCAGAAATTGGACTGAAACCTTCAATGTTAATCTCTCACATGGGTCCTACCACAGAGAGATTTCCTCAGACACCTTCTGTATTTGTTACTTCAGGAAATAAATCAACTCTCATCAGCGTGACAGACAAAATAACCATGAGCGCAAATACAGCTTCAAGGGGAATGAATGTGTCGGCACAGTCCATTACAGACTTTTATTCATTGGAAGCATCTAATGCAGCCACCTATTCAACATTTTCATTACCAAGTACAGTGGAGCCTTCTGATGTACTTCACAGCACAGCCAGCCCTACTGTCCTTTCCAAACCCATCCCTTCAGCAGATTTTCCAATTCTTCTTCAAGCCTCAGCAGTCACATCACATACTGCCCACTCTAACACATCTATAACTTTACCCATTCCAATAACAACTCCTACAACTCTGCTCAGTGCAAGTCCTGTTCCAACACATTCTGCATTATTAACACCTGCTTCCCTAGTGGTAGTTCCATTTTCACTTGAAACATCAAGCACTCAGCTAGGAGCAGTTCGACCTTCCTCAGCACTAACAGCCTTAGCTTCCAAGATACCTCTTGTCACTTCTGAGCTGCCTGCAGGGATTGGGAAGAGTAGGAGTCCTTCAGTAAGTCATTCTAAGGGAGCAGAAATACTCCCTGAAGTGTCTTTGTCTGCCCTGTGGGCTGACAAAGAAACTTTCACAAGACCAGTGTTTCTTCTAGGTCCACAATTGACACGCAGAACTTCTGTATCTACTTTGCCTGTTAGAACTAGGTCTGGCATTAGTCAAACTGCAGTTTACCCAACACTCATTTCTGCACTGACTTCAACTGCTCCTCAAATGCCTAAGGTGACTAGATTTTCTAGCTCTGGGACAAGTGTTCCTCAATTAATCCCAGTTTCATATTTCAGAACAGCAAAACCCTTGTCTAAAACTTCTCTGATATCATTAAATGATAGTTCTTCAGCCAGTTTTTCTCCAAAGCCATTTTCATCTTCTGTGCGAACTTCAAGGACTTTTCCCGAGCAGACATCTCCATTAAAAAAGGGCAGTATTTCTGCTGCTCTGCCAATAATGACAGTATCTTCACCTCAAGTTTTTTCTCAAATCCCTAAAAACACTTCTTCAAGTCCTTCTGCAACATGCACAGTATCTACACCAGCATGTTCTCTGTTCACCACCCTGAAGTCCAAAGCTATGGCAGATGTCACTGTTGCCCCTCAAAGTTTTTATACAGTGCATTCCGGTGCTCCCACTCCTCTAGGCAATTCAACAGTCTTTGATAGGTCTGTAGTAAGTAAAGCCTCAACAGAAAATAAGCATATAATGCACACTGATTTCTTTTCATTGTCATCCATTTCAAAAAAGCCAATGAAATCCATTATGTCTACACACTTCCTTCTCAGAACATTGGTATTACCTTTAGATGCTACATCAATAACCTCTTCAGAACTTACAGAGTACCCAAAAAGTTCAGATACAGAATTGAAAACTGACTCTGTGGCTCAAAGTTCAGGTACTTTCATTTCTAAAGATCGTTCTTTTACAAGGTCATTATCTTTATTTACAACCTTGTTATCCACATCAGTACCATCTTATGTGACATCTCAGGCTACAAGTCCTTCATTGATTCCCACAGTCAGTAGCACATCATCACTGACACAAAATATAAGTCTTACCCAAGCATCAGTTTCATCTCTGGATACACAAGAAACTTCAAAAATTCCAATTATAGACATTGCAACTTCTGTGGATTTCTCTAAATTCACCTTAAAAATAAGTCTCTCTACCAGCTTTCCAGCACCACTAAAAACATCCATTGTAATGCCCTCTTTACTAATGCCTACCACCTCTGAAATCACTTTAGAAAGCCAGCCCTCTATGCCTTCACCTCCTCCTAAGACCACTCATATCTCTAATGTTTCTCTAGGAAAACAGAGTTCTTCGGTAAGTTCTTCAGAAGAAGATGGAACAGTATCAGCCATACCAGCTGGAATCATCACTCAATCCACTACACCAATGGTCACGAACACAACAGTGAATGCTACATCCTCAAAAGCACCTTATCTTTTTGCAAAAATGCTACCTAGTTCTTCTGCCAGTTTATTAGTTACTTCAGGCACTACCCTAGCCTCTAGGATTACTGCAAAAACCACTGATTCTTTTGTTGTCAATCTGGATTTTTATATGGCTTCAGTTCCTACTATCATAGAAACACACAAATCTGTATTTACAAGTGCAGTAACTCAAGCTTCACAGAGCACAAGAGAAACTCCAAAGACAGATATAATGAAAACAACTGGTACTACAAGTCCACTGTCACAGATGAAGAGTACCTCATACATAGCATCAGAAGTTAAATACACAACTTCATTTGAAAAAACTGTGGATATTTCAGAAGATGGTCAGACTTCACACGAGCAAAAAAATGCTACAGAGACAGCCACAACTGACAAATCTTCCTCACCTTATTTGCCAGTAACTGCAGTTCAGAGTCTGCTTTTTTCAAGAAATACAACCTCAGTCAAAAATATCTCTCTATCTGGAGTCCTGGATGTAATGACATCAGATAGGTCCGAAATCCCAACACAGAAACCCATTACACCTTATTTTAGTGTAACAGAGGCCGCAGAGCTGCAAACCAGAGCTGTAATAGATTTATCTCATTCTAGTGGTGGAATGGCTCTGCCTTCCTCTTCAGAAACAACAGCTGTAGCTGACAAGGCTTACTTTGGGACAATGATGCATACACTGATATCTACATCTTCTGAGTGTGTGGTATGACCAGTCTTACTTTCCTCTGTATGTTAAAATATATATTACTTTTCAGTCCATTCTGTTATTCTATATATATAATTCCAGAGATTTAATATTGTTAATATTTTCTATTTAATTTACTTGTTTTAAAATTCTCAGTTACTCTTAGAGGATAGTTTTGTTGCTGCTCTTACACTGCCCCGATATATTCTGCAACTTAGACTTATTGCTCTAAAAAAAACTGGCTTTAAAGCTATGTGAGTTTTCTAGATAGCTAAATATATTTCTGAGGCTCAGAAAAAGCCATAATCCTTGGAATTTTGATGTTTCTGCATAATCTTATCCCGGGTTTCCTTTTTCCATTTGCTTCTTTGTCATAGGGTTTAAAATTATGGGAATGCATGATTTTGTGTTTCTTAAAATGCTTCAGATGAGAATTGATTCTAACATGTTCCCCCAATGCATAATGCTTTACATAGAGTGCTCCACCAAAGCTGGATAGAACAGGAAGGGTGTGGGTGAATGGACATGCACCATTGTCACTGGTTACAGCCACACACATGCAAGTCATTCCAAAATAACTGATGAGGGACAAGCAGATGCACTGATTCAGAGCTGGGGGATGGACAAGTAATTACTTCACAGGGCCAATGAAGTTAAAGTTGACTCTGGTTGTTTTTTCCTTATACGGCAGCCAAGATACCTCGAACCCGTTGACAAATGTAGCCAGTATGTATGTGTTAATATGGGTTGGATGTTATACAATCTTTCAAGGAACTGCCCTAAGGATGTGCAGAAGCCAGATTGTGGTTTTAGAGGAATGCCTGTTCAAGTTAACACTGATAGCTGTTGTCCAGAATGGGAATGTCCCTGTAAGTCACTCTTCTATTTTTAAATAAAATCTGGAGTCTTGATCTGTAAATGTCAACTAATAAATTAAACGGTTATTACAATGGGAATTGTAATAATGGTTAATGGTTAAATACTGCAATGAAATTAAAAGAGCTAGTCTTCAGCAAAGCTGAATGAAATATACTGAACATTTTGGTACCTTTGAATTGACATCCTGGAGTATCAAAAATATTATTTTTGAAATGAAAACATTGAAATAACATCTGCAGCATGAACACAAATATTTTTCAGTTGAGACTTTTCAGAATTTTTATCAGTAGTAATGTTAAAATTTCAACATTTTATGAAGAAAAAGAAATTAAATACTAGCTTTTCTGAAAAACAGAATCCTCATATTTCATTTAGCTCTAATTGCAGTTTTTATGCATGCTTAGAAACTGCAGAAACTGGCAGATAAGCCTGCCAGGGTAAAAAAAAGGCTAAAGAGAAGCCATATTTAAAACCTTGCAGTGTCAATGAAACCAGTATTGCACTTTTCATTTTTTTCAAGATAAGACAGATAAGTCCCTTGTCAGTATCTTAAAAAAAAAATAATAAAAAAAAAATATATATATATATTTATGCATATATTTTATTTCACATTGTGCAGATTCACTACTTTGCATGTAAAATATTGACTTAAGTAAAATTTTTCACCAGTTTAAACATTGTCCCCTACCCTGGGCACACAGAAGCAGTTTAAGGTATTTCCACTGAGTAACCAACCTAAGCACTTTGGCATATGGCTCAATATGTTGTCTGCAGAACAAGATCATCTATCTGTCTATCTATCTATCTATCTATCTATCTATCTATCTATCTATCTATCTATCTATCTATCTATCTACAGAAGCAAATAATACTAGAACTGGAAGTTTTTATAAATGCCCTGTATTCAGTTTTGTGGTAACCTCATTAAATGACAGTTCTTTTTTAGGTCAGTGTTCTGTACTGTCTGAACTGAGTGTTATTACGTTTGATGGAAATAACATAGCCCTCTGTAATATGGCTTCCTATGTTCTAGTCAAGTTACCAGGAGAAATTATTGTTGCTCATATTGAAAAATGTCCTGCTAATCAGGTAAGGTTCTTCCATTTATGCAATAATTATAATTGTTCCTTGAATTCTTTTGTTATAGGTGTGAAATTATGCAAAAATATGTCAACTAAAACTTATATATAAAAGCCACACTCAATGAAATATGCCAAGTTATTTAATATTCAAGAAGCATGTTTAATAGTACTGTCTAGATGAAACAATTTTATCTTGAGCGAAATAGTAATTGTATTATAAAGAAATTCAAATGTAGGTTCCTTTTAAATTATCAGAGGTGATATAACTTCTCAATATGCACGTCTCCTTTCAGGCTCTCCACACAGAAATATTCCTGTAACTTTGAATTTATACTTTATAATATAGTCAAAATAGTAAAATATTTTTAATAGTCACAAAATATATTTTGTAGTTATTTTAGGAGAATATTGATGACTTTGTGATGAGTTGTTCTTTGTAGTTGTCTAACTCTCTGTATTGTCCACAGAGAGGACCCAACCACTTTATTTTTAGATTGCCAGTTTAGGTCAGGTCAGTCTTATTCTTAGAGTCTGTACATTTATTTCCTTTGCATTGGCCATAGTCCTACTTTATGCAGGTCTTGGGCAACTGGATTGAGTCCATCTTCAGTTTGTGGATAATCCAGTCAGCGATGAGGGGCTTCAACAGGCTTCTTTCCTTCCCATCTCTTATTTACTCTCACAGGGAAACTGTACACTTGAACTTCAAGACTGCTAAAGGCAATAGTCTTGCATTGTTTTAGATGCTTTCTGTTAAATTGCTTTCTTGTTTCCTGGTTGCAGTCTAGGGGTGGGAATACAGCACACAAGCGCAGATGAGCTTTAGGAATCTGTAGTTTTAGTTCTTTAAGAAATATAGTTCATAAGGACCTTTCAGCATATGCATCAAATTAGCTGGAAAGTGTGTATTTTTATTATTTATAAGGAATATATTAAATTACTTTAATTATTTAGCTGATTGTAGAAGAACATTAAAGACAAAGAAAATAGTAACTTATTTTTGCTAAGTAAAAATGCTGCTGATTAGTATTGCACTTCTAATTTTTTTTAATGTTTTCCAGAGTGCAAATTCAATAAGAAAACTAGTAAGTACTTGCTTATTTTGCTGGTTTTAAAATGCATTAGTATTAAAATAAATTATTTAATTAATATAAAATATTCCAATAGCACTGGCACGGAATTAGAAAAATAATAGTAACTAGATTTTCTTGTCATTTTTCTTTCAAGGTGCCACCTGCAAACACTTCAGGGCTCTGTTTTAAGAAATTAAATGTCACAACACACACTTGTCAAATACTTATCAATCGTTTAGCAAGAAAAGTAAGTATGTATCAACAGTATGTGTAGTCTTAAAAAATAACTGGAGAACTATTTTGTTGTATAATGTGATAAATCAGATTTCAAATAAAACACTACAGGATTAGGATTATTTTTGCAGATCTGATTCCCAATAATTCACGGTATTCTGGAGGCAAAACAAGCAATTTACATTTCTGGTACTATGCTTCAGTTAAACGTACTTTTTCCAAAATGGCACTTAGAAGTTTTGAGATTTTAATGAAGCTGCAAAAGCAGTTATGCCCAAGACTAAACTTCCAGAACACTAGATGTGATAAATAAACTACTTTCCTTTCTAGTCAGTGACAAGTCAGAACAGACGTCTTTGAATAATTGGAATGAGGTTTTGTTTCATCATACAATATGTGATAAATAAGATTTATTCTTTCCCTAATTAGAAAATATTTTTTTCTTCATACCTACCTCATTTGCATTTGGAAGTGGCATGGGTGGGAAGCTCTCTAATTTAAGCACTGTGACTTTTATATGTGGCAGAGGCTGGGAAAAAAAGTCTTTTGTTATAAAATAGGACTACATATAAAATACATCACTGCAATCTGGCTTTACCTGTAAAATGTGTTTGGTTTATTTTAGGTAGTTGTGGATTCTGTAATCCAGCCATTACCATTTTCAAAAGAAGGACTGAGTATTCAGGATACTGGTGCAATGTATGTTGTTAATACCCCAGCTGGTATTAGCATCAAGTGGGCTCATGTCACAGGCATCATAGATATACAGTACGGATTGCACTCTAACACGACGAGGGAGACAGAAGGACTTTGTGGTGAGGCTATGGCGGCAAGTTTGTTCTTATTCAATAACTTCCCAAATGAAATTTGCAACTGCCTTTTGTGTCTGTGACCAGCTGTCCATGTAGCTCTGGCTGTGGCCCTCATTAGCTCTGTGAGGGCCTGTGAAATACTAATAATTAATTAATAAATTAATAATTCCGTTTGAAAGCACGGTGTGCTAATAAAGTACTTTGCAGGACAAGCAGTGATCATCACACTGTATCTAAATAACTTTTAAAAAAATTTACTTTTTTTTATTTACTTATTTCTGCCTGTTTTAAAAGTTTTGCTGAAGCCAAGTAAAGAAAAAGAAAATTTTTAATGAAGGAGTGGCTGCTAAAGAAGTTCAGGTAGTAATAGTATATTTCAGTGATTACAGAGAAAAGAATAACTGTCTGATGTTAGCAGGGGCAGCTTATTGCTATGAAAATACTGACTAAAGCTGTGTCTTGGGAAGGGTCCAAGTCTTGTGAGGACAGTGAATTAAGAATCTGAATTTAGATCTCTTGAGTCTGGGTCTAGGGTCCAAAACTGTGCTGAGGTGTCTCAGTCTAGAATTACAGTGACAGTAAATGTAGCTTTCATTTTCAAGCTTCCCTTAAGCTTTTTTATAACTTTACTAGTATGAATAATACGGAAAGTGTAAGCAGGTGATTTAAAATAACTTGTTTTAGTTCAATTTTATTATAAATGTTCATTTTCTGGTGGTTTGTAATTTTACATAATCTACTTCATATTAAAAAAGAAAATTAACTTCTTATAATCTTTTAAACTTCTTTTAGTTTTAAAAGCAAACAGGGCAATTCAAATATGCTTTAAGTATAAATTTAAACAAATCAAGTTTTTAAAATCAATTGTTGTCTTCTGCTTGAGCAAAAGGAAAGTTCTCCTAAATCTAGTGAGAGAAAGTGAAGGCTGGCCCTGCATCTTTTCCCAGTATCATGCCATCTCCTCTATGCGTGCTGAATGCGTGGGACAAGACAAGGTCAAATGTAGGAAGAATTATAGAATAGTTCCTCTTTGTGTCATGAGAAGATGAAAAGAGGAAGACTCTGCAGACAAATCCAAACTTAGCTTAAAATGTTGCACCACCTGATATTTTGCAGTAAAGTCTGAAGTTTTCTTTCCTGCTTCTTTCCTGTTCTCTGCTGTTTGTTCCTGTCTGGGATTCTGCAATCCTCTTCCTCTCATACTACAGAAAGTTGTGGCACTATTTGGTAAATTTGCTTAATTTTTAAAGCTGTATTGATTCTTCAGCTCTGTAGTATGGCCTTACAAATTCTAGTGGCAGCAGCTTGTGATCTGCAGCAAGAGGCAGAAGAGTTAAGAATACTGGGAAGTGGTGCTGTGAAATGTTTTGTGTTTAAATGCCATCTTCAGTATTCCTCTATGCTGTCTGAAGGAATAATAGCCTGCCACACTAAGCTAGTCCAGTTCTAACAAAGGACCCTGGAGAACATCAGACTGCAGGGCTGAAAACACGAGGACAAGGGTTTAGAGTGTGCTTAACAGTGCAGAACTTTGCCTTATCTGTTCCTGAGATGTAAAGCTAGAATGAAGGTTAAAGTTTTGGCTTTACTCACTTGTTATGTGCTTAAAGAGATCATGTATTTTCATTGATTAATTGATAGAAAAATGAATTCAGGTAGACAATGAATGCTAAGGGTCTGGGAAGGTTGTTTTTTAGAGTGGTTTTGTATTAATTTGAGTAAGAACAATATTTTATCTAGATAAAGCAATTTGTTCATCAAAAGATTCTTTTCATAACTTCTGGCACTTAGAATGTTCAATTAAGCCTCAACACAGTGTGAAATCATCAGTGATGAGCAATTAATTTCAAAACCATCTACTGTTACTGCCAAGGAGCTGACTGCCATTCAGTAGCATGAGATCAGAATCTAGTGCCATGTCAGTGAATTTGGTATCGCCCAACAGCAGATTTTGGTAGCATTTTTTCTCAAAAGTTAATTGTTGTGAAAGGTACAATGAGTTGTATTGTATGATGTACTTGTTTTACTGAGCTGTTGAGCTGAGAACTAAAATCACCCAGTGGAAATACAGCTGCTTTGGTTTATAAACTCAGGTGACTTAAGTTTCACAGGTCAGCCTGGTGCAGTGTTGATCATAACTTATCAAGTGTGCTTTTCTTTCCCAAATGAAGGTATATGGCATGTTTGTCTGTGCTTTGAATATGATGATCTGTCTCCAGGGGTGTGTAATGGAGATCCTAGTGATGACCTGAAAATGCAAAACATGACCATAATTACAAATATGGAGGAAATTGAAATGTTCATTAAGAGCTGGGAAATTGAGAAATCACTTGATGTAACAACCAGGAGGCCAGTAAGAAACTGTACTGAAGATAACTGCACATACTGTATGGAGCTATTAAACAGAAGCGTTTTCATCCCTTGTCACAAGAAAGTGAGTATGAGGATCAGAAAAATTGCAGGACCAAATCAAATAATAGTTGTATAATTAAAAAAAGAGTGACTGATACATGCACATTTTTCGTGTTTTGCTTATTTTTATGATGCATGCACCTGTAGAGGTTGGTAGACCTCTATAGGTCACTAGAAGTGGGCAGTGCAGCACAGCTGCTTTCCAGAACAGAAAATGAGGAAGCCCCAAATCTCTGAGGTCTAACTGACTTTCTTGACTTAATTAAAAAGAAAAAGGATTAATTGCTCAAGTGGCCCTTTCTTTCTGACAGATAGAGGTGTTCAGATTCCTGATTCACTTCTTCTTGTTCTACCTTTTCACCCTTTGTTTTTATTTTGTGAGTCCCTCCTTTCAAATTCCTAAGACTTCTCCTCATTTTCTGAGGTAGAATAAAAATGCAGGGAGTTCTTCCAAAAGGAAGAAACTAAAGTAGTTTCTTTATATACAAAAATTAATAGATATTTGCCACAGAAACTTAGTGTGAGGGAGCAGTGGTAAGCAGTTTGGAATCAAGAAGATAGAGCAGCACCAGGGAGTAGTAGGATGCTTTGCATAATTGTTTTGACATTCCTTATTTTAGAATAGTTTAAGGAAATCTGAAGAGTCATAATACCTACTGCATATATGTTCCCAGGAGAGCTCTGACAGTGCATTTTTTCCTGGTTTATAGCAAAACCTCATCAAGACTTTCAAGTGGTTGCTTTATCCATTATGACATTTGGTTTTTTTCATATACATGATGGTGGCAGAGCCAGAGTGCGTGGAGTGTATTGTGCACTTGCTGGCATGAAGAAGCTGGTCAAGGATAATTAACAGTCATCAGTGCCATGAACTTTTTGGCAGAAGTGAGAGACTGCCTGAAGATTTGCTGAACCACAGGAAGAACTCAGCTGCAGCAGAGCAGTGAAGAAGCAGAATGAAATAAAATCTTGTTACAAATTTATGTAAACAAACCCAACAGAAATAAGATAGGTTGCATCACCTGCATTTAGGCTCAGTAAAACAGGCTATCAGGTCCTACAGACACAGAAACAGAGCAATAAATAATTCATTCACAGCAGGATTGTATAGAAGATGTAGCAGCAATGTTTAGCTGAGATTGTTCACTTTTAGTTGACAGTGCTATACTGAAAAGTTCTTTAAAGTATGTGACAATCGCATTAGGACTTCATTCTCTGTCAACTGATCAGCATAAAAAAATTCTGGCAGTTTAAATTTTGCAGAATGACTGTTCTGATGAAAAGGATATTTTAAAACTTAGATACTGCTAGTGATTTTTTCCCATTGTGACTGTATTTTTTTTCCTAATTACTGATTTATTTTAGTTAGAGGAAGTCCTTATTAATTCCCACTTTCAATATGTTCCTAGGTGTCACCAGAGGAATTTTGTGAGAAGATGTGGATCAACAGTACTAATTTTTGGAATTATGAGTGTGATGCACTTTCTGCATATGTGGCTTTATGCAACAAGCACAATATCTGCATTAGATGGAGGACACCTGATTACTGTTGTAAGCAGATAGCCATATTCTGTACCCTTATGTAGCTTCAGTGATGAGATTTTTTAGTGATTGTTTAGTGATAAGTTTAAAATATATTTCTTCCTATTCTTGCAAGTAACATCTCATTTTATGTCAGCATTGGTAAGTCAGGGTACAAATTCTTAGATGAGAATACATCATTTAGGCATGAATGGATTTTAATCTCCATTGAATTAGCTGCTTATCTAAAGTACTATTAAAGATATAAATGTTGCTTTCTGTGCTCACTTGTTATTTAACCAATTTACTACCTATTTAACCAATAAAATGCTGAAAGAATACAGAAGCACTCAATGTCCTTTTTTATTCCTTGCAGCATTGAGCTGTCCTGAGGGCAAGGAATACCAGCCTTGTGTGCAGCCCTGTGAAGCCAAGACATGCTTGAATAAATGGTTCTATGAAGATTCTCCCTGTTCCCATTTAAGGGAAGACTGTGTGTGCAAAAACGGCACCATTCTGCACAGAACAGACTCTGACCTCTGTATACCAGAAGAAAAATGTAGTAAGTACAGCAGGACAGAGTAGTTTTGCAGTATGATAATAATTGTTATATTAACAATTCATGGTAAGAGATAAGCTTAAGTTCTGTGTCAGTCCTCAGTAAATGTGAATCTGGTAAAGGTCCCTTCAACAGAGCCCACCTTTTTCTCAATGTACAGCAGTTTGTGCTTTCAGTTAACTTGGCTTTAAGAACCAGTGCTGATGTACCTCTGTTGGGGGAAAAGTGATGGTCATTCTTCTACAGCTCCCAGACTTTCCTCCCTTGAGAACTTTGTAAGGAATAACATGGGCAGGTTCTGTCCCTAGCCCTCACATATTTTCACCCATTTGTTCCTTTGGGGCTTTTAAGGTCATCATCCTTTCTTGGATTCTTTTATCATAATGTTCTTCAGCCATATTATTTTATGCAATAATTCTATGCAAGTCATAGTTGCTTGCAGGAAATGTGAGCTGTCTGCTCATTAAAGAGTTTTAATGTTTTGGTTTTTTTTCTTCCAGCATGTACAGATAATAAAGGACAACCCCGCTCTGCTGGGGAGGTCTGGAATGGGTCCGTGAGAGGGTGCTGCATGTACAGCTGTTTAGAAAACGGAAGCATTATTGCTGTAGAACCTGAATGCAGTGAGGATCCAGCACCAGTCTGTGAAAGAGAAGGGGAAGTTCTACTCCATGTCATTGAAGAGAGAGCTTGCTGTCCCAAAAAAGTTTGTGGTACGTACCTCACTTGTTTTTTGTAAAAGAATTATAAAATAAGTGCTTCACATTCACAGGCAGCTGACAAACTTTAGATTCAAGGTAACATTTTTTAGAATTAATTTTCAAGTACTTGTGGCTGGTTGGGCCAGCAATTGAGACTTCTATTCTTTGTAAGAATAAATAAAATTATTCACTGAAATAATTTTTTTCTTAGAAGTCCATCAGTTAAACAAAACTTCAGTTAGAAATTATTTTTTAAGCTCTTGCATGGAATTTAATAATAAATTAATATGTATTCAGTGACAGAAGTACCTTGGTATTTGGGGACATCATCAGAGATTGCTTGCTTGTCTTTCTTGCCTTGGTGTGATGAGCAGTATCCTCTGATCTACTGCTGTTTCCCAGAAGCTGTTTTCTGGGAGCTGATCACTGAATACTAATATTCTGCCTAGCCATGGTTCTTAAGAAAAAGAACAAGTTATTGCTCCTAAAACATTAAGCAAAATATACTAATTTCTTTGTAATGTCTTTAAGGAAAATGAGAACATACAGTCCAGCTGATATAAGCTTTTGCTTATTAGATGCCTGTAAGCAATGCTGTATTGTCAATTTGCTCAAGGAGTATCAGTGGGACATTATAGCTGGCTTCATGCATAGGGAGCAGAGCAAGTAAATACCAGTTTTAAGAGGGATATAACTGATTGCTTGGGGTGAGCTTGAAGGTCTACGTGGTGGTGTGGAGTGAACTTCAAGCTGACTTGGGCTGCTCTTGTTTTGTGCATCTCTGTATTATACTATATAAATACTATATATAATATAAACAGCCTGAACTATAGGACTTGTATCTGTTTAAAGACATCAAAATTGTTTTTTATCCCACAGAATGTAACATGTCATTGTGTGATGCCATTACTCCAACATGCAAACCCAATGAAAAATTAGTGGTAGGCTACCACCCCCTGTCCTGCTGTCCACAGTACCGATGTGGTAAGGGAAATACAAAACCACAGTTAGTGGAAAGTTTTCCATACTGATATTATATGTTGGAAGAAAATTTGCATTACAAGTTGTCTTGATTTTTAACAGAATGGGACACTGTAAATAGCACCAGGCAATGATGAATTTTTTAACTTTTTAAACATTCTCCTTTTTTATTTTTTTGTGTTTGTGTTTTGTGTTACTTCTGATTTACAGTCAGTTTGGGGTATTTTATTTTACTTAGCATATCTATTTTATTTATTCTTTTTCATATTGTTCCAATGACTCCTTTTAAAACAGTGCTTGTTTCACATCCTACAGAGTGTGATCCCTCGGTTTGTTTTAATGCCTCCCAGCCCGACTGCAGAGAAGATCAATTTATTGTTGAAGCAAGACAGGAAGATCCCTGTTGTTTCTCTCATCTCTGTGGTAAGAAGTCTCTAATATTTTTATGGAGAGCTAAGAAATAGTCAAGTATTTACAAAAACAGACTATAATTCTAAAATAAATAACTCAAGGCAGGAATTCCTAGAATGAGATTTTACACAGATCTGGCTGACTGGAGCATAATTATTCTTGGGTTTGGGGATCTTTTAATAAACATAATTATGAATATCATATTTGAACTTTGTTTAGCTTTTATATTAAAAAAATCCTTAAAAGGTTTATCTTACTTATTATATTACTGAGTAACTAATGCAGTATTTCTTGTTATATAGTCTTAGATGGAATTCACATGTGCTAATTTTTAGTATTTAAAATTTTGTATATGTCTGGCTTTTTATTTTTATTTTTTTAAATTTAGTTTGTGAATCCTGTATTGAGCCTGTTCCCTTGTGTAATGAAGGGGAAATTCTCACTGTAGACCTTAATACCATACACTACTGCTGTCCTCATTACTACTGTGGTGAGTGTAACTGTTTTGAGTTTGATATGTCACCTAATTCAGTAAGTGCAGGGATTTGTTTAAGTTTTGCAAGTAGGGTGGGCTTCAGGTATAGACTAAGAGGTCCAAATGAAGGTGTGAAGGTACCAAATGTGATGTAAAATCAAAGTTCTTGGTATGCCCAGTGGTGGTCTGACAAATCTAGTCAGTGGAGTCTGGAGAGGTTATTTAGTTCACTAGAGAGAATATGGTTGTCTTCATTGATCTAAATAACAGTATATTCATGTGGCATTAAATCCTATCCTTGGATTATAAATTTACAATTTTCATATATTAAAACACATTTAATAGAACAGTTTTCATGTTGTTTTACCTCTGTTGTACTATTCACTAATGTTTAGGCAGTTTCTTTGCACTTTTAGGTCCTAGGGGAAGGAGTAGACCAAGTGTTTCAAATGCTGCTGTGTTGACTACTATTCAAAAAATGAGCAGGCAGAAGAAAAATATTTCCAGTGTAACTTAGTCCTTTTCATAGCCTCATAAGATGCATAAATTGTGCTTTACATTTTAAAGTAAAATCTACAAGTATACCCACTTAATTTAGATTAACTTTCATCCTATTGCAGTCTTTCAGGGTAATTTCAAATAATCAAATTGACTTCCACTAAATTTGGAGTTTAGTAATTTTAACTTTATTTGTTTCTGTATTTTAGTCCTTTCCTTTTCTTAGGGCCTTTACCCAGATGAAATTTTCTGCAAAGGCCTTTGGCATTTTTCCCCCCAATTCTGGCATAGAGAAAGTTAGATCTTAGTGCGTGATCTTCTTTCACAATCCCAGTTAGCCACTTCTGATAAGGGAGGCACTATTTTCTTATCAGAACATACCTGGGCAGAAGTTGCTCCCTGTTATCTTCCAGAAGTGCCCTTTACAGTTCCCTAAACAGGACATTTCAAGTCCCTGTTTACCAAAGATTATGGCTTTAGTTATCTTTGGTACTAGTTATAATCTTGAGTAACTCTGAAGTAGGAAGAATATTAAATGATTCCTGTTTGATGTTCTCTGAAAATTTAAACATGTTTGAAGGCAACTAAAATCACTTTTGAAAATATTTTTTTAGTTTTTCATTCCAAATATAATTGAGATGCTTAAGAAACACAATAACATTTATATAAAATAATTTTCTTTTAAAAGTAATTTAAAAGTATTTAAATGTAAGCTGAAAAACATGAAGGAAAGTTGAGTAAATTCTCATATGTCTTTCCCCCTCATTTAGTTTGTGATGAAAATCTTTGTTCTGAGCCTCCTATGATATGCACAGATGACATGACACCTGTGAAGGAAAAAGTACTTGGGCAATGTTGTCCAGAATGGCACTGTGGTAATTATTGCTTTACTCCTTAGTCACAGTTGCTAACCAAAGCTAACAGTTAGCTAATAGATTAACACAATTTTCTTTATCTCCTCAGAATGTAGTTGTGAAAATGCCACTATGCTGACCTGTAAATTGGTAAGTGGTGTCTTTTCAATGCTGTTAGTAATGGTGTAGACCTGTCTTACTCCTCCCTTTTACACTCCTTGTTTCGGTTAGTTGTAAAGAGTGAACAGGGACAGGGTGGGATCTCCTTCCAGCCCAAGCTCAAGTGTGTAATTCCAAGTGTCTGCATAGTGTTGTCAGCCATTCCTTGGAGAAATTTCACTTTGTGTGTTGTAAGGTGGAAAAAGAAAAAAAGCAACTGTAATTTTGTCCTGTTCAGTGCTGACATGAAACAATATGCTAGTAAGGCTTTCAACATAAATAATTCACATTTAAAAAAGTAACCAGTGAGGTATGAGCTTTATGATTATAGTATCATCTGAAGAAATGTGTTGTTTTATTAAACATTTATGATTTTGATTAAAATTATTTAACAATTGAATTTAGCTGATGTGAGAAGTCATAAATATTTTGCTCCTCATGTAGTTTGTCATGACAGGGACTGTGATCTGGAAAATAATTAATAGTGAATGTTCAAACTCCCGTTAATACTATAGTGACCATTATTTTCCTTATGCAATGCCTGAAGTTTTTTCCTTATGTGAAGACAGCATAACACAAAGTCTACTAAGGAATTTTATATTTAAATAACTTTCACCTATCTTTTGGAAGAAACTCCTTAGGAGGCAATATTTTGCTAATATATTTATTATTGAAATAACTTTATATCTCAGGAAAGAATGCTGTTTATTGACTCTGCTGTTCTATGCACTGTTACAGAAAATGAAATGCTGTTTTCTGTTTTAAGAGATAAATACACTGAATAACTCTGAATGCTTTTGTTTCTTGAGTACATTGCAATTTTTCTCTTTTATGAAACCAGGGCTGGAAGTGATGAAAATAATATTTCACATTTTTAGAGAAAAGTTGTCTGTGTAGCACTACATTTAATTGACTTTAAATACTTTTATCTTTCTGTACTCAGGGAGAAGTTAAAAAAGTAGATAGCAGTGTTTCCAGTGCTTGTGGATGCACTCACTACATTTGTGGTAACTTTTTCCTATTCCTCATAGTTGTGTTTTAGTTTTTAGCTAAAAGGGTGTGCAAAGCAAGCAGAAATGAGGTAATTGTAATCTTCTCAAATGTAAATGCTCTTTTATTTTAATTTGATGTGTCTATCTAGTTATGCAATGCTACTCTCTTTTCTGAAGATGGTGCTTTGCCTGCTAACCCATCCATTTTGTGTCTATTTTGGCAGTGTGGGAGTGTTGTAGAAGTACCCATGCCTTCAGAGGCAGGTACAGTCCCTCTGGTGAGAGGCAAATAGGAAATAAGCTGTGAACAGTAGCTGAGTGTGAGCAGGGCAGCTGCTGCTAGTCAGCTTTCAACACAAAAGAGACATCTCCCACAGAGCACCAGACCTGTTCAGCCAGCACAAGAGGAGCTAGCCAGTCTTAAGATCAGAGCTCTGCTCCCTTCCCTCTCTCAGCTACCCATGTAGAGCAGATTTCAGCTGCACTGTGCATGGGGGTGCTGAAGCAAGCTGCAGTCCTGGCAGCAGCCCAGGCTAAACTGCCTCCAAGAGCCAAGCACCTTCACAGCCTGGCCAGATATCATTCCTCCCATCCTTGTTTGGTAATTAAAACCGCAAACCAATCGCATCTAAAAGATAGAATTCTTTTGCAGTGAATATGAATTTGCCTTACTTTTGTCTTACCAGTGGTTCTGTTAATTTTTTTCATGTTTTTTCCCCCTTTTGGTAACATTTATTTCTTTTGGTTTTAGAGAAGGATGATGTGTGCATCTTCCAAGAGGTCACAGTACTGAGCCCTGGACAGTCAGTGATTCAGTACTTGGATGGAGACCTTTGTTACACTGTACAGTGTTTACAAGAAAAAGATCAGAACACAGGCTACAATGCCATGCATTTCACAATGATGAACTGTTCCCAGCAATGTGAAGCTGTGAGTATTCCTAATATACAGGAATTATGCAATTTGTGAGCACAACTGCACAACTAGGATAGAAATCTTAGTGAAGACTTTTGCTAGCCCTGTTTACTCAGCAAGAACTTGAGAACTTAGCAGTGATGATGTCTATCTTGTGTTTACATGATTATTTTGAGGCAGTTTCTAGCAGCCTATGTAAAAAAAACCATCCATCCATCCATCCATCCATCCATCCATCCATCCATCCATCCATCCACCGTTTTCCTTGGTGTTTTTAATTTCAGAAATCAAAGAATTTCCATATAATGTATATTTAGAAAGTACTAGTTTGTCTTTTTCCTTTCCTTTCTTTCCAGCATCAAGTATACATTCCCTCCTTCAGTCACCATACTTGTTGTGGTACGTGTCAAAACGTGTCCTGCTCTTTTCAAACAGAGAATGGAACGCTGACTGTGTATGAGGTAGGTGCCTCTGAACCCAGAGAGGAACTAACTGTAATGATACAATAGACAGGAGTCTGACAGGCATTTCTTTGTTAACTCATGCTGTCATTCTTGTTTCATACCTCCTTTCTGCTGGTTACACGCTTAAGAGACTATTTATGGTGTCTGATTGGAAATCAGTGTGTTTATCTAAAGACCTGCCATTTCACATACGTAAATATCTTGTTGCTTGTAATATTTTCTGCAAAGATATGCAAATGTCATCATTTACTTAAGGCTGGATATGCTCTAAATGCAGAACAGGGTTCAAACCCTAAATAATATACTGTGATTTAGATGTGTTGAGAACTTCTGAGCCTACATCAGGATTTCTATGTCCCCCTCTTCTCAGAACCACTCTTCACGCTAGTTACTACAGAAAAGTGTAAATTGAAGCTCTGGGGTTCAGGATCTTGATAGTGTGTTCCAGCATCCACATACACAGAAATTTAGATGTGGCCATGATTTGGTTCATACTTCCAAATTATTTCAGAGCAAAGGAAACTATTGAACTGGCAGAGTCCTTTCATTCTGCAGTAGGACAGCCATGCTCAGCAGCACACTGGAGAGAAGAGCCATGACTGCAGGGAGGAATAGCCTCTGATAATTAGAGGATGGTCTTTCCCTTTTACCACCTACAGGTGGTCTGCAGCACACTTTCCACTCCAGTAGATGCTACACTATGAGGGCACTACTTTTGTAGACATTTCAGGTTGGAGATAAAGGCGAAGTGTTTTGGCTTTCCTAACAATGGCTTTGTTTTATATATTCAGGAAGGAAGCACCTGGACCTCCAACTGTACCAACTACAAATGTGTAAAGACTGCTGCAGGGGCTATTGTCCTGGGGTCAAGTGTTGTCTGTCCCCCATTCAATGACACTGAGTGTACAAAGGTTTGTACTTTGGGTAAGGTAAGTGACAATAATTGCTCTGGAGTTTGGCTTACACTCCACAGTGCAGGCAAACTTCATTCACTTTCTTTAAATTAAGAAAGAGGTAAGTAAAAACCTGTAAATGAGCAATTTGCAGTCATTTCCTATGCTCCTGTTTTTTTTAACTGACAAAATATCTGTGAGGAGTGTAAAAGTTTGGCTTGGGTCTTGTTGATGACTCCTTTTAGACTATTGTGGAATTGGAATTATGCTTGACATATCACTATATAAAGTGCTAATCACTATGTCTTACTTTAGTTTGGAATAATACTTTGCCAAGTTCATAGAACACACACAATAAATAGATCAAGAAATCCAAAAATACTCCATATAAAAGGCAGTTATATTAAAAATTCCTTAAATTGTGGAAAGATTAGGGAGATGACAGAGTATATATAAACTTTATTATCTCTTAAATTAAAATCTGCGTAACATACCTCATATATTTAAAAATATAAAGATGGCATATCCATATAAACTGCTTTGAAGAACATGTATTCTTCACAAAGACTGCATATTTGTTTACAGTTTCAATTCTCATTTAATAATTCTCTAACTTATAATACTTGGAAAATTTTTCGCTTGCAGTGTATCCTATATTTTATATGAGCTACAAATAATAATAAATATTTATGTAGAGAGGGTAAGTACCATTGCTGCCTTGACTACAGATTATACATTTAGTACCAGTCCTACTTACCCCTTCCATTTGTTTGAAAAAGTTCCTATTTCTTCCAGTCCTGAGGAAGATATTCTATTTAAAAATAATGCCTGTACTTCTTTGAGGTAATGCTTGAGTTTCTTCCTTGGAACCATTCTGACACCATCTATTAGGTTAAGATTTTAAAGAATGGAGCCCTAAAATTAACTTTCTGAATCTGTCTGACCTGTTTTTGAGAGATGCTGAGCATAGGCTTGAACAGTAGCTGAGAAGAAAGCTTTTCTCACAGGCAGTTCAGGATAATTCAGGAATATCTGAGTTTAAGTGCTCTTTTGAGAAGTTCTTGAGCAACTTATTCAATGTAATGAGGTAAAAAATATATTCTTGATGAAAAGATAGAAGCTGAAAAATTTCTGTCTTTTGTCTGTTGTCATCCTAAGAGTTCTATTTATGTTCTCTGCTTTAGATGCAGATCTGGGCTACTCACATTAATTTTTGAAGCTATCCTAATAAATCTCCATGGTGGGGAAATAGAGGGTAGTAGATTATATAAAATACATGTTTATAGAGACTAAGTGACTTCTTCAAAGGAAACTACATCAGATGTCAACTGAACATGACTGAGCTTGTCATCAGTGATGAGTTCATTTTCAGATTCAAAAGCTGTAAATAATTTGTGAAACTATCCTTCAGCTGGCACACACCTTTAATTCTGTTGATTTCAGTGGCAGTTCTTTTTATTAGTTTGACATTTTTAAAATGTGGAATGTCATGAGATACAATTTCCCCTTACATTTGGCCCAGACTTTTTTGCTATATTCTTCTTTTATTTTCCTAGAATGGAGGAATTGTGCAGACGTATAATGATGGCTGCTGCAAGACCTGTAAGTGATGAAGGCTGCAATATGTGCTAGTTTGGCTTTGGTTTTGGAGGGCTTATTTTTTTAACCTCAGTTGCTGGGACATAAAGAGGGAAAAAGCATGCAGTTCCCCCTAAAAATCAGATAAAATTCTTGTAGTTACCTAACTACTCATATTAAAATGTCTTGCTTCATTTGGCTGCTGACTTGGTGATTTTTAACATTATAGTTCTGGAGTATAACCAAATCTCCCCAAGTATGGAAGATTAAAACTGTCTCAGTTAAAACATTCTCTTTATCATTAAGTTGGCTCTCAAATAGCACCTTCTGATCTTCTTCTTAAAAGACAAGAGTTTTTCCTCTTAAAAATGATTCCTGATTCAATGACATTTTGCAATACATCTTCAAACTTAGCAATTTATTCTGTATCCCTAATATGTATTTTCTATCCAAAATACTGGAATGTTTTTTCATAAATCCTAAATGAGGAAAAATTAGAGTAAAACTGATGATTGCAAGGCTTATATAAAATCAGCCTTTTAATATCTGGTGATACATTCCCATTTTCTGTGTGTAACTTTAAAATATGATTAAATGTGACTCAAGCTGACATAAAGGTTACATAATTTATGCAATTTTAAAAATAGATTGAGAACAAACTGGTTTTCTCTGCAGTTTGGACTAGAAAAAAAATTATTTTCTACTTACATAATTATGTGTAAATATATATATATAAAACACTCTTTTATAAAACTAATTTTTTAGATTGTGTAGAGCAAGGACATGTTCAACATTACAGAAAATCTTAACCCTCCTTTTTGGTTGCTTTTGTGTTCAACATTAGAATAAAAGTAAATCAGTCTTTGGAATTTCTGTATACAAATCTTTGCTTCATATTATTGATTAGGAAGTTGCAGACTTATAACCATATATTGCACAGTTATTATATAAAACTGAAGTGCAATGTATTGAATATAATTTGGAGAAATAAGGGGAAGTAGTGATATTTATAAAATACAGAACTATACCTAATTTCCAAGCTATGTGAGTCTTAGAAAGGAAACTGCAAATATTATTGTTCCATTATAACCAAAACATGGAAAATGAAAGGTAGTTCTATACAACATAATGGTTTTTTTATTGAGAATCACCTTAGAGAAGTAACACACCAGAACTGTAGTGAAATCTTACTAATCAATAATCTTTCTCTCATGAGATTAAAAAAAAATAAATCTGCCCCATCAACCACACCCCCCCTCAAAAAAAATAAATCAATTAGGTTGGCATTATTTAGAAAATTAATCTTAAAAATTATTGACTGCTGGTTCTCTGTTGACTGGGAAGATTTATATCTTTGGCCATATTCTGTGGCCTCAGGAAAGGCATTGTTATACTTCAGAAATACTTGCTAAGGTGGCTGCTAAAACCCCCAGATATCATTCATATTATTATTTTTTTTTATTTGTTTTTTTGTTTTATTTTTAACTAAAAGCATGTGCCCTGTGGTGAAGCAGTTGAGTACTTATAAATAGAGCTTGCAACACATTGGGATTTTAATGGTAACAAATAACTTTTCTGAAAGAGTTTGATTTAATGCATGCAAAGTGAGTGCATATATTTAATTCTTACCTTGCCATAGACAGACTAATTCCAAAAGTTTGGTTTAAAAGGGTTTAAAAGTAAGCATTCCAGTTTGGTGTTAACCAGGAGGATAATAAAGTATAGGATAATAAAGTAAAGTTTAGTGAGACTTGAAGCAGCTGCAGAGTTTCTAAATTGCAGAAGACTAACAGGAAAGCTCACCCTCTTTTGCTAAAAGAAAAATTGCAGTTGGCAGTGTAAGAATTAATGAAGTGTCATTTATACAGAAATGTTTTTATTTCATGAGAATCTTCTATTCCTAATGATTCTGCCAGGTTCTGGATTGGGTCTATTACCCTTTGCCATTAGTCCAGTAGTGCCTACTGATAGTATTAATTGTGAACAAGGTATTATTTTTAATAATGTATTTTCTTTTTTTTCTTGAAAATAATATAAGCACTGCTTGATGTATGTGTCATAGCTGTCATCATCATTGGATGTTACCATGCAGTTAATGGCTCTGGGCCTGATACTGAGAGATGCTGATCCTCTGCTGGCTCCCAAATCTGGTTTTCTAAAGCCTGGTTGAGATTCACTGCTCAGCACCTGTCAGAATTAGGTTCATCCATTTCTCGTATATGTTGTTGATGGTTATTCCTGCTGCTCATTGTTGAAATTGGTTTTATCACATGAACTTGCTGTACAGGGTAGGTTTAATAAGAAATGTTACTTAAAAAAATTCATAATTCTCAATACTGTTACCAAGAGATTCTAAATCTGATGCCAGGTCTCTGAATTTAATGATGGAAATACTTTTGTCTTAAAATAGAGCAAGAGCGTGTGTTACTGTCTGATCTCACCTTTGCAGATATGGATTTATGCTGTGTTTTTTCTTTATCACAAATAATATATTTTACAAAGTCATGAAAATATTGAGGGCAGGAGCGGGGAGGGGGATGCAGCACATACAATTACAACCCCATGGCAGTATATTCTTTTTATTCCAGAAATTTCAGAACATTACAGAACTGTTGCAATACACATAATTCTTTGCTCTATAGGATAGGTGAGTCACAGAAACTCCTTCCTCAAATAAGGAATGAGTAAACAAAGCACATCTGATACTGAAATGCAGACCTTCACAGTTCAAGGTTGGAGAAAGGAAAATGAAGCAGCAGAGCTTCCATAAGACATCAGCACTTTATAGGCTAAAATGTTAGCTATTCATCTCTATAAGACTTGCTGCAGTACAAAGATTGCCCTGTCTGCACATACTCAAGCTGGCAAACATTTTCAGATTGAAACATCACAGAAATTAAGCATTTCTGAAAAAGGAAAAGTGAGATGCTATAGTCTAACAACTTCACTCATACACTGATCTGCTAATTCAGTAACAGAATTTAGTTTGATTCTTCTGAATGCACAGGTTAAAAATCTAGCTGTATTCTGCAGCCAACCTAATTTTTCAGTACTTAATGGAGCTGTGGTTGCAAAATATCTTGGTTACTCAGAGATCATTTATCTTATAAAAGTGCTCTCAAGCCTCTGGGGAACAGAAGAGTTGTTTTTCTGTACACCCAACCTTGAAGGAAGGTCAAGAAACTGCTGAATAGTTCTTATTTTATGTGCTGTATGTCCAGAATGGTTACACAGCAAAACTAAAAGATCATTTTGATGACTGGTGGATCAGGAGATTTAAATAACTGCTGTTACACAGATAGTGATAATGGTCTGATACATAGTGAAGCATGAAAAATTATGTTTAATTGTTTCAGTATTATATTATGACTTTTATTATGTTTAAAAAATGGCTTTCAACTGTACAGCTTTATTTTACAAATAAGAAAAACTCCAAACTCTCCTATCAATAGCTCCAAGACTGAACATAAAATTCAGTATTTCCCTCATCCTAGATCTGTATGCTGACTGCATGTGCTACATGCTTCAGATCTGGTGATAAAAAGTGCACCATATGTAGCAAATAAATGCATGTCTCTCTTTTAAGGCTTCCTTGAAGGACATATTTCTCAAAAATATATTGAAATAATATAATTATATTTAATTTTTAATCATGCAAAATAGAATGAAGATTGTAATCACATTCACACCTTCACCTTCTCAAATGCTAAGTTCTGAAAATTTTATAAAAGGCAGGATCAAAATCCTTTTTGCATTCGAAATTCCCAATAAAAAAAATTAATTCTAATACTATTCAAAATTACTGAATACATTTTTTCTAATTGTTTATATTTCTCTTGCCATATGTGCAACTTAAAAACATATTCATAGTTTAATATTTTAAAAAGAATGTATAGCTTATTTGGAGCATTTGATGCTCATACGTACCAGCCAAAAATAGGTAATACTGCACAGGAACTGTATATTAATATATTAGATTTAAAAAGAAAATTATGGAAATAATAGTTTCCACGTGGACATTAATTAAAATGAAGTATAACTATTTAAATTATGTTAATATTTTTACTTTTTAAAGAAGCAAATACGTTACAGAAGATGTATTGATTCAGTATGCATTTTTTGTATTTTATCAGGCAAAAAGGAAGAAAGGATTTGCCAGAAAATGACAATCAGGACAACCATAAGAAAAAATGACTGTATAAGTCAAAGCCCGGTAAGCATAAAATTTCAGTGCTGGGCCTATGGCATGCCAAGCCAAGCAAACTCCCTTTCCTCTCCAGCTCCCCCACTGGCACTCTTTTTCTATCAGGTGATTTTGGCCCATCAAATGGTATCTGCTGTGACTGGCTGGGAACTACCAATGTCTTCTTGGCTGGGGTACTGCTAACAAACTTTGGAGAGGGCTGAGCATGATTACATTTAATTAATTAATAAATGTGATTACTAGTGCTTAGGATGAAGTCTTTTTTTTACTTCTGTCAAATCTCAGGAAATTTCAAAGTTATCTTTTAGTTTAATTTGTATGGGTATGGCACATCCCATGACAAGCTCAGAAAGGAGTAGCTCAAAGCATCTTTCATATGCCCCACCTGCAGAAGAAATCAGATTTAAGTCTGTCACAAAAAGAACTAGACCTAGTATAGCCACCCTTGATTTCCCAGCATTTCAACTCTGCTTAAGTTTTAAATTAAAAGTATACTTCATTTTTTTGGTCAACATATCAGCGAATTAAATTCTTCACATAATGTAACAGTGAGAGAAAGCTTTGCTCTGCTGAAGTCTAGAGCACAAATAATTTTCTAGCTAGAATGTGTCATAGCTGGTTTGTTACTGCATCTACTTTCTGGATGTATTTCTCTGAGTGATAACACAGCCCTCCTGTATAAATAAGAAAGGGAAAAGCTTTTGCATTGATATGCTTTTCGTCTTTCAAGGAGAATGTTAAACTTCACTTTACTTAGAGGAATTTAACTTTTTATCAATGAACATGAAAAGGACATGGATTCAACTGTGCTGTTCCAAAGTTATTAATTTGTAAATGGGGATTCAATTTTGGTATCCATAGCACAAGGTTGAAACAAAACATATGATTAAACAATAAAGAAGTTTATTTAAAAAAAAAATAATTGTGGCTAAACTTAGAATGAATGAATTTTAGAAGATAAAATAATTTTTAAGACCAGAGTCCTTTGCAAATGTAAAAATGGGTTTCAATCACAAAGAAGTTTGAAATGTAATATTTTTATAATAAAATTTGAGATATCGAGTTTTAATTCTTACTCTTATTTTCTTTTACTCATAGGTAAATGTGGCTTCTTGTGATGGAAAATGCCCATCTGCAACGATTTTCAATGTCAATATTGATAGCCATCTAAGATTCTGTAAATGCTGTCGAGAAGTTGGAACACGAGTCCTGACTGTGCCCCTGCGCTGCTCAGGAAATGGCACTGAAATTCTCTACGTCATTCAAGAGCCCATAGACTGCTCATGCCAATGGAACTGAACAACACTGTGGACATGATTTAACTTTCACCAGACACACTTTTTTGGTCATGGATGAATATAGTATTCTGCAGGGAAATAAAAAAGGCATCAGTTATGCTTTACAATGTAACTTTTCCCAAATATAGCAAAGATATTGTTTGTTGTTCTTTGAATTGTCTTTGAAAATATTGGCAAGAATAGAAAAAAACACATAAATCTTTTTGAACAAGATGTAGTTTATCCATCATTTATTTCTACACAGTGGCTTTCTGATGAGGTGGTGAATAAAGATGGTTAATATGGTTAGTATTTCCAGTGTTTTAAAATTTTGGATTGTGGCTACCTATCAAAGTTGAGACTTTCTCAAATAATTTCTCAATGATTCATTTACTTAGAGGCCTCCCATTGAAAACCATCACCAGTTCCATGTTTAAATGGGAAAGAAGCATATTAGGATTTTGAAAATGACTGAATGAATTTATTTTTAAAATAATGGGTTCAACTGTAACATTTTTTACCTTGTTCAAGAATCTGTATTTTGTCCATTAAGCTGTTGTCAGTGACTGTATTCTGCTTACACTGTGAATGAGAAACAGCACTACTGTGATCTGTATGTACTTGTAGGTAATCTCCAGAGTATACAGCAGAATCATAATATCTTGAAACCTTAGACATGTATTTAATTTTTATTTATATTATAAATATGAAGCATGACTAGGCACAGGCTGAAGAATTATAGCTTTTGTGACTCAAAGATATCTGAAAGCCATTTCTGCTACAAAATTTTGTATCCATTTTTTCACTTTTCACAGAAAAGAAATTGGCTGTTTGCTAGTATAGAATAAGATTATATGTATATATATTTATTAAAAAAACCCACAGTACTGCACATTTTAAATATTCATAATGGGTTTTGTCTTTGTTTTCCTGTCTGGAGATTTGTGTTCAATATATTTTATAATTTGTTTTTTCAATACAGATATTTAGACTATTGGCTGAATTTAGGATTCATAATTTTTGAGTCCAGGAAAAAAAGTCAGGTAAAATAAATGTTTTGAAGGACTTAGGTGAGTTATTCATGCTCAATCAAGCTGTAAATATCCATGATTCTGCACCTTAAATTGAATATCATTTACCTTTTACTCAACATAATACATAACCTGCATTTAAAAATAAAGGATGCAAGTTTAATCTTGTTTTTAGAAGATTACTTTGCTTTATAAACTCACTGCATGAAAATTATATTAATTATGACAGTATTTTCCTTATCAATTTTCCTTTTAACTGTGTGAGAATTGAAATTGTCTAAATGTTTGAAAATCTTCTGACAGTTTTGATTTCAAACTGTCATAATTTAATTACAAAACAGTTGGATTATCACATGGGTTATTACAACGAAAAATAAGCAATAATAACTGCCTTAAAAGCCAAGGCTATTTTTCAACTTTGTGTGACAAATCTTTGTTACATTCAGTTTGATGGCTTATAAAGAAAAATAGCTTATACAGAGAAATCTGTTGTTATTAACAAGACTCATCTACTCATGCATATCATTAATAATAGTGACTTGGTTTAAAAATTATATAGCTATCCATTGTAAAATATGAGCAAAATATTTAACCATTATAAAGAAAAAAATGATCAACTAGTGATCAAAATAAAGTGGCACTTTGAGAAAGCCTATGCTTCATCTTTGTGTTTTTATAGTTTGTAAGGCAGATATTTCAAGTTTTATTATATACCAGGGCCTAGAACCAAAATGTTCTCTGATACTGCTGTCAGAATTTGTGCACAGAAACTTTTCATGCAAGCAGGAAATAAAAGTTAAATCATAGTCATATCTGTAAAGTTGGTGTACACAAACAGCAGATTAAAGGACAACTTTAAAAAAAAAACACCACCACCATACTTTTAGATAGAGGTAGGTATCCTATATTTGCCTTAACAGAGTTTGGCCTAATTTTACTTAATGAATTTAGCATTTGACAAAAAGGAGACCCTCAAAATATAGCATTTTTCAATATAATCATCAAACATTTTCATTGAACAGCTGTGGCCTTTTGTAAGCCATGTAAGCCATTTGATTTTCTAAGATTTAGAACTGTGTTTGTAATTGAAAAGAATTTAATAAACATTATTTTGCAGAGTGATAATAAATTGATGCAATTAATTAAGCTTTGCCACTAATTCTAATACAAAACCTTAGGAAAGCCTGGAAATTATAAAAGGAGTTATGTTTAAAATTAACTTCATGACAACCTGCAATAAGATAAATGATATTAAACTATTTTTTCCCACTTAGACAATTTGCTTTTTTAAATGCAACAATCAGTAGCAACTGTGTTAGGATTGCCCCTGAAGCCTACAGCAAAATCTTACATCTTCAGTGGAGCTGGATAGGGTGGCTCTAAGATTGTCTTTCATTTTACAGTTCAACTTCAAACTCAGGCTGCTTTGTCAGAAAGTGAACATCTATTAAAACCCTTGAACCATTTCCTGGACAGCCCACCCACCCCTTTTACCTCCAGGAAGGTGACACTGGCACAACGGGATGTGTTTTATATAACATGAGCTAGCCCTTGCAGGCCTTGCTCCAGAGAGAAGGTTTGAATGAACCTGCAGAGTGGCAGGACTATTCTGCTCCATCCTTTTTCTGTCTGCAACCTATACATATAAAAAACATATGCACTTTATGGTTCTGTCTTGGCTTTCTCGTTTCTCTTCAACTCTGCATTCCTCCCTCAAGCCCTGTCCTCAAATTTTGTGTAACTCTGTCTGCACAGGTGTCTTGTGTGCTGCTTTGGAAAGCTGATCCAACTCAAATATTATATGGTTAAATACCAAAATTAATTAGCCTGCTTATTATTGACCAAAAGAGCTTTCACACCCACAGCGTTCACTCCCTTCTACCCGCTCTGAAACTAACAAGCATAATTCGTACTCCCCTAGAAGGAAGGTTGGGGAGGCACTCCTGGAACTCCCACACTGTCACTGGAAAAACCAAGCAACTGTGCACGATGGAGGTGCTGCAGTCCCACCATGCCTTGTCATTTCTGCCATTTGTAACTCCTTCCAGCAGCCCGTCCTTCCTACATTTCCCCTGCTCCAGGGCATTATTCTTTTCAAGCGCTGTTTCCTACCTGTGCTTGAAAAGAATTCACACAATATAAAGGCTTAGCCATAAAACTATGCAGATATTTTAGAGACAAACATAAAAATATCTCTACACTTAGAAGAATCAGATTGTACCTGTATGTGCTTTTACCAAATAGTAAGTCTTTGTCATATTTATTTTAGACTTTTATAATTATATTGCCTTTTTACCAGGTAATTTAAGAGCAACTATAGCCCCAATACACAATTAGATTTTGAATCAAAGCTTTTAATATTAGGTATAAGCCACTTACTATGTGTTTTCATTAATAAAATATGAGAGTACAGCTATACAGTCAGCTAATATTCCCATTTTTAGCTAGCCAAATCTGTATACTAAAAATAAAAAGTAAAACGTAATTAATTTGCATGATATATTTCCACATTGCAGACAGAGCTCTTCCCAAATACATGTGCCTGTATATTGGTGAAATTTTAAGGCAGGATTAGGCCTCAGGTCTGGTGTTTGAACATAATTACAAGACACATAATATACTGAAAGGCAGAGGCATTTACAGCAACACACTCTGGGATTACAAATGGTCACTGTGCTGTTCAAAGTGCTTCAGAAGTGACAGAATTCTGTTTCAGATGTGGCTTATTTCCCCCTTCTTTCACAGTCCATTTTTCCTGACACAAATTCTTTTTTCCTTGAACTTCTGCCCTGTTGATACACTCAGCTTACAGAAACTGTAATTTTTTTTAATAATTATTTTATTATTATTCATTAGTTCTGTATAATTCTTTCCACCTCTTTTTCTTCTATCTTGTCTTTTACAATAATTTAAATGACAAATCCAATTTCCATGCACTACAGAGATCCACCTTTGTGTAAAAACTTACTGCCAAATAAACACATAGGTACCACTCAGGAATACTGTGGCAATGGAAAACATTGACTTGAACTAATTTTCTCAAGTTCTGTCTCATCAAAACCTTTCTCAGATGTTACCTTGAGATGCTGCTGCTGCTGTAATCATGTATGGGTATCCATACATGGACAAAAGAAGAATCCAAAGGAAAAATCCCATAGGAGTGTGCTCTAGGGGACAAAACATAAATGAGTTGTCACACATGACCACTGCAATATAACCATCATGGAGGACAAAGCATGAAGGCCAGGACATTAACAAAAATTTGTAGTTGCACACTCACAATAATTCTCTGGAATATATTTTCAAAAAACATTCACAACATGTAAGTAAAAAATCTTTTGAGGGGTATACTTCAGCACATTAATGCAAGAGAAAGAAAAGGGTTTTATTGAGAAAAGGTTATGGTAGAGATGGTTTGTGCGTACTAAATTTTGTCTAAACTTTCTTTAAATGCCAATTGGAATGTGCAAGCTGCCTATAGAATAAGAAAATTTAAAAAATTATCTCTCCATTAACAGGTCACCAGAGTTTGGTGAGGAAAGGTATATTCAGAGCTGAAGGACAATGGGCTGTAGCAAATAAGATATATTGACAAGATTTTGGCAGCCATATACTGATCATTTAAGAACTATCATTTTTGCCTATTTTGAAAAATAATTCTACATATATACCAGTTAGGTGGTCCTATATCTATTGGAATCAGTGGTAAATGAGTCCCTAACATGAGAGATTTGAGCATCTTGCTTCAAGGAGATAGTCTGGAAAATATCTTATATGTGTAGTTTCTAGTTTTGTGAGTAGTTTTAGTATGGGGGAGCTTGAAGAGCTGCTTCTGTGCTGATATCACACTGGAGAAAACCAGTAGTGAATGGTGTCACAACTTAGTCAGTAGGAATGCTGAATAAAAGGAATGTGTTTATGTTTTGGGGAGTGTTCTTTTGATTAAGGTGGAATGTGCCACGCATGTTTATTTTATTGTGGTTAACACAGAGAGGGCTCCTGCTGCTGTCTTGAAAATCGCTTTGCTAATAAAGTCTCCCTTTGTGCCTGATGATTAAAAATTGCTCTGGAAAAAAAAAAAAAAAGAGCATGTCTGTTTTGCAAACTCGCTGAATAAGCAGTAGCTTACTTTTGTCACTGATAGATAAAATAGCAAGCAGGTGACTACACCCATGTGCTCTGCCACTCTGACAGGGGGATTGACTCAGTGGTTTCATTGCAGCAGCTTTTGTTTTACTATGTGTGTCTTTGAGTCTGGATAGCATAAAAGTTCCAAAATGGTATTTTTCTGGTGAAAGTAAGCCTGTCTTGTTTACTACAAGTTCTAAATAAAGCTTTAGCTGAAAATCGTATTCCTTATTTCATGATCCACTGTTCAGTGGGATACATGTTTTAGTAAAAATTAGGAACAGCCCACTGAAAAAACAAGATAGTATCTCAAGACAGAAGTATGATGGAATGATAGCACCTAGGAAAATACAAAGTAATATGATATGACTGTTGCCCTTTTTGATGGTACACATATACCATGGCATTGATTTTTATTTATTTTATAATTGGTAAACATTTTTTGTCAGCTTATTAAACCTATTTAATTTCAAAGAACACAGTGGAAAACTAATTTTTTATTAAAAATGTTATTTGGGGAAAGTTTAGGGCACTGAGAATTATATTGAAATAAGTTCAACTCTGAAATTGCTGCTTCAGATCTGGCCAAAGATGAATATCACCCAGTATATTTTTTCTGAGCCCAGCTTTTGTTCAGCAGCCTTTGAGAAATAGAACAGTGGTCCCACTGCCATGAATTCTTGTCTGTTCTTTATTTATAGTTGCTTATACTGGTGACTTTGTATGGGACCTCTGTGAGATCATAAGACATGCCAATGGTTCTGCAGCTGTGCTTAGTACTTCTGCAGAAAAGTGTTTTCAGGCTTATTTTGTACACTGGCCACAGAATATCTGGGTAGAAAGGTACAGAAAAACAACCAGAGCCTGAAGAAAAATAAGGGCTAGCAGTGATTGCAATGAATTTTGATCTGGTAATCACATAGAAACTAAAAATAATTGTTTACATTGAGAGGTTTTAAAATTACTGGTGGACAGCAGGCACATCCAGAGTTCACTGAAATTAAAGGACCTCAGGAAACTTGATATGAGGCTTGGGAAGAGGCAGGGCCAGATCAAAGACACACATCTCAGGTGCACCATTGGCTGCCTCTGTAACCATGTGAAGAATAAATATGTGTAGTAGTTTTTCTGTTCTTAGGATATTCTGACATGATTTCACTTTGAAGCCGTGGTGATACAAGGACTTAAGAGATACTGGGACTATAACATTTCTTTCTCTATGGATCAACCAATTCTTCTTCTGCTTTTATTAAAATATTTATTTAAGGTAAGGAAAATAGTCTGTTTTTTGGGGGATGGATAACTAGTTGAAGTAAATGCTGAAAATTTATGGTTTGTGATTTGGACTGGTTTTTTTTTTCCTGATGTTCTAGCTCCCTGTTCACAGGGAGATCTCATTTAGTGCTACTGAACATTCCCAGTCTTCTTTCTACTTAAATAGTTGGAAGCTCTTTTGAAACCTTTAATCTGCTTTATTGCCTGCTGCTTTGGGTTTAGTGTTCCCCAGAAGAAGTAAGAGATCCCAGCATCTTTAAGTCACCTCTTAGACATGTATGAATTAAAAGCTTTAATGATATAATTATCATACCTCTGACCCTTGAGGAGGACTGTAAGAATAGCATAAGAAAATTACCTACACTGCCTCAGTTTCCCACCATGTGCAGCTTAAGGACTTTTTGAGATGGAAGCATTTGCAGTGCTATTTGTGAGCTTCATTGTAGTTCTGCTCTCTAAACTCAAACTTCTGCAAACACAAATGGGCCTCCTCTGACACCCCTTGAAACTTTTAGTACTCATTTTAAGCCTTGTCAGATAAACTACTTATTTTGTGAATAACCCTTGTTTCCCCCTCTTCTGTAAATCTGGAGCATACCAGCTGTGTTTCATCCCTCACAGTGCTTGTACTTGAAGAGAAAATGAAAATCCATTTCTGCACAGTTTTGGCTACTTAAGATTTTATTGATCTCTGCTGTATTTCCCCCTAAGGGCCTTTTTCACACTGAGAAGCCTACTTGAGTCTTATGTTGAGACACAGTTGATAGCAAAAGTTAATAAGTTGTTTGTTGTTTAGGTCTCCTGTCTCCTGAGTAGCTCACCTGAGGATAGATTTGAACCCTAGGTCTTTTTGGTCAATTTAATAATTTTGGTTTTATTTTTTTAAATTGCTTGGGTCTTTAAATGAGGGCCTAAAAAGTGATGGCAAGGTTCTGGTAACAAAAAGGAACATTCTAAATCACCCTCATTAGGTATAGGTATGGAACAATTTTTGTGTACATTTAAAAATGTGTTTCTTGTTTTTTAGGTCTAAGTAGAATGTATTTATGTACAGTAAAATGGTATACAATTGCTGTTGGTGGAAAATTATTAAAAATGGTTAATTCAGTGATTGCCAAATATATATTTTTTATCTTTAAAATCAGATTTTCCTACTGTTTGAATTGTCTGGGCTAGACAGATTGTGTTTTCAGGGAATGCAAGCCAGCTATATACCCAATATATTGGATTAAAAATCTGAAAAATATTCCTTAAACACTTTTGTGTATGCCATCAGTGTTATAAGTCCATTGTCTCAGTTCATTCCAGAGGTCCCTCTTGTAAAGGATTTGTAGTGTTTAAAGGCTTTATAAGCTTTACAAAGCTTCTACTTCACAATGTATAATCTAAACTCTGAACACGGAGATATTGACAGATTTATAGTTATGTTAGTTATTCATTAGTTAAAGGAAGTTATGTTAAGCCAAACTGAATTCCAGAATAAATTGTACTTTAAAAAAATAAACAACATAGTTTTTTTGTTGTTGTTGTTTTTTATGGGTTTGGGGTTTTTTTGTGGGTTTTTTGTTTGTTTTTGGTTTTGTTTTGCTTTTGTTTTTGTTTTTGTTTGGGATTTTTTTAAGCTAGATTGCTTTACAAGACAAGACAAAGTAATACAGTAATAAAACTCCTAACTTTTATTTTAGTGTCTTTGGTGTTCATATTTGATTCTTATTTTAGTTTATTTTTTTGAACAAGATTTTAAATTCATTGCCAAGGTGGCATTTATTTGTCATCTCAATTCATTAACAAAGCAAAAACAAGCCACAAAAGACAGAACTTGAATAGCTGAAAATTTTTAAATTAATGCCACTAAAGTTTTTAATGTGTAATATAAGAATAGGACTGAGACCTCCAGCTCCTGACTGCTTGTAACTGTGGTTGTAGTATGAACATAGCAAGTGAAATCTCTGTCATTGCTTCTAATATAAAATGATGACAGGTTTCTGTCATATTTGGGTCAGCTAACATGATTTTCCACCTCTGGAGAGAGAAAGAAAACTAGAACTTGTACTTGCAGAACCTGTAAAATATCAGGAGGTCTCTGTGTGTCACACAGTAGAGCTGGTGATACTGGTCCATGTAAAAAACTATTGTTAGCTGACAAGCTCTAGGTGAAATTAACTAAATTAACTGAAATTGAGTTCAATTATTTAGTTAGAAGTATGTTTGCTGCATTTTCTACTAAGTTGCATTTGTGTATGTTTGTCTTACAGGGTGTGCAATGTGTAGACTGTGACCAAGCAAAAAAGCCTTCTAGAATAGTTTGGATGGAATGGACTGAACTGCCCAAAGGACAGGATCCAGACTATTATATTCTGACATACCAGCAAGCAGATGCTTTCAGCCAAAAAGTATATTTTATCAATCTAAGCAATAAGTTGTTCCATGTTATTTGAGCTGCAGGTAGCAGTAATTAATAGCACCATATGTTTGTTTGGTTCATTGTTTTTTTTCTTAAAAAAAAAAAAAAGTAAAATAGGAAATAAAGAGAAAGTTTGGGGAAAAAATGCATTGGATATTTTAATTAACATCATTTATGTGTACTCTTTCAGAGTCCTACTGAAGCCAGTGGGACTCAAAAGACCCTTGAGTATCCTGTTGAATAAAGATGGATAGTCATATTCTCAAAGTTAAGAATATGCAAGTTCTTCAAGGTACTGTGGTTTGAAGGTGGAGTTTGACTTCTCCAGGAGACACACAGACACTATCCCTAGATCTCAGTGGGAAGGCATTATTCTTATTTTGAGCATGTCTTCTGGAATTTAAAGAAAATATTGGAATTTTAATTTGAAGGTGTTTGTTATTAATGTGATTTCTAAAAGGCTTTGTTTCAAATGCATTGGATATTTTGCAATGTAACTGCAGCCTCAAGTTTGATGTGCAGTGATATAAGCTCTCCTTCTAAAAGCTTCATAGATCACTTATAAACTGTATTTTTATTACTTTCACTATATTCAGAAATTCTTTTAACTTGCAGAATGTAAGAAACATTTCTAAAGCTGAACGGAAACCTGTCAGTACTACAGTTCTGCTGGAGGAAAGTAGGAAGTATGATGTTACAATAGAATCTCTGAAAAATGGCCAAATCTTAAGCATAAAATCATTTAAAACACGTAAGTCAAGAAGCACAAAAAATATTTTGGTATCTTTATAGGTAGTCTGATACTGAAGATCAAAAATTAGGGATTCAGATCCCGAGATTACTCGTGTATTTAGAAATTTTGCACTGATGTATGCTTTCAACCATGAAGTGTTGTTGAAGGAATAATTTTATATAATGTGTTTGGTTAGTGTAACAATTCTAAAATATGAGGCTGATGTAAAAGTTTCTGAGATTTTTAAATATTACAGGTTTTGGTATACTACAGTGATTCTAGGAGAAGAAATCTGTAAAACAGGACCAAGGAAAAATTACTTAAAGCCTGGAATTTCATAATAATGTTGGGTCATTGTCATATATAAATTAAAAAATAAATAAAATTGTCTTGTTTCAACTTTGTAACAGCCCCTCCTTAAAAAGGGTTAATAAGTACCTTGAAGATTTTAACATTGTGACTAACTGGGACAGACATTCAACATAAAATGTATGAGTTTAGCCGCTGAATTTATGAAAACATTATTTATAGCTGTAAGTCCATTCAGGACCACAAGTCCCACTGGTTACTAGAATGAAGGGGCTTCCAAATTTAACTTTGTCACTTAATATAGTTTGTAGCATTACCTTTTACACATTGCAAGCTCATACTATTGCATAGCTTTGGAATACAGACTTGTATCTGAGTTCAAGCAACAGAGCTGGGGTCACACCATGGTAAGTTCAAAGCATTGCAGGAGCCATCAACTCATGAAAGAATGTTCAGCAAGCTACAGGAAATGGTTACTTTGCTAAAGTGTTACTGCACTTGGCATCTATTAACTGATATCCTATCCAAATATGTGCTTTTATGGTTCAAGCACTCCTGAAAGTGTGCACTTTTATCTCTTGCTTCAGACATAAGTTAACATACCATGAAAATAAAAGAAAACACGACTTTCTTAAATGATGCTACATTTCCTTCTCTATTGGTGGCTATCCCTCATCCCTTCTCATAAGAAAAATGTAATAATATTGATGAAATAAAACTTTAATTATTTATTTGTGAAAAACACAGTATTTATTTTTTTGTTGTCTACCAGGTGGAATTTCAGAAAATGACATCAAAACATTTGTGACAGCTACTACAGTGTCTTTTAATTGGAGTATGATGATCAAAGAATTTTCAGTTTCTGTTTTCCTGGATGGTACTTCTCAGATTATAAAAAATCCCAATGGATTCTTTGTGTGGAGAAATTTGACACCTGCCACCATTTATACATTTAAGTTTATATTTGAACAATTAAATCCTGAATTTGCAAACGTGTCTCAGTCACTGGATATTCAAGCTGAAACAGGTATATATTAGAGTTTCTTCTAGTCACAGTGAATGCAAGTTAGTACTACATATTTTCTAGAAGGGTTAAGAGTTAATTATAAAATCCTGTATTCCTCTTTACATATTTCAGTAGATATGGATGTTATTTCTAGAAAGAGGAAATAAATGGAATGTTAATGACATAGGAAGGTTATTTCTAATTAATACTTCTTAGTATTTTAGGAGCAAGAATTTAAATTTGCATGTGCACATATTTTAACTATATTTTTGCAGTTTAATATAGTGTGAAGTCAATGTTGAAGTTAAGCCTTGTAATTATTGGAGTGTATATGTTGAATTTGCTAAGTAGTTTCAATGAAAAGACAAAGAAAATCCTGAGTTTGGTAAGGATTTGGAGCACTTTCTGAAACATTCAAAATGATGGGATTTTTATTGTTGATTGGCAATCCTAGCTGTGCTGTTTTCTTAGAAGTGCTGTGAGGGAGACAAGATTTTGAGGATATTATATCTTGGTTGTGTATCCTCATTCTTTTAAATGTGCTACTCTCATAACACAATTTAGAATCTTTAAAATTAAATAAGCAAAAGAAAGAATTATATACAATCAAATTCAAGAAAATAATTATTTTCTCAAGAAGATATTAAAAGAAAATGGTTTGTTAAATTCATTTTTATAATTAAAATAATCGAATCATCAGAAACTAAACTTAAAAAATAACTTTTTTTCTAGAGTATGACAAAGACTAATGGATCTCTTTTTTTTTCTTCATTGGGTTGCAGTTGTAGCTTTTAATTCAGTCAGTCAGATTTTTTTTAAAACACTCAGGACTTTGGAGTGTTGGTTTATAATCACTGAATGTTTTGGGGGTTGAAATAATGACTTGTTTAAACGCTATTGTCCTCAGAATGTCTGTGTAATTATAAGAAACCAGCACCACTGCCATGAGTAACACATATCTTTAAAATCAGGATAAAAGTAACAGGATATCTCTAAAATCCTGTCCTTGTTCACCTGTTACAGGTGCCTGTTCCCCAGGGTGGGTGGCGTTCCAGAGCAGCTGCTACCGAATGAGTGAGGAGAGCAAGCCATGGAAGGTGGCACAACAAACCTGTCAAACCTCTTCACCAGGGGCACATCTTCTTGACATAGGGAGTGAAGAAGAGCATGGGTTTGTGTTGTCATATCTCCAGAAAATTAGTCGAATCATCATGTTATGGACAGGTCTTAATGACCTAAAGGTCAGTATATTTTAGCATCTTTGTTATTACAGATATGGAAGCAGGAGAACTTTTAAATAGAGGAGCAAATCCTTTGGAATAAAAATTACTAAACAGTACCTTGGTTATTTTTTTCTATAGTTATTAGTAATTAGACAAAAAAAAAAAATCATTGTTTCTTTCTATTTAGAAATACTGAAAATATTTAGAAGGTCGGGGGGGAAAAAAACCCCATAGTGTATACTTAACCTGTAATTTTGTGTGTGTGTGTGTGTGTGTGTGTGTGTGTGTGTGTGTGTGTGTTATTTCTGGAGGATACTATTTTGCCTGTAGGTGGTGCAGTATAACCAGATTTTAAATCTCAGTCTACACACTTGCTACTATGGCTTTCGAAATCTGGGGTTGGCTTTTGGTGCAGGTCTGAAATGCTGAGAGTTGAACTTAGTGAGGTCTGTCCAGTATAGATGGAGCAAGGTGTTTCTTGTAAAATATTTCCTGTTTCTTGTATTTGGGATATGAAAACATTTCCTCATCTGAGTGTGAATCTAGCCATAGGTTTTTTTAGCTAAATATTTTTGTTTTCAGACTCAATTTATGAGTATTTTTGACTGAGTAATTTCAGACTCAATTTATGAGTATTTTTGACTGAGTAATTTTTTAAGTGAATAGTCTTTTTAAAAAATTATCCATACAAGATTATTCAGTTATTTGATTAATAATGGTTTTTAAAGTCTTGTTTATAATAATGAAACATACTCATATGGTTTATATTATAATATTATAATATAAGCCATATATATAAGCTGTACTATTATCTTGTAATCTTTTGTAATAGAAGGGATGGACTTTTAGATTGAAGCCTTTATTAAAAATATACTTATATAATTGACTTGTATCTTGTGGACAGATGGATCTCCTTATCTTCTAAAATACAGTATCTCATCTCTGTCAATGATACCAGAAAATCAAACTGACTGCTATGCCCTTCAGAGAGATCCCACTGGCCCAGACTATTTCTTCACAGGATTTTTCTGCTATGTACAGCTACCATATATTTGTGAATATGAATGTAAGTATATTTTTTAAATCTTTTGCATTTATTCTTAAAAGCCTTGCCTTGATTACATTTATATTTAAAGATACAAATATAAAACTTAAAGGGTTTTAATGATTTTCAATTTTTGTTTGTTTGGTTTTTTTTTGCTGTTCTTTTTCAGTACCTCGGGTACCAGAAAACTTCATGTTTGATGTCCGTGATGTCAAGACAACTGAAGCTGTATTTGTGTGGAGCAGCATGGATATGTGGCTTAAGTCAGGCTTTGCACTTATACTTAAGTACTATTTTGATGGGTGGAAACCATACATTCTGAACTTGCCTGTGAATACAACTCAAACAAAAATTGGGCAGCTGTCTTCAGGCCTTCGCTATGGTTTCTTATTAGCAGCAAGGAACCCAGAAGGAGCACAGACTAGCTTAAGTCCAATTCTGAAGGTAGAAACAAGTAAGTTACAAAAATAAATAGCAGTAATAACCAGATAAACATATATATTTCATATTTTCCCTATAATTGCACTGTTTCCTGTATTCTCTGTTTATCAGTATTCACTAATACACCATGAAGGTGGCTTTGCTGGATTTGCTCTAATAGTATTTAGCCTGTATGTAAGTGTGCATTGTTAGGTTTTCAGGCTCTGTTTAAAACAAACAAGGAAACAAACAAAAAGACACAACAAAACACCCCACAGTTACTGATGAAAGGCACGAGAAACTGTTCCTAATCTTCTCCAACAGGGCCCTTGCACTCCGAGAAGTTAGAGGCTACATATGTCTCATCTGCAGAAATACATTTAAAATGGAACCCTCCACAGCATTCATCCAGTGTTTCTTTTCATTCCTACCTGCTCAACATATTGGATACTGAAACCAACATCTGGGAACAGTTACCAGTTGAAAAAAGCAAGACTTCAATAGTCCTAGGAAATGTAAAACCTTATCATCAGTATCAGTTATATTTACAGAATGTAGCAGAGAAGGGAACTCTAAGCTGCCATGAGAAGCCTATAATAATCACAACAGGTGATGTATCCATTTTCTATTTCTTTTATTTCACTGGACAGAGTTTAGATTGAAAATACAAGACATAAATGTATTTTTAAAGCCATTTCAGATTGTGGTTGTTGGGATACTCTTCAGAACCTTCCAAAATTTTGAAAGCACCAATTTATTTATTTATTTATTTGTTTGTTTGTTTATTTATTTATTCCTTTTCCTGTTTACAGCATATTAGTATGAACTAAAGAAGCAACATTCTGCTTAATAAATTCTGATTTATAGTTTGTATCGCTAATTTTAGCAAAGTTAAAATATTACCACAATTTCTCAATTTTTTTAGGGCAGACTGTGTCATCTTTTTACTTCATATATATCTGGTAGAATGGATTATACTTGCAAAATGAGTCCTTACTTGCTATGACAAAACAGAATCTGCCTGTAATAGGTAGTTGCCTGAGAATTATTTTAAGAAATAATTAAATTAATCAGTAGGTTTAAAATCATGGCATTTTAGAAGAAAAAGCAAACCAAGATACATTCCTGGAAACTGATTGTAAAGTGCTAGTAAGTTTGATGTATGGTTCTATGTTGACATCTTTTTCTTTGCTCAAGCTGTCAGTCCACCTACAGCTGTTTATATTCACCCTGAGGATGTAGAAGAAGAGAGCGTAATCCTTCACTGGAAGCTGCCACAAGAGTGTCAGGAATCCTACATTCAAGTGAAACCTAATGCAGACACTGGTGAAACTAAAAAGTTTTTATTAAGTAATAAAGAGGAATTAAAGCTTGATGACCTAACTCCTGGAATGGCTTATGAAATAGCAGTGGCAAGTGTGAAAAATGGAACTATGAGCGAGCTGAAGACCATTCGATGCACTTTAAGTAAGCCATTATTTATGGTGGAAACGACAGGCTATAATACACTCAGTCTCACTGTTGTTGCTATCACCTCATTAATTTTGTTGATCAAGTCAATTTGCTAAATAGCCAAGGGTCAAAACTTAAATAGGAAATGTAGAGATCCAATCCTAATTGTTAACAGCAAAGTTAACAATTTTTGAAGAACAGTGAAGCCTTGGAAAACATACTGCTACTAGTGACAACTGTGATGGGGACCACAGCTGGAAATCCTGTTCCCACTGGCAGAAGAAGCTGGGTGAATCTTTGATTTGCACTGAAATGGGAAAATATTGAAATGGTTGAAATGGATTATTGCTTTTTGGAGATATATTAGTTGTTCTGAGAACTGTGAGAAAAAATTGCCCTACCATTAGTGAGAGGCTGCTAGGAAAGGATTAGAAGCAATAATAGCTGAATATGAGAGCTTTGCATTGTTTGTTGAAGCATCTTTCCCATTGATAGTGAAGGGTTTATTGGAGGGTCTTAGTTTACCAAAATCTTGAAATGCTTTTGGTGTTGTATATATTTTTTACATATGTGAAAGGAATGGGCAGGATTCACTTATACGTATAATATATAAAGGCTGCAGCTGTCAGGTTATAGATTCATGAAATACTGCAGTGTCATTTCTTTCTAAATGATCACAGTATTTTGGAGGGTGACAATCTTAAGTCTTTTCCAGAATTTTTTATATAGGATTATATTTAATACCTCATTCATGACACAGATGACAAAATTGTAGATGGGATATTTCACAGCTGTCAGAGCCAACTATAAGGGAAGAAAACCAAACATGTCAATGTTGTATCCATCAAATGCATCTCATTCTCCATGGTTATCTCATCTACACCTCTGTATAATTTTCCAGTTACCCTGCTTACGGTCTTGGTGCAGTTCTGGTTGAGAAGGAAATTCCAGTTAAAAGCTCAGGTTGTTTATTGTTTCTGAGCAATGACTTGCTATGGTAGCTGTTAATTTGTGCTTGGCAAGAACATTTCTCAGGGCAGTTGCTTCAGGCACATTATGTGATTTTCACTTAATTTTATTTTCAACTGGCTTAATGTGTGGCATTTTTTTTTCTTCTAGAGCCCAAGCCTGTCCAAATTGTAGTTCCTTATGTGCTCTATAGCAATGCTGTGGTACTATTTGTTCGTGTGCCCGATATCGGAGTATTTGACGGCATATATGTTACAAGTAAAGAAGGACCTAATGCAACATTCATTTTAAAAAGTGATGGTAAAATAACAATTGAAAACCTTACTGCAGGAAGAGAATATGATTTCTGTGTCTCCACAAAAAGTGGGAAAATGTTGAGCTCCTTTTACCATATAGCTGGTGTAAAAACATGTGAGTATTTTAAGTTCTTATAAAATTGCACTATATAAAATCCTGATTTTCGAAACTTTTAAACTTTATTTTTATCTCAGTGGAATAGGAAAAACACACTATTCAAAAATCTTCTTGATATATTTATGTAAGCAATTTGCAGTTGTACTAACACTAGCTGGTTTTTAAACAAGACTATGAGAATCCCTTAAAATTTCTAAACTTGTTAAATTGTGTTTTTTATATTGTGTATAAAATGTTTAGCAAGCATTTCTGTATTAAATTATTGTCCTTGTGGGAGACATTATGACCATTTATTTTAAACAAGTAGATGAGTATCAATGGAGTTTATTCTTATCAATAAGTTTATTCTTCCTGGTGTATCTTTAAGCAAATAATAAAAGTGTTAAGGTTCTCCAAGGTAATAAATTAATTCACAAAGACATAAAAAGACTTGTAGTGGATGGGACACCTTCTATGAAGGCCTTTAGAAGCAGAATTTTAATAGAAATTTAAAAATTATTTTAAAAATACCTGCTGAAATTTTGTGTCTTTACTTTCCTATTTTTTATAGTATTTATACTTCCATAAGTGTTTCTTTTCCAATTTTATTATTTTCCTTTGAAATCTTTTCTGCTCTGTTTTTTTCAGAATACAAATATCATAAAAAGAAAAGATAGGATCTAAAGATGTAAGGAAGAAAGAAAAGGTGAATTAGAGCAAGACAGAAAAAATCATCCCCAAATAAAGCAAGCCTTGAAAGCTAATATTTCTTAAAAAATAGTTTTAATTAAACTATTTAATAAACCTATTATTAGGATGTAATCAATCTTCTGCCAGCATTTCCTAAATTTAGTGGGGAACTCCCTTACAAAACCTAGTCTTATTCTGACTCTCCTGGGGCCTCAAATATTTGGAAGAAATAAAAATCCTGATGCCTCACATGTGTAGTTTGTACATTTTTCCTCAGAAAAAGTGCAAATTCCGGTATATTCCAGACAGAAATGGCTGTGATGGGGATGAAAGAGATGTAGAGAAGAGCAGAAATTCTCCTGTGAAATGATCTGAATTGTACCTAACAAGACTATACTAGTAAGGGATAAAGTGTATTTGTCTAGCCTTATCTACCCAGTTTTTCTGAGCCTTTTGACAAAATTTAGGTGCATTCTGACCACTGTGGTGGTGCTCTTGGAGGGATTAACTTCATCCTTGAGAACTTTCCCACCTAGGGGTGTCAGCTCTGTCCTCAGGGAGAAATGTAATTTCAACCTCATGTAATTTTAAGACAGAAACACAAGAAATTTTTCTTAAATAATGGCATTACTATATCTTTTTTCTCCCTCTCTTTTTTTCCCTCTTTATTTTGGAATTGCTGTGTGTCTGCACACCTGAGATCGGATTTTGCCCTCTGGTAGTCTGTTACTGATTATCTTCACTTTTAGGATATATGAAAAGTGTTAGTTTGACCAATGCCTGGGATTGATCAGAGAGGTGTTTTATGTTCATCTGTAGGTCTGGCAGCTCCCCTGAAGGTACGAGAGGGCGACGTGACTGACACTTCCATACAGCTCTCTTGGGACCACGCCGATGGAGATTTTGAGCAGTACGAGGTTACCTGCACTAATTGTGAAAGTGCTTTCAAGGTATGCTGTGTAGGGCACCACCTCTGAATATGCACTGCAGCTATTTTTCAGTCTCCTCCTAAGTAGTCAGAGGCTGAATGAGAAGTTTTATTTCCCATTAAAGTAGTTGGATGTGAGGTTTATAAACGATAAATGAATTTTGTAAGCAGTTCTGTGAAAGCTGTATTTGGATTTCCTAGGTCCAGAAGGTCAAGCAAGAAACAGCAACATTTTCCAACCTTAGTCCTGGTAAGCTGTACAGTTTTGCAATTAGAACAGAGAAGGAAGGTTTCAGAGACAGTATTTTTGTGACAAAAGAAATAGAGACAGGTAAGACCACAATGTTGTCAAATTCAGTGTTTGTTTTACTCCATCCATATCTCTTGCTTTCTTCTTAAATTTTATTTTTGTCTCAAACAAAGAACGGTAATTCAACCATATTTGTAATTTTCTCCTTAGTCTCTTTCATTGTGATTTTTTCTTATTCTTTGACTGCAAAGGACCATTAAGAATTTCAATATAGCTCCATTACCATGCCCATGTATTTACTGTGCAATGAGATACCAATGTTAACTTCATGTTGATTCTAGCAGCTCTACAGTCCAGCAACTGATACTTGCATAGCGTCTGGCTACCCATATCAGAGAAAACATTTTTTTTTCTTATATATTTCTCTTTAGTGCTTTAATTTTTCCTCTTCATCTATGACTTTGAACACACTTGAATTGGCAAAAGTAAATTAGTTTTATCATGTTTACTCATTGGCATCCCCTTACATCATAAGTAAATTTGGGCTTTACTACATTTAGTTTTATTTTAGGTTAGGACTCTACTCTCAGTAGTGTAGTACTCCTCTATTCTAGTATTTCTAGCTGGTTGACACAGCCTCTAAGGCTATTAGATCTGGTGTAGTTTCCTCTAAAAGGTCACTACTGTGAAAAAAATCAAGCATAGTAGATGTGATTGAAAAGGTTCAGCATACCTGATCAAAGATATATAATGTTCTGCATTTAAGGAACCACTGAGTTAAAACTGATAAAGGAACAATGTGAAATCATTTGTGAGAGAACAAATCATGGAGAGGCAATTATGGAGCAAGTAAATCATGATTCTCTGACATTTTCTTTTCCAGAACTAAGGACTTGAAATTAGAAAACAGAAAGTAGGAACGAAGCATAAGCAAATGGTTGTTTACTAAATTTGTAGATAAATTGCAGAACTTCTTGCCACAAGGTGTTTTGTGTGATGATTGTGATCATAAGTTCATGTGGAGACCAAAGACATTAATAAAAGACACGTCTGCTGAGATTTACTACATAGAAAATAGAAATCACCTTTTGTTCATGGAATCCTTGGGCTGCAAACTGCAGTCTCGGGGACTACTGAAAGAAACTATCACTATGCAATTCTTGCTTTTTCTGCAGACATATCCTTTTGGCCACTGTTGAATAAAAGATACTGTGCTAGTTGGAATTTAGGTGTCTGCACAGTATGTTACCTCTTATACTGACATTTCCTTTCTTGAGAAATTGTCCATTTTTGAGGAAGTCCACATCAGTGGTGTCAGAACTGCACTAAGCAGCCTTACAGAACAGCAAACAGCTTGGCTCTGGATTTCCTGGACCACAAAAGTCACTACATGTTTCTGCAGTGCTAGCAGTCTGTATGTCCTTGAGATAAGGAAGAACATGACATCATTTTTGTGGAGTTCTTATTGCATTCTGATGATGAGAGTCCTGTCATAAAGAAATATGCTTAAAATGTATTTTTGAATCTATGCATTTTGTTTTATTGTCACACAGTACCAAGTGCAGTCAAATATCTGAATGGTAGCAGAGACTCTGAATCAATAACTGTTACCTGGCCACCAGCACAAAGTATGTTTGATGGATATGTTCTTTCAATAAACAGTAAGGTCTTCAGTGAGAAGAAAATGTTACCTGCTGTTGTGAGGTATGATGATTACATTAGAAGAATAACTGACATGAGCTCAAAGCAGCTGTTTCCCTGGATATTTAAAATAAATAGCCTGTGCTGTTATCTATATGCTATATGTATTTGATGGTTTAGTTGATATACATTTCTATGTCCATGTATTTTAAGAAGTGCATTTTTATATCAAATTGCAATTCTCATATGATGTGTTTATGCAAAGAAAACAAAACACCACACTGGGGTGAGCACCAGTAGAACCTGTGTGCCACTCTGGATATTTACATCAATAGTTTAAAACTTTCTAGTACTAGAACTTGCTGTGAACCACAGTGTAATGCACCCTATTTAAGATTTTATAGAACTAAAATATTTTTTGACTCACAAGATATAAACATGTGTACACCCATCATGAATAATATCCATAAAACTATAAAGAATTATCATATGAGCATATATACTTTTTTAGAATGGCAAAAGACATCATCTCTTCTTTTAATCTTTGTAGAATGCACAAATTTGAGCATCTTCTGCCAGGCACTGATTTCTTAATCAATATTGTGACAACCAATGGATTAAAAAGAAGTCGCCCTACTGTCCTCAAGATTAGCACCTGTAGGTTCAGTTTATTAATGACTTTTTGTGGTTTCAGATAATTAAGGTGTTCTCTAAGAAAAGTTATTCCTTAAATCAATGAATCTTAACAATGACTGAATGGATGCTTTTAAGCTTTTCTTTTCAATCTAAATATCTTTGAAAGTTACTAAGTACATAAAAGCTTTTAAAATGCAAAGTTTCCTCTGCATTGGGTGGATTTTTGCTGGAATCAGCAGTAGTGTTGGGATGATAAAAATTTCCCGTAAAAATTGACAAAGGTTGACTTTATTTCTGATTCTGTTTCTAATATTAGAAGTGATATTCATTTATTTGAAATTCTTTTTAAGTACAAAATGTAATCTCTTTCTAGATGGAACTATGTAATCAGTTAAAGCTATGTGTTCTGTAGATGTTGATTTCCTTAAAATAAATATAGATTATTGAAATCTAAGTTTTACATCCTCAGATCCTGATCCACCATCAGATTTACAAGTGTTTGGACAAGAAGAGAATACAGTCTATTTTTCTTGGAAACTACCGAGAGGAGGATTTGATATGTTTCAGGTGAGATGAGAATGGGAAGAAACTAATAGAAATTTATTTTGTAATTTCTCAATTAAATTATCATTCTGTATGGGATGCAAACCCAGTAATAAGTATTTATTTTTATAGCCCATGTAAGTATTGGAAAGAAATACTGCTATTGGAAAAGATCAGCTAAATATGTACTTCCTATTACATAACAATTTAAAAAAAATTGAAGTTATACTTTTAATGGTTCTCAAAAATTGATTTTTCAACTAGATTGAAATAAGAAAGATCACAGGTCAAGGGCTGAATGTAACTACAATGTAATATTTATTTTCTTAGCTTTTCAAATATGTAATGCAAATTAATTTAATGGAAGTAAAACATAAAAAATACCTTCCTTACAGAAGAATGTAAATGTTTTGTTTAGAAAACTACAGTATAATTGTAGGGTTTGTTTTTTTTAAACATAGCAATTTATTAGACAAAACTGCAAACCTTGAATACCTGCCCTGTCCTTCTGTCCATGGGCACTAAGTAGTTTAGGGATTTCCTGAGTAGTGAACTTGGATATACATAAAGAAAAACAGGGGCTATTCCTGTTAAGATTTTTTTTGTTGTTGTTTATAATTCAAAATTTTTTTATACCCTAGTTAAAAAAATTACACTTCTTTATTTTATTGTTATTCTTTAGGTTCTTGATGTATTAAAAATAGCTATTACTTCCCTGTGTACCATACTCATACCTTTCGTGCTTTTATAAACTTCAATTTTTTCAATTTCTCATCATTTTTTATTTCAGTTCTCTGTCAAAAATATTCCACAACAGCATTTAAATAGCATGACTGACGTTTTACTATGACATGCAGCCAGTCTCTCTTTTGTATCCTAGCTTTTCCAGTCTGTCTTGTATTATCTTCAGCATTTTGTAGCCATTGTATCAACACGTGGTCAATAAAACTTAGCACGCTGCTGTTTTAACACATCACTTGAATCAATAAGGATTTCTAGGTATGATCTTTCACAATTAACTTACCTGAATGGGATATTCTTTAGTGCATAGCACTACCATGAGACAAGGTACTTTGTTTTAATGATCCATAGGTTTTTCACCCCAAAATTACAGAGCACAATTCCTTTCCTTCTGCTCTCCCATGGCTTCAATTATATCCTTACCTAAACCTGAAATCTGAGTATCCTTAGGATAGTTCCTTGACATTTCTTCTCTCTTCATTAGTGTAAAGCTGCCTTGATCTCAGTGGATAAGAGCAGTCAGTTAACCTCTCACACTATTTGCTGGTGCAGCCTGAAGCATATTTGTAAATTTTAAAATTAAATTTAATTATCTTGCTCATGTTTTGAACCTGTTCAGATACACTTTTGAATATGATAATGCTATTTTTGCCACCCCGTGGAAAATAATTGTCATCTGTAATATTGATCTTTATGTCACAGTATTATAGTTCAGCATCTCATAGAGCAAGCAGCCACATTAGACAATGCTTTGTCTGTATAAATGAGCTTATTCTTAAATCTTTAATGAGAAAGGCTTTCGTAGACTGGTTGCTTAGTAAGGTGCACCTGCAGAAAGGGGATCGTTTTACTAATCATTTAAAATTAATCATCCCTGCTCACCAACTTTCTATGCAATATAGTTTGTAAAGCCAAGAGTGCACAAAAGATACTTTCCTAACTTCTTTATCCTAGATGTAAATCTTTAATCTATAGCTTTGCTTCTAGCATCTTGCAGTGCTGTAATTCTAATAAGGTGGTGACAGTTTCCAAGATTTTGTTTGCATAAACAGGCACTGTGCTGGTAAAATAGACAGAGGGGAGATGGATCATTCCTCCCCAGATGAATAGCAGCTAACCCCAGTGCTTTCAGGTCACTGCCATGTGTACAGCATCCCCCTTCTGCTGCAGGAAATGACTAGTGGCAGGACAGGACTCACTATGTAGGCAGCTGCAGCCCTACCTGGTCTCAGTGTTAAGAGCCATGCCTGAGAAATGTGTTGTTTGTTGGAGGTGCTTGTCCAGTGCCCTCCTCTACAGGGCAGGCACGGTGTGCACCTTGCCTCTCACCAGTGCAGACAGGAACCAGTCTGCAGGGACACTTTTCTATGGCCACAGAAATAAGTGGTGCGGGATGGTTTTTATTTTGACACCTTAGAATTGTCTGGAAGGTCAGAAGGAACCCTCACAGGCTCTGGGAATTAAGTCCCTAGATTTCAATGTCTTGATATCTCCAGCCCTTTTATTCTCTGCAGTGGCTCCAAACAGATGAATTTTCAAGGTATAGCAGTGAGCTGAGTGGGGTGACTGATTCCTTGGGAGTCTTTTCACAATCTCAGCTCTGCATGGTGCACCGGTGGATTTTCTGGTTGAATGGTTTTGGGTGTTTGAGTTTTTTTCTTTGTTTTGCTATGTTCTGCTTTTTTGTTTTGTTTTGAGGATTTTTTGGCAGAAAGGTACAGAGTTACTTAGTTGTACAGTTCATCAGTATAGCTGTGAGACTGAACAATCAAAGTACACTTTATTACCCTTCCTGCAAGAGCAAAAACCTCTAAGCCTCAATTTTACTTTGCCTCCTCCATCTACTTTTAAATATTAAAGACATTGCTTTCACCACTGGGCTATTAAGGAATGCTGGAGTTCCACACTGGTGGAACATAAATAAAAAGCTCCTTGATTCTTTTTTTATTTAAAATGTGGAAAGTATTCTAAATATTTTTGTACTAACAGGTAGTTACAATCTCTGAGCATTACTTTTATGAACTTAAATAACCTAATATAAGGAATCCTTTTGCTTTAATAGCTTTCATATTGTCAGATGAATAATGAAAAGATGCTTACGAGAACTATTTATGACAGCAGAGCTGTAGTGAAAAATCTCACTCCTGGGACAGAATACATTTTTCAGTTGTAAGTAACTCAAAAAGGTCACAGAGTTCAAAATGAAACTTCACCTTTGGGAGGGAAGTTGTGCTTCTTCTTGTGATAGTTGTTTAAATAGGAGCCTTGTACATAACTCGCTGGATTGAGGTTGAGGAGTCTAGACATGGCTGAAAATAGTTCTTTGAGAAAAGCTTCCACTGCTAACAAAATAAAATCTTGCCAGAGTAGCTTTCTATATTTTCCTAATTACCTTGGGTTTTGATTACAATTGTTTCCGTATCTCCTAAATTCTTGCAAGCCCATGGTCTCAGGCTGGAGTTTCTCCTGTGCAGAGCACAGAATGTTTAAGAGAGTAAGAGAAATTGTGCTTCAGAGAGCCTCACAAGGTCCAGAAACCAGTACTTTGCACTCACTTTTTGTCTCTGGGAAAACAGGTATTTTCCAATGCTCCTGTGATGCAACATAATAAAGAGGGAAATTTATTTGTGGCATAAATTTGAAGAAGATTTATATTGAATTCTGGGCTGCCAAAGCAGATAAAGAGCAGCTAACTGTAATCAGAAAATTAATCAACTCCCAAGTTTATTCACATGCATGTCACAGATCTCCTCTCTTCTTTGATGGATATTCTGTGGCTTGTTTGGACTATAATTCCTTAACTCAACTAATAGTAAAGGAGGGTCTGCACTTAGTTATTCAAAAAATCTCTGAAAAAAACCCAAACAGAACAAGTCCTGCAGATTCTTGAGAATGAAATGTGCAGCAGAATATTCATTATCATGTTCCCAAAGATGCTTTTTTTCCCTCAGGTAAATATTTTCAAGAGAATTTTGGATGGGCCCTGAGTTTACCTAAGTTGTGAAAGGTTTACTCTATAATTTTAATGGTAAACACTTAGGATTTTTTCATGCTGAGTAATAGACATATGTTAATTAGTATTTTCAATAAAGCTTCAAGCAAGATAAACCAATTATGTGGGAGATTCACTTTTTAGGAGGAATGGAAACATTTTTATTTCCCAAGCTGCTGTGCTGCACAGATTAATGGAGCTGTTATTAGTGAATTATTTGTGATTATAAGAACCTTAATATAATAAGAAATGCTATTTAAAAAGGAAAAAAAGGGATAACCACTGAGACTGTGCTATTTATTGTGTCCCTAAGTGAGCAGATGACCAGTTTTCTAAAATTATGTGGCATAAAATGTATTTTAGAAAACTTTAGAGTAGTAAAATCTCTACTTCTGCTTACAAAGTGTTCCATTCTCATCCTGTTGTGCCAGTGAGCAATATCGCTGTTCTTAGAGAAGACCTGATAAAATTGAAATTTTCTTCCATACATTTTATAATACACACAGGAGGTACATCCCCAGGTTTTATTTACCCTGTGCAACATATCGGCACTCTTTTCTGTATATCCATATAAAGAGTTCTAAAATTCTAAAAATCCATATTCCATCCATAAAAATCCATCTTCTATGATGTTTTGAAGTCTCAAGACATTAATTTAAGTGCAAACCTTTTATTTTTAAAAGCTGTTATTTTCTTATGTTTCAAGTACTAGGAATTATTTTTTTCTTTATTAATCTCAATAATTTTTACCACAGAACCTGCCGGGATATGTGCTCTGACATTAAAAATGGTAAATTCTTCCTCTGCAACTGTAACATGGAATCCAACCAAGACTAACTTCACTTCTTATAAAGCATCTTTATCAAACAACACCTTTATAAAAAAGTTCAGAATTCCAGGAACAGTGACTGACTTCAGTGTTACAGACCTGACTGCTGGGGGCATTTATAATTTCACACTGAGAAGACTAAAAGGAAATATTGAAGGAGCTTCCTCTGTCCTTGAATTTGTAACAGGTCTGTATGGTTTCCAGCTTCTTCTGCCACTGAATGGTAGCTGTCCCTAGCAGTGCATGTTAATCTGTGTACATCTCACTTTGTAGAGTAACACTGAAATTTCACGAGATCTTCCATGTAATAGTTTGCTGTCATTGTGGGCATGTATTCCTTACAACCCTATTCAACCTGCATGTAATGATACCTGTCAGAAACAAAATGTTTTTAGTTGTGTTGCATTTCTTCTGACTGTTTTCAGTATTTCAGATCTCATCCTGCAAAGAGTTACACACAGCTGAATTTTATCTTATAATTATTTCAGTAGTTGTGTTTTTTTACAGTGAGTGAAGTTAAACAGGTTTAGAAATGTTTGCAGAATTAAGGCTTTAGATTGAACTGCACTCAGAAATTAATCTGTACAAAGAGACCTCCGTAAACATAAAATCCAGCATTAATGGAAGTTGAGATCCATGCAAATAATAGGACTGATAAGTGCAGTAGGACTCAGGACCTGTAAGAATATACTAAAAGGAAGAACCTATGCTCTCAGTTAAACTTGCACACCTTCACTAATACTAATATTTTTTTTGTTCTGTTAGTGTCAAAATAAAACCATGAATTAAAAATCATACCTATGAGACAAATACACATGGAATGTAAAATCTAAAGTTAATACTTAGATATATTAATATTTCAGATTACTTGATGGCAGAAGTGGAGTAATCTGTTTGAAGCAATTCTGCAACTTTGCATAGTCTGTGTAAGGAGTTTATAAAAGATAGATAATCTTAGCAGATTTACAGCAAATAAGAAAGGAATGGAAATCTTTCACAGTTGAAGCTATACATTATTCAGACTGCACAGCGTGATACTTATGGATAAACTAACTAGAAGTCTGAATTTGGAAGAACCATGTTAGAAAGGCAGACAGAGTGCCAGGGTGAATCTGGAATGAGACAAAAAGCATCACTGACTGGGCTTGCTCTGAGAGATGAGCATGGGGAAAGCTGATAGCTGAACATGAGTTCCAAAGTAGAAAGAAAACAGATGAACATGGCTAGAGATTGTACAGGTGAACAAATAATACACTCTTATATGTAGATAACATTTCTATGACCTACTGAAGAATTTAAAATTTGATTTTTTACTAGGCTTAGAGTGAATAATATGCATTTAAAGGTGCATTTAAAAGAAGAAGAAAATGAGATGTTGTGACATAGGTAGATGGAAATTTGGTTTTAATAAAAGGAGTACACTACCCAAATTTTGGAATCTTAACTGACCAGAGTTTATGGAATTACTGGGATTCAAGATTCATGAAATGTATTAAAGAGTTGCCAACCCTGTGGCTAGCTGCAGAATAAACACTAGCTGTATCTTGAATTTCAACAGCAGCAGTAGTTATGTCAGCAGTAGTGTTAAGATTAACGCAGAAACCCCAGGACTGTGCAGAGATTTTGTTGTTAACTGGACACTGCAGACACTTGAGCTTGCTCTCTGTGAACGGGCATCCCAGCATAGCTGGGAGGCCATCAACCAAATCCCAGAGGTGATGCAGCAACATAGGAGCCCATGCTGCCATATCCAGACTAATCCTTTCTATAACAAGTAAACTCTTCTTGGATGCTTTTCTATTCAGTTGTAACCACTAATATATTTTAAATGGAGTTATTTAAGTTAATGTCTTTTATTCCACAATTCTCTTCCAGAACCTGCAAAGCCAGAAGGTCTTAAATTCTTCAATGTTTCATCACATTATTTTTCACTATATTGGAGACTGCCACATGGGCTTGTAGACAGATTTCATGTGGATCTTGTTCCCGATCATGCTTCAGTTGTTATCCTAGATCTTGGAGTTAGGGAGTTTCAAGTAAGTGCTTTTATTACAGGACTAGCAGGGCCAGCTTTTCCTTATGCGCTGTGCTAATGAGGAATTCAAGCTTTCCTCCTTAGCTGTTTAATGCATACATAAATACAAAAGTATTAATGAAAAATTGGTGGGATTGGGGAAAATATCAGCATCCACAGCTTGTTACCTAAAAACAGGTAGTGAACTTTTTTTTTAAGGTCTACTAGAAGGAAGCAGACCGTCATCCAAGGATTCATGAATAGTTTAACAAGGGAAGGGCAGAGCTATTGAGTAGTACAGACTCATTAATTGTGTACTTGCCAGGAAGATCTCTGCTTAAATCATTAATGCAGGCAACATTTCACTACTAAGCCATCGAAAAGATATAGGAGCACTTTTTGATTCTGCTGTCTGGAACATACAATATTAACAGGAATAATGGTTGTTCTGGATGTTTTGCTTTTGTTTTTCATTGGAACTGTGAAGATTCAGGTATTTTATATAATTTCTTGCTAAAAAAGTTAATAATTATGTTTACTGAAAAGGATGGGTTAGTTTAAGGGTCAAAAACTTGTTTTTCGGGTTGCTTTTTTGTTCATTCTTTCAAAATGGAGTTTTATAATGCTTCATATTTACTTTGATAATGATAATACAGAAAACCTCTATAGATACATTGTTAGGGGACTCTGGGATAAAATTAATAGTTAATTTTGTTGTTCTTTAATATTGAATGTTGAACATATCTTATGAAGGGTAGTTGGCAGCAAAATATTGTAGCTAACAGATGCAAACAACTATTTTTATAATGAATTGCTCAAAATTTTCTGTAGGTTTTTTGTGCTTTGTTTTGTAGGGTTCTTTTCTGTTTGTTTGTTTGGGGTTTTTCTTGAGTGGAGTGGCGTCATTTTTGTCAGCCTTTGTAAAAGGCTTAAATAAATCTATGTCCTATTTCAGGCTGATTTTTCCAATACTATTCCTGGAACAACATACAGTGTCACAGTTTCTGCAGTTTCTTCCTCAGTCTATAGTTCACCTGCAAGTAGAACAGTGACAACAAATGTGACAAGTGAGTTAAAAATGACTGATGAAATTTTGTTCATTTTTAAGACTATGCTTTCTTATGTGTCTTATGTGCACAGTAATGTCCAAGAAATTATGATCAGTTTTGAACAGTCATTAAAATTTTTCATCTTCAACCATTTAAAAATACTGAATCTGAAGTGTTCTCTGGGCACTTAAGAATTTACAAGCTTTTGAAAAATTTGCTGTTGTGTCATGTAATAATATCCAGACTCTGATTTATCTATAGTGGTACATAAAGAAATATTCAGAGCTATTTCCAAAAAAAGTGTAGCCAAAGCAGATGTGCTTTTCAAGAGAGTACACTTTAATTGAGTGCTAGAATATGTCAGAGGTTAAATTGGCATTAAACTCTGTTTTTTAAAACAAAGATCTTGAGCAATACATTTTTTATATTCTTATAAAAGAATGTTTCTGGCTTTCCAAAATTAATCTAATAATTTCTAACAGGACTGTAGCCAGAAATAAAAGATTTTTATTCAGAAGTACATCAGTTTTCAGTAGTTTTATGGGATTGTCTTGGCAGATGATTTAATTTTTCTATAGCATCTTTAAATGTGTCTCCACGATCATTAATCTTCATTAAAAATTGTTTTAGATGTGTGTGCTTGTGTGTGTGTTTGTGTGTATGCATATGTAATTTTTTTAAAATTTTTTTTTAGATCCTGGGCCACCCATGTTCCTTGCAGGTGAAAGAGTGGGTTCTGCTGGGATTCTGCTGTCATGGAACACACCACTCTATCCAAATGGGAGAATTCTCTCATATGTTGTCAAATATAAAGAAGTCTGCCCATGGATGCAAGCAGGTTATACACAGGTCACAACCAAGCCAGATAGTTTGGAAGTTCTTCTCACCAGTCTTAACCCTGGAACAACTTATGAAATTATGGTAAAAGCTTTATAAATGCCTCTTAGTATTTTGAATTCTGATTTATTGTAATTTGTGTGAGTTTATAGTAGGTTCCTGTAGAGTTTTGTGAGGGACCATGATATTTACTGTTCCCATAAAACAAAATATATTAGTGAGATAGGTGAGTTTATTTGAGTAGTGTCTTTAAATCTACTTTAAAATGTCCCAGCCAAGCCTACGCTGAAATGTACCTTCTTCTACTGATTCAGATTAACATATGGCATTATGTGGTAAAACATAAAAAGCAAAGGGTAACATTTTTGGGAACATCAAAATCCTTCCTTATCTTCATTGAGATTTCATCTTTCAAATGACTGGTGTGCTTTGCATATTACATGTAGATTATTAAATCATCTCATCCAGATCCATAAAAGCATGTCTTCCATACATGGAACTTTTTGCACTGAGATTAGGCACTCCTAATCCATCTCTGAACTCTTCAACTGTAGATGACTTCAGGTGATGTGGACAGAAATTAACTGCTACTCCCTTGGCAGTATTTGCCAAGAAATTCTTTGCCTGCTTTACTCTTTCATAAGAATCTTGTAGAGGTTCCTCTTTTCAATACCAATAATTAAATTATGTGTTGATTTGCTTCATTCCATTCAGTTGCCTTGAAGCTGCACATAAGTAGGAGCTTCCATGGCTGTCTTAGTGCTAGTTTTGTTTCTGAGCTCATTCTAAAGTACCTACCTTCAGATGAAGTAATAAAAACAATGTTTAGGTGAGGACATGGCTTAAGATTTATATGGTGTAATTTAAATACTGTCAGAATTTCCTGATTGCATGTCAACTCCCTAGAGATATCCTGGGCTATTTCCTGAGCTATTGCAATTACCATAGAATTCATCAATGCCCAAGGATGTTTCAATCATTGTCCCTGTGAAGCATAAGTAGGTAGACTTGGCTGTAGCCATGAGGTGTTTGTGTGGCTTGGGAAGGAGCTAGCCAGTGACACAGGCTCTTTGTGACCTACTAGATTAAATCTTTAATGCTACCTTGTATTCCTTTATTGTGTTTGTCTCTTGTAGCCTTTTTCTTTTGTTTAATCTCTGCAGTTTTGAAAAACACACTGTTTACTACCAATAAATGATTAGAACATGTTTACCTTTCTGGCCTGAGGCCTTCTGTTTTCTTTTGCCCTTTGTTACCCTCTGTGTGCTGTCATTTCTACAGAGATCCACACTTAGTTTTGCACACCTACCCCTTCTCACCCTGCCTTTCCCACAGTCTGCACTGTCAGCTCCCTAAACACCATGGCCACATCTTTGTTGCCTGACATTGCCAGCTATAACTTTGCTGGAGAGTTTTTCACTTTGCTTCTTCTTTCTCACACCTCTCCCCATCACTGTTGGAATTTTACTCATGTTTATCTTTTGTTGTCCCTTTTACCTCTTTTTCAAAATAAGCTAGACTTCTCTCCTCTTGTTTGTAAGTACTGGATGCCATGGCCCATCACTGAGTTGAATTGTCACCAAACCCTACATTGCAGAGCAAATGGCACTGTTGCTTTGTTTATCCCCAAAAATTCTACCAAAGTCTCAATATATTGCTATTCTGTGGGAAGACTTGTCCATGATTTTGAGCACTGAAGTATCTCCATCATAAAGTGCACCTACAGTCCACTGACCTATTGCCCTTCTGCAAAAAGATATTTTTTCCTTGGGTTTCTGCTTTGAGGAAGGTTGACCTGCTCTTGATAGCCTAGAGGAGACAGAGAAATGAAAGGGAACTTATCCTTCTTTTTACCCTTTTTAGCTATAGTAAGTAAAATAGGAATGCAGAATCTGCTTTAAGCATGGTGTGGTAAGAGAAAGGAGTGTTACTGATGTTATTTTTGCTATGATTTTTTGCATAAAGTAGGGACTCATAAAATAGGGGTCTTCTTTTGATGTGTATTCACGTGTGGTTTTCTCAGTTTTTTATGCTGTTACATGTTTTTTCTGTTTTATTTTTTTACAAATTTTACAAATTTTTTACAATTTTTAATTTTTTTATTGAGTATAAGTTATACCACACAACTATAAAGGGCATGGTCACTTGTATATTCATAGTTTAAAAGTTAAAAGCTGTGTATCTGTGTATCCTTAGGATTTTCATATTTCCTGAAACTGTATATATTGTAGATTTTCTAATGTGGATTCTTTCTTTTTTTTCTGTAGGTTGCTGCTGAGAACAGTGCTGGTGTTGGAGTGTTTAGTGATCCTTTCCTTTTTCAGACTGCAGAAAGTGGTAAATTTAATAAAGCTGTTAATTATTTTGATTAAAGTTGCTCTAATTTGTTCAAATAGATTTCCACAATAAATTTCATACTTGAACAAATTCCAATGCATTTAGAGCAAAATCCTTACTCTGTCACTCAGTGACAAAGGTTCATCATGTTCTATTTGCTAGCAACAGCATTTAGGGTGTGCCCATAGGGGTGTTTGTTGTACAGAAAGTCTGTTTTTCTTGGAGTTTTCCTGTGCCAGTTTCTAGGTAGAAAAAGCTTGCAGAAAGCAAGGTCACAGCAGAGCAGAGCTACCTATCAAGTGGATCCATCTGCTGTTGCCTGCAACAGTTGTAGGAGACAGACTTTGTTGTGGGATCATCTCTGCCATTGTCTGCTTGAGTCAATCTGTATTTGTTTAGTGATGGGTTCTAAGAAGCTCAGCACAGAATGTATTTTATTAAATTTTTATGTACTAATTCTGAAGGTAAGAAAAGAGTCTGAAATGAAAATTTGAGTTGGTGGTTTTGAAGATTAAAAAAACATGGTCTGAGTTTGCACAATCTTTACTAATTTAGTGTTTGTGATCTTAGCTGTGCTCCAGGAGCAGCTGTGCCTTGGCTGACGAGCTCGCTGCGCTCCTCTTGTGAAGCAGCCTCGATGGAATACAGAACTCGTGCTGCCAAGGCACTCACTGCCCATCTGTGTTTAGGCTGCTTTCTGCTTCTGTGCAAACTGCAGACTGAGATATCTTAATTAATGGCAGAAATCATCATATCAATGAGCAATCAATGCAATAATTTCATTATTGCACAAATAATGCAATAATTTATGAACCCAGTATGAGGAGTAGTAAGCTTGCTGCATGGATCTATGTGAAATCATTACTCTTCACTATTTGTGCATTATTGCTGGTGAAAAACCTTATTTCTGTGAGCTTTGTTATTTACTCATATTTGACAGAGGACTGCCCTGGCATTTCTCCATATGAGAACACAAGCTTTTTACTTTTGGAAGAATTTCTTTCTACATTTCTATTAAACCTAAAATGCCTTACTATAAATGTAATTGGTAGGTTTCTTCAAATTCTAGGTGAGTTATGTGTCATTGGCATAACATTTATACTTTTACTTTCCTAATTATTTTTTTTGTTCTAATTCTTGTTTTGATGGCTAAGAAAAACCAAGCAACTTACTCAATGTAAAGATGGGAAATTTAAAGTGAGAAAGTTAGCCAGAAGATAAAATTATTTAAACATGAAGTGGTTTGGGAGGAGGGGAAAAGAGGTGAAAGATCTGGAAATGATTTAGCAGGACTGAAAGCACTAAATATGAGGCTTGGAGGAGCTGTCACAATTCACCTGTGGAAGATCTGTAGTTGTGGAATCCCTTATTTTTAAAATAATATGAAAAGCCTTTTCTCCTTAGTATTAAGTCAGCTATTGCAGGACCTGCTGCTGACTCTGCCACGTGTAGGCAGCACTACGGGCAGGGCTACAGGGCTCTAATTCACAGGAGAGCTCAGCATGTAAAATAGCATGTAAAATCTGATTTAGATGCTGCATCTCATCCCTCTGTGCTGTGATTAACACTGATGGTTTGACAGAAACTGTCACTGATACAAAAAGCAACATTTATGCAGTAATAGTGAATATTTCAATTTAATTGAATTACTTAAAGCTACCAAAAATCTATGCGCAGCAGAAACGATGACAGAAGTAAAGTGAAATAAAACAGTTATCAGCTGCTCTTAACCAGAAAAAGAAAATGGGCAAAATTTTTCTATTTCTGGATTAGTATATGATTTTCTTCTAAAAGGAATATTTTTAAGTTGGCCAAACCAATTACTATATATAATATGAGATTGAAATAATTTTATTTCTCACTTAAACCAGATTGAAAATGGTTGTATATCTGCTGCTGTATGTGTGTGAATGATTTTTATGTGCTTCCTTCAGAACTTGGAAGCTAGAAATGGCATTTTAAAAAAAAAAAAAGAGGAGTTTGCTGGTTTTCAATGCTGAGAAGAAAAGTTTATCTCACTGCTTTTGTTTGTTTGTTTGTTTTTTTCAAGCTCCAGGTAAAGTAGTGAATCTCACAGTTGAAGCCTTAAATTCTTCAGCTGTAAATCTGATCTGGTTTCTCCCTCGGCAACCAAATGGAAAGATAACTAGTTTCAAGATTAGTGTGAAACATGCAAGAAGTGGAATTGTAGTGAAAGATGTCTTGGTTAAAGTAGAGGACCTTCTGTCTGGGTGGATGAAGAAAACCCTTTCTGTTCAATGTAGTTTAAATGGAATGCTTTTGCTTGAAAATTTGAGTTTAATCAAAGTAAAAATGTTCTGAAAGGGTAAGTTTGGCATATTTTTAACAGAAAATCATGAAATAGAAAATTTCTGGTTTTTTCAGCTTTCAATTTTTTATTTTTTGTTTTACAAACTATTCAATTTGAAAAACCCAAAAAAGTTACAGGGGTTTTTTGGTCAGTGCAGATCATATAGTATTGTTATAACATAATGTTCTAATGTAGTATTGTTATAACATAATGTCTTATGTTCTATGTAGTATGATAATGCTTTTTGTATTTAAAAATATGCTTTATTCTGTGTATCACATTTCAATATTTTTAAAATACTTCTCATATCAAAATATAAAACAAGCATGTTTAGCAGAGTGATTTTCAAAAATATGGTTGTAGTTTGAATTGTTCTTATTATTGAATTCAGACCTGCAACCATTGTATTCTGTTGGAATTTCTTGAAGAAAATTCTCTTGTCTAGAATTTTTTCTTTTTATCCTTCTTACTTTGAACAGAGTTTTGCAATTACTCAAATGTCAAATCATAAAATAAACAAATCTTTTTCTTTTTATGTTTTTTTTCTTTCCTTTCAATTTCCTAAGCTTGGTGCTTTAATGAAAAGTGGTTTTAAATGACATAAATTATCATAGCTTTGGTTTCAGGTTTTATTTGGAAGATCATCTTAGGCATTGCAACGGTTCCTGACACCAGGCTGATTTAATTCAGCACTGAGAAGGCAGGCTGCCACCTGCTGAACCATAAGCATTGGTCACAACAATGCCTAGCAATTTTTCAGAGTTGTCTCCTGACAGGATGGATTAAGAAACTCTGTCTAGTTTTATCCATGATGTATGGATATATGTGTGTTGTATGGATATATGTGTAGTTTTATCCATGATGTATGGATATATGTGCACATGCACACACACAACATATATGTGATGCAAAAGGATCGTGCTAGGGAACCTTTTTTTCAAGAGAGACTAAATGCTGAAAACAGAAACTGGGAATAGTTAGATGAATCCTAGAGAGATGCTTCTGTTCAGGCAGATTTGAGATATTTTTGAAAATGGCAGGAAACTATAACACTGTCACTAACAGGAAGCACTAGCACAGTCTGCCTAAATTTGGAAACTGAAGTACAAAAAGGAGAACCAATTTAGGGTAATTTTTTTCAAAGATGGTCTGCCTTTTTTATCTACATATATTTACAGTTTCTGGTTATAGATGCACCTGATTGTGTTTCATATTTTGTATTTATAGGATAAGAGTGAATCTTTTTTGTGGAGTACTACCACTCCTTCAACTACTTTTGGGAAACCCACAGTTCTTTCACAGACTACAGTGACACCAGTTACAGAGGCACCAAGTCAAATGAGCTCTGTTTGGAGTGAACCCATCAGCTTTGTTGTATCTAACCTCAGGCCATACACCACCTATCTTTTTGAAGTCTCTGCAGTTACCACTGAAGCGGGCTACATTGACAGCGCCATTGTCCGGACACCAGAATCAGGTACATTAAATACATACGGCTTTAGAATGGCAACAAGGTTCCCAGATTTATGTGAAAAACTTCAAAATATAGGTTTGATTTTCTGTTGCGAGATACTTCTGTCCAAATCTGTCTTTATCTGTATCATGCTTTTTTGTTTTCATGATTGCTTAATTTTACCTGATGGAATAAATTGAAAATGTTTATATATTTATGTATTTAATAATGTACAGTGAGTGAGAGTTCACTTTTTGTTAGAAGTCAAATATACCAAAATTATGCTCAGGACAGATCAAATTTTATGAAAAAGAGAGGACAATTTACGAACTCCAAATAGAATAATGATGGAAGAATTGAAAATAAAGATGAAGGGGATAGCTGTCAGGCATAATATTGTAAAAGTATGGGTTTTGTGTGCATAGAAAGGATTTAAAGCTTCTTTGCCTTTGTAGAGAAATGAGCAATGATAAGGAAAACTCCGGTACTTATGTTGCCAATCTGTACCTACTGCAGAAAGATGTTCAGTGCTGAAAAAATCTTTAAGCACTAGGTGAAGTTGATTTTTGATTTCTTGCAACTCAGTGCTTTCTAATTAGAATCAATGGTCCATGAGCAGCACTTCTATAATGGCTTAGGTAGTGGGAACACTGTTACCAGAGCTATAAAATAAAAGCTTTCCAGAGGAATGTTGTTCTGGCTTTGTGTTTGCTAGCACATCATTGTCTTGCCTGACATGGTTTGATGTTACTTGGTTCCCTTTCATACATACAAAATAGATAGCATTGTTCAGATAAAAAAAAAATTTATTCCATGCAAGAAATGTTCAGTGTAATTGCTTTGACAAAATTTCAATAGTCTTAGTTTGCCACTCTGTCTAGGGTTGATGAAATTCTGCTCAGTTTCTCTTCTAATGTTTTCAGGGCTAATTTTAGTTTATTTTTCACCTTTGTCTCTTAGAGATTATTTTCATACTATCAACACTCTTGATCCTTTTCTGAGAGTTGTCTTAAAACAGAAATTTTAATTAAAAGTAATTTTAATGATACACTTTTACGGCTTCCCTTCAGAATATTTAATTTTTATGTCTAAAATGAATTGTCTGATAGGGGGTCCTAATATAAAGGACATCCTAATATAAAGTATTTTATGTTCAAAGAGTTTTTCCAATATTGTTTAAGTTCCAGAAGATCCACCACAGAATTTTGCCAAGAGCAACATTACAGCGAAGTCTTTCTCAGTAATGTGGGATCCACCAACCATAGTAACAGGGAAATTTAGTTACAGAGTTGAGCTGTATGGACCATCTGGTAAGTCAGAGTTGATCTTACCATTTCTTTTGATTTTTTATGATTATTTCCTTACACATTCTTCTGGGCCTGCCAATCAAAAATGGATAGTCAAAAACAGTGTTATGTGTCTCTATTTTACTATTGTGTTTTAACTGTTTGTAGATTAATTTTAAGGGAATAGTTAGTCCATTATAAGGAACAGTATAAAGCTGATTTCACATTAGATATTCCTAAGAACAGAGAAAATCAACTTCTCCTCAGCCTCTCAGGAGATGACAGGTTAAGTACAGCTGAATTGCTGTGCTTATATATCCAAATTGTTCTGTATCTTACCTTTACTTTTTTCTCTTTCTGTTAAAGATTTATGGAGAATTTTCATCCTCATGCAGTATGCAATCAACTCTTTAAGTCTGTTTTGATGTTTTTGCAATTTTTTTGAACTCAGGCATGTATAGATACAGAAATTATAGAACTGCCTGTAGTTCACTAAGACATAAGCTGTATTCTAATGATTTTATGGGACCACACAGGAAAAGTAAGATAATTTTTTTTTTTTAATCTCTTCCTCTTAAAACTCACTCGCTGAAGTGGTTGGTTGGTTGGTTGGTGGTTTCATTCCCCATATATCCAGCATTATTCCATTGAAATTGATTCCCGGTTAGCTTCTCCCCAGAAAAAATTGTCCCTTCATTTGTTCATCATACTGGAAAGAAGCCATTGTTCCTGTTTTAGTCCTAAAATCTCTTTATTTTTAATTCCAGGTCATGTTCTGGATAACAGTACAAAAGACCATAGGTTTGTGTTTAGTAACCTTGTGCCGTTTACAACATACGACGTGTACGTCAGTGCTGAGACAAGTGCTGGGCTGGGGCCAAGGACCAACCTTACAGTTTTCACTCCTGCAGACGGTAAGTAAACATAGAGAAGAAAAAAAAAACCCTGTTTGGATGTTAAAAAAGGTTTCAGTTTTCCCTTCAGAGCCTTTAAAGCACTTTGCAAAGGAAAAGAATGGCTATAAGAACACTAGAAGAGATGAAAAAAGGTTACAAAAAAACTAAAGAGATCAGCTGAATATTATTATGTCATTTATTTATTTGTTTTTGTCAAGTTCATACTTTGTTACTCCATTTACCTGCTATCACAGGCCTTCAGAGATTGTGAAAGAAATGTAGATTCTTTCGAAATGGAAGTCAAATGATAGACAGTAATGAAGTTGCAGGGCCAGCTCTGCCCCGTTAGATGGCAGCAAGAGGAAAAGAAAGAGCAGCGCAGTCTCTCTCTGCTGCTCTTTCAGCCCTTTTCTTCCCTGAACCTCTCCTTTGGCTCCTTCTCAGCAAACCCAGGGCCCAAACTCATCTCTGATGGAGCCACCATCAGCAGCGAGGGCAGCTCTGAGACAGGGCCAAAATAACCACCTATCCACGTTAGAGCCCTTGGCTGCATGGAAATGCAGTTTTATCTTCCATGTACGTGAGATTGTGTGGGATTCTTGGCCAGCATTTGAGGATGAGTGAGGAAAAAATGAGATTTGGTATGTAATAGGCAGTTTCAAGATGGTTATTTCTGACTTATGTTTATGCCACACAACACAAATTTAGAAAATCTCCGCCTTGGGTGTTGCTGGCAATGTTGGTTGTTAAGGTATAACACTGGGAGGAAAACCTATCTTTTGTACTTTGAAATATGAATACAAAAACCTATCTTTCTCTACTGTATTCTTTCCTGAATGATCTGCTTTTGGCAGCTCTCAGAGACAGCTCCAGAGATGACTTACCTGAGTACAGTCAGTCATTCTCATCTTGTGTTGAAATGCACTGTCAGAAGCCAAAGGGAATTTTGGTGGGTTTGGGGTTTTTTTAGCATAACACAAGAGTGTCTTTCTTTAAAGCTAAATCTAAAAATCCTCCTTATGCAAGTAATTACAAAATTGTCTTTTATTGAAGTCTATTAGGAAAAAAAGTATTTCTTTTTGTATCAACTCTGAATATCACTCTATTGAATATAAATGTCTTTTAGCTCTGGTGGTCCTATGGAAATTATAATATAATTTAGACTGAGTTTTTAATGAAGAAATTCTATAAACTATATAATTTCTATTTATATATAGATATATATTTCGTATCTATAATTGCACACATATGAAAATATATAATATAAATAAAATCCTATAAACTTAAATAAAATCACATAAACGTTTTGTAAAAGAGAAATTAACAAGATGTATCACATTAATTTTTTTCCCAAGCTTTTTACTTCATTCTAGTATAGCTTTGATGATTTTAGAGCTAACTTTTCATTTTCAAATATACTTAAGACTCCATATAAGAAAATAGAAATAGTCTGTTTGATTCCAATCAAGTAGACCTCAGTAGAGATATCCTGGTTTATATCATCTTAGTGTCTAACCTACTCATACAGATCTTATGTGTTAAAAGAGTATGTGTATTTTTAGAACTGTAACTTGTTTGCTAAGAAAACATATGAAGTAAGTCTCTTTCCTGCACAGGGTCAGCTCAAAAGACAAGGATGTGAAATCTGATTGTCTATTGTACTTTTCATCCAATGCTGAAAAACCTTGTAATAATCACAAGTGTTTAATGAACTCAAATTTCCTCTTGAATATTTAGTCCCAGGTGCTGTATCAGATTTACAACTAGCAGAAGTGGAAGCCACATATATAAAAATTATTTGGAGGAAGCCACAGCAACCAAATGGAATCATTACCCAGTACAGAGTTAAAGTACACATGCAGGAAACACTCGTCACTCTGGAAAACACTATTCTTGGAGACAAAAATAAGGTATTATTTTATTTTTTTTAATATGGATTTTATGTTAGAATAAATTTGCTCTCTGCCTTATCTGACATTTACAGAACATGGAACTAGCTCCCACAAATGAGTTGTCAATGTTTTTAAAAGCCAGCTTCCTCAGACCACTCTCTTTCTCTGACTGGCTTTCAAAAAGATTCCAATAATGCTGCTTCCACAACACAATAAAATAAATCATTCTGGCAGAATTATCCAGCTGCTGAAGGCAGGAAGCCTCAGCTCACAGTCTTGTCCTTCTGAGTCCTTGAGTTCTTTGTGGCATAGGGTGGCCAGACTATTAAGAGTAAAGATTTGGGTACCTAGATTGATACACAGCCACTCAGTAAAACCTCTAGAAGATGTGGGTATGAACTCTGTGAATTCAGCAGAAGTGTCCAAAGGATGGTTGAGTGTTCTGCTAGCAAGGCAGACAGGCTAAAGCTTTCTGCCTCTTTTTATGCTTAACTCCATGCTGTGGTTGCATTCTAAGGACATTTGTGCACATCTATGGGATCATATCTCTTGGGGGACCTATGCTGTCAGTCAGTCTAGCTGCTGGATTTTGGGTGCTGATGTGCTTTACATGCTTAGAGGAGCAGCTCTGAATATGCAGCACAGAACTGCAGACCCCCAGCAACATTCAGCTCAGGACTAAATTCTTTCTGAGGCAGGGCTTTTTGGTCTGAGTTTTGAAAACAGGTGCCCAAAGTCTGCACAATTCCTTATTTTTTCAGACAGTGATGTCTTTCACTGGATCTGAATTGGAATCTAAGTTTTTGATGTAGAGCTCAAGGAAGGAGTTCACTTTCAAGTTGAACAATATATATTAAATAGAGCCCTGGAGTCAGATGTTAAATAAGGAGAAAGGGGGGAAAAAAAAATAGGATAAGGATCCATTCATTAAGCCAGGCAGGCATCCTTGGAAAAGGAAAGCATATTAGTCTGTAATTAAAGATTGTATCAATGTCCGGATGCAAAAAATTTAAATAGTCTGCACAAAAATGTTTTAGTCGTGGAATTTCCTAGTTTTTGAGTTCTTAGTGCAGTATCATTGCTGCTTTATTATAATTTATTGAATGTAATTTTCTAATTAAAAACCAAAGCAAATCATAAAAAAACTTTGCTTTATCTAGAACTGCATTGACCACCAGCTTAGAGCAGTTACAGGACTTGAACTGTCAGACCCACAGTGCTAATGGTACTCAGTAACCACTTGAGTTACAACACCAAAAACTGTTGTCTTATATGTGGAAAATCCTCATAAGCAAAAAGTATTTCCATGTGGCCTACTGTTTTTCTATAATGCTGGTGAAGATGAGACATATACAGTTTTTACCTCTTGGTACTTAGGTGAGATTGATGCTCTATCTGTGTCTGTGGCTAATGTACCTCAGGTTAAAGGAGTAAAAAAGGGCTTTGCCCTTTCTCTGCCCAGAGTCCATAGGGAAAGGACTAAAGTGTATTAGTTACATCACTGTAAAAGCATCTCTTTCTGGCAATGAGATGGGCCATATGTGTGAGTGGGGAGTGTTCCAGATGACAGCAGAACAATTCAGAGATACTCGTGTCCTGGATTTAGTCCCAGATTTTGAAGGGGCATGAAGATCTGGTGCTAACACACCATTTTGTACCTATGCTCTAGCCTCTCTCTCTCTTTTCTGCTTTTGTTTCTCCTTTCTTTGTTGTTCTTATATCTGCCGCCATCCCTTTCCAATTGACTGGATTTGTTCTTTTCATCTTCTGTCCTACAGGCCCCCCTATCACTTGCCTCCCTTTCACTCTCCTTTTTCACATATATACTCCCTTATCTTTCTCTCCCCTTTATTTCATTAGCTTCTTGTTTTCTCTCTCTCCTCTTATTCCTTCTCAGAGATCTAGTCAGCCTGCTAATTCTTTCCTTGAGGGACTGGAATGGCCACTGAAATCCTCTTGTTTTCCATGAAATCCTCTTGTTTTCCTTGCCTGCTGCCTTCTTTCAGGATATATTTAGTACAAATAAAATCTCCCAAGTTCAATATAGCTCCAAAGATACAGCTATAAAATGAAAGGCCTTGCTCTAAAATTGCCACCTTATTATAAAATAAGTATTTTAAGAAAAAATTTTAAGTGGTGTTTGATTAAACAATAACCAGAATAAAATGTTGTAGGCTACTGGCAATTTTTATGACAAAGATTATATTTTAAAAATTATTCTAATGATAATAATGTTTGTATGTCAACATTTACATAGTATCTATGTGCATGCAGAAGCATACACACATTATTTTTATATTTTTAGATAGAAATTGAAATAGAAATTGAATTAGAATTGAATAGAAATTGAATTATATTATTTAGTGATGACTAGGTTTGTGATTTATTTCTTTTTTATATTTTTAACTTGTAGTATCTGATTGATTCTTTGGAACCATACGCAATAAATGAAAATACCAAACCTTCTCCTCCCCCTTGGAATTCAGTGGAAGCAGACAATGATTTATATGAAGGTTCAGCTGAAATGTTTCCCAGTATTCAGACAGCTTCCCCAGTAATATTTACAAGTGTATCTGGTGATAATTTGCCTGATATAAATGGAGCTGCAGAGCTGCATTCTGCTTTGGGTAAGATAATTTAGGGTATTTTTCTACCTGCTTCTTTGTTCTGAAGGACCCCCATCACTGTCCCAGATATGATCTTTAGCACATGGTTCAAGCAAATTATAAATGGGTCATTTGCTGGAGTCAGCTTTTTTTACTACCAAATAACCTTGTGAAGCAAATGGGAATGCCACACAGGCAGGAACTAGCCCCTTGTCACCCAGCTGACCTTCTTCCTAGTGAAAGGAGCACCCGAGAGCCATCAGCCAAGCTGCATAGACAATCAGTTATTACAGTTGCCAAAGCAGGTGTGATTGTCAGGGATTAACATATCTCCAAGCCCTTCAGAGACCTTGATTTTTCTAAGCCTTTTGACTAATAGGTTTTCAAATGTCAGTGAAGGTAAATAGGTCAAAAAGTTACAACTTTGCTATATGGGTTACAAACAGGTGGAGATGACCCCATGACATGGTGATGTCATTAGTGAGTACACTTGTTCTGTATTATCAATGGACCACTGTTTCTTTACCAAGTATGGATATTTACAAATCATTAAGCAGCCCTCAGCTGACAGGCAGGGATTTCACATATGACTCTAAACTTTGACAGTGTTTTGAAGAGTGTGGAGAAAATAAAGGTTTTATTTTTTTAAAAAATCATTTAATTAAGTCACTGAATTAATCTATATGCACCAGTATCTAAAACCAGAATTGAATCCATTATTTTAAACAACAGTGGATATTTTCTGTGCTATGTTAATCCTGAAGAATCTTCTTTGTCATACACAGGAAATGTACAGTGTTTTCAATGTAAATCTTTTTATGGCCTCATTCAGTTTCAAGTATTGGCTTGCTAAAAAATGTCTCTGTTGCAGAAAATTTATTTTAGCCAGTGTCTGTTGTGGTCTACCATACAAGTATTATTTTATAGGAGTGATTATACTAGTTAAAGCTGTTGACAGCTGAATTTTCGACATGGTCTGCTGATTTTTCAATGCCTTCCTTTTAATTCCCTTCTCACTGAACTCTGAGCCTGATATGCAGGTATATGAAGCGTCCACACCTTTACATGTCGCTCTGGCATAATTACTCCTTTATAGCAGATGATTTTGGCCTACACAGTTGGATTGTGGCTGACTTTGAATCTTATTGTGAGTGCACCAGAATCTCTTTGTGAGCATGCATGGCTTCATCATTCTAATGACCACAACTCTTCTGCTAAAAATACCGGTGTGAAGGGATCTGTAAAGGCAGCCTTTCCTATTATTGTTGTTCTAGCATCACTGGGAGGGCAAGGAAGAAGGAATCTATCTTTCTTAATTAAAAATACTTCAAACCCTTCAAAAGCTCCATCAATCTAGGAGCCATTTTTCTGAAATCACTAGAGAGACTAGGCCTTATACAAAAGTACCTTCCTAGCCTCTAGGGGACTGGTTACTTACAGAACCTCACAATTCTACTTGTTGCTCATTCACTCTTTCACCTAGGCTAATCTATTGTACACATGAAAATGGACCTATAATAGACTCTTCCTTAGGGAGTTGAGGTGGAATGTAGACTTTGTATTTTTATAATTGACAGGAAAAATAATTCTTTTAGAATAAAGTAGCTCCAGGTTTCCATGCAAAGTGAGTTTGGAATGCATAAGAAATAAAATTATCAGTAAGTAGCTATTTCTCTCTATTTACTCACAGATAATGAATATAACATTGATATTTTGGCTGAAGAGCTGTCCTATATTATAAAGGGCCTCACACCTTTCACAGATTACACAATTAGTGTGTCTGCTTTCACGGCTGTTGGAGAAGGACCACCAGCAGTTCTTACAGCCAGGACACAGGAGCAAGGTAAATTGTAACTCTGGTATTATCATAGTTAACATACATGACTTATTTCACTGAATGTTTGACTTTTTTAGTTATTTATTTACTTACTGTTATGTTTTCATGTTTTTGTTTAAGTCCCAAGCTCAGTACAAAATATATATTACAAAAATATTAGTTCCTCCTCTGTCTTGCTGTATTGGGATCCTCCAGCAAATCCCAATGGGAAAATCATTCATTACACGGTTTATGCAATGGAACTGGATACAAAAAGAGCATTTCATGAAACTACTTCAAACAACAGCTTACTTATGACAGGTACAGTGTCATTTGATTAAAAAAATATAAAAATTTTATCTTGCAAGTACATTTTAGAAACTTTTTTTCCCCAATTTTATGTCATTTGAAATGTATGTGGATCAAATCTCACACAATCACGCATGTCCACAGACACACAACAAAACTGCATGTATAAACAAGGTTAGGACACTACCCAGACTTGTCTTCTGTGGAGGAACATGCAGGGTATGTGAGATGGGAGAAGAGGGCTGGTTAAGATAAACAGTAATTTTTGGAATGGTACAAGTAGTAATTTGTGAGGGGGATTTCTCCTTGGATTATTTGCCTCAGTTTCCTGTGTCCCCATAGGAAAATATTCCTAAATTGTCTAGTCTTTTTCGGATTTGAATTTTTTCACAATATTTGTCTAACATTAATAGCAATTTTCTTATTTTAAGGGTGTAATTTTTATAGTAATAGAAGCAAACACATTCCTAATGGAGTTTCACTTATTAATTGATGTTAATCAGAATAATGCATACAGAGTAAACCCCCATATTTGGATGTTCGTGTATGCATCCGTTGAAGTGCTTGACAAATTCTTCAAGCTATTTGCAGGGTTGAAGCCAGTTGACTTCAAAATCTGCTGAATTAACTGCATGTCTGTTTGACTGTCACCAAAGAAATGGTACTGTACATACCATTGTCTTTTAGGGGACAAAGGTGTATAAAAACTCTCAAGACAGTATCCAGTACTATATTTTTATAAGTGGCTATGACAAAAGAAGTCAACAGTCTTGTTTATGAAGTTAAGAGTCATAATTTTTTTAAATTAATTTTTCAGGTTTAAAAAAGTACACGAATTATAAAATGAGAGTCACAGCCTCTACTGCAGTTGGAGAAAGTGCTGTGTCTGAAGAGAATGATGTTTTTGTGCGAACCCCTGAGGATGGTAATACGTTGCTTGCAATGATGATTTATTTTCTGCACTGAACTTTGTGTTTGTTCAAAAAGAAGACTGTCACATACAAAAAGGGGGAACAAAGTGTATAAATAAAACCAATGTTGAAATTATCAGTCTTCTATCAGTCAGTGACTTCATTCAGTCCATTTTTAGCTAAGTGCTAAAAAAGTAATAATGAAAGCCGTGGCATGACCCACAATCAACTGATTTCAAATGTGATAGACAAATGTAAGGAAAGCTGGCAGAGCTGAGGCTCCCTCTCTCAAAACAATATGTCCCTAGCACCCATCTAAATCATAATCTTTGTGACTCCATTGAATATTATTTTTCTTTTTGTTATCATGTGTAAATTAGTTTGGTTTTGAAGCATATGGACATTTCAACAATTCAAAGGCCATATTTCTATTTGTAGGCAAAGATGCTGATTAAGATTTTTTAGTGCTGAATATAATAAGCAGTTGTTTTGATATAGGTTTTATTAATTTTAAGACTGATCAATAATTTTAATGTCAGGGATAATAGTACATTACAAAGATTTCTGAATCCTACTTGCAAGGCAGTTTTAACCCATGAAGGCATTAGGGCAAGAGCTGGAGTTGTAATTGGCTTCTGCAAAGAAAACATGAGAATTTGATTTGCAGACCAGAGCCATGAATATTAGTCTTTTTTTGCTTGTATCAAGTTTGTATTTTCACTGGTTTCAGCAAAGTTATTTCCAGGTTTACTGATGTAATACAGGGGGTGATGGCCCAATCGTCATTTATCTCTCTCATTTTCAAATGTATTACAATACAAGAAAAAAAAAAAGAGTGTCAATAAAGGAAAGAAAAGGACTACAGGATTAAAAATCATGGGTATCTATGAAGCTTAGGTGATTTGAATAACCACACAAAATTAAATGGTGAAACTTAAAATAGTTGCAAATCTTTTTAAAATTTACATTCTTTGCTATTAGTGTTTTTTACAGGGGAAACGCATATCACAAGAACAGAAAATCACTTATATAAATATTCTTTTCTCTGAAAGCTTACAATCCCTTGCCTGTGAGTGTTAAAGAATTTTTTCAGAGTAGAGTTTCTCTGTTCAGAGCCAACTGTCAACTGTTCATTCATTCATAAAAGAGCCATGCAAGGCTCGAGGAAACTAGTGAGAAACCCACCAAGAATTCTTGCCTTTATATAAGGCTATGCATAATTTTTTATCTTCTCCTTCTTGTTTAGCTTTCCTGAAGTAATTCAGACTGAGATTCATCTCTCCTAATTTTAGCCAACCTAGGAATAGAAATTTGCTTGACTCTTGTAAAGAGAGATAGCTCCAAATAAAAGATTCACTACAACTGTCTTAGATAACTTGCATTAAGATGGAAGAAACTAGGCTGTTGCATTTAAATATTTTACCATGCCAGATAAATGACAAAATGTATTTCAATTAAAAATTAAGCTTCTTCACATGGGAAATATCCATGTGGGTAGACTTGTCATCCAGAGAGCAGTGATCTGTTACAGTTAACACTTTCATGTGCTCAGAAATCAGGAATGAAAGTGATTTGTGAGACCTTCTAGGAAAAAAAAATTCATGATGAATTCTGAAATATCTGCAAATGGGTATCTGTACACAAACTGAATCCTATGATCCTGAGTACGTAGTATATTTTTATCTTGATTTTACAGATTGTTTCAGGGGTGAAGTGGTGAAGCTTTCATAAGAATCAAAGCTGACATTCAGAGCTGATTTTATTCATAAGTGCAGCCCACTCACTCCTTCGACCTTTCCATGCCTTAGCAGCTCACTGGAGTCACATGAACTCATACATTGCCAGTAGATTTAGCCACACACCACCCTGGAGCTGGGCTTGCTTTGTGCATGACCTTCACACCAGAGTATACAAGATTTACACTGAGTTCACTAAAGGGAATTTAGTTACTGTGCTTACGGTCTCTTTCTTGGGTCAACAGTTGATTCAGTGAAGAATACTAAGGCTGGTTATTTACATAGAAAGCAGTAAGAGGACATTAATCCAAATTTGAAGAACTAAATATGAGGAAGACAGTGAAAGGATTTGAAGGATCAATCTGCATGAGACTGGTAGTGAGAAGAAAGTTTTTTCTTAGTAAGTGCAGTTTCAGATAGCTTTAGAAGAAATTCCAGAAAAGCTTAAGTGTCATAAGGCAAAAAAAAAAGTGTAGTTTTATGAGTGGAAAAGAGACACACTGTAGTGGTTTAGGTTCACCAATCCAAGTGAACATATGAAACACATACCAAAATTAACGTAGGTAAAAAGTGGTAAGGCTTTGAGAAGGAGAAAGAAAATGAGTGTAGCCCTTTTGGTACAGTGAGAATCCAACGCCAGTATCCAATAGGCTTATGATCTCAGTTCTGTATTCAATTATTTGAAAAGGTTTTTTTTTCTGATTTCTGTGTTGCAGAACCAGACTCCCCACCTCAAAACTTAGAATTAATAAATGTAACTGCAACAGAAATAAATCTGAGATGGTTACCACCTGAGCAGCCTAATGGTCTCATAACTCACTATGAAGTTCTGTACAGCGATTCCAGTGATTTTTTCATGAAAAATGCCTCATCTACAAGTATATCACTAAGTGAAATGAAGCCATACACTCTCTACAACATCTCAGTAAGGGCATTCACCAGACTTGGCTATGGGAATCAGTCATCTTTTCCACTTCTGGTCAGAACTTCTGAAACTGGTGCGTATTTTTTAAAAAATGAACATTTTTTGACAAGAAGTTGCTTTATGATAGCTTTTGATGGCCAGGAGATAAGTTTTAATAATTTTAAAAGTATTTGCTTTCTTTGCAAGGCAGTGAGTTTGAATTATGTTCTTTTTTATGTACAAAGAATAAAGATGATTTCTATCAATTTTTTTTTAATGACCTTGTTGGTACTGTGTGTGTTTGAGTGTTTTTGATTTTCAAATTCAGCCTCTTTTAAAATGTATTTCATAAAAAAAAAAAAAAATAGGATTCAAATCCAAATATTTACAACATTGTTCACTGAAATCGGTTTATAAGATTTTTTTTTCCAAATTGATGAAACTGACTGAAATCTTCTATATATTTTTCTTCTAGTTCCTGATTCTGCACCAGAAAACATAACCTATAGAAACATCTCATCCATGGAAATTGAGTTATCATTTTTTCCACCATCCATTCCCAATGGAATCATACAGACCTACACAATATATCTCACGAGGACTAATGGGACTGAAGAAAGAGTTATAAACACTACTCTTCTGACACTACGTATTGCAGGCCAGTATATAATGATCTGGAACTTATGGCAACTGTGAGTTTTTCTGAGAAGTGTGCAACAGACAGACAGAGTTATATTAGTTCATTAGTTCATGATTAGTTCATTGGTTGGACCTGATCCTTTTTGCCCTTACAGAAAGTCTTTTTGCTCCTTGTCCTGAGAAATAACTTGTGTCTTGTCATAATGTGGTGAAATGGGCATTGAGTGGTATAGAGCCTAACATATATCTCACTGTATTTTAGATGTTTAAAGTACAAGGAACTACAATAGATATCTTTGCAGATATCATTGTAACAAAGTAAATCCTCCAGTCACTCGTATCTTTCTGATCTTATTCTGGATAAAAAACTTCCTTTTCCACTCATCTTTGCATCTTTTCCTAAGTTCTGTCATTATTGCTGAGGCATGGCACAGCAATTAGTGCTAGGAACTCAATACCTCCACTGTTACACTTTCAGAGTACAGCCAAGGACAAATTGCAAAGCATTCTAGGAATATGAAGTATAAGGTGGTAATTAGGGCTTTGCCCCTTTTGCAAAATATTTTTTGTTCCAAGCTTTCCTAATGCTTATTTCAGTCTCTAAAGACACAGATCAGTGTGATAGGCTTATTCACTACTTCAAAAATACTTAAAGTCCATTAAAATGAAATGAATTAATTTGTCCCATTGAATGGTTGTTTGATTGATTTTTTTTTGTTGTTGTTGTTTTTGTTTAGATTTAAATAAATATACAGAATATACTGTAGAAGTGTCTGCTAGTACCGCAGTGGGGGAGGGCATCCGTAGTTCACCTCTGCATATACTAACTGATGAAGATGGTAAGTCAAAACAGAAGTTTCAGTGCCACATTTTCTACCTGCATTCTTAATTTACTCTTACACTTGATGTCAGATGTTTTTAATTTTTATGCACTTTTGTTGGCAGTTATGTCTCTCCATTTCTATTTGTATATATGCATCTACACACAAATGATTTATCTATTTATAAATATATTATATATATTATATATATTATAAATATATAAAATATATATATTTATATATTTATAATAGATATATATATAATATATCTATTCATTTATCTACCAATATATTAATCAGTATAAGCTGTATGAAATTTTGCAATTGCTGTGCATGGTCTTTTGATCTTACCAATATCTTATGACTCTGAAGAATCTTAATTTACTCATATTATTTTAATCTAATACATGACATTGTAGAATTAAATATTGTATTTGGTTTTTCAGTCATGTGAGAGCTCAGGAAAGAGAAAAACACAAAAAGGAAGTTTGAATGGTCCAGGGACATTTCTGTGGGGTTTCTTGCAGGGAGATTTTTGTATTATTCTAAACAGATGCATGTACAGGTACACATAGATAGATATGAAATTACTAATATTATGAAAATGCCCAAAGTCCATCATCTGTAGCAATGGACTTCCAAAGTGAGCTGGAACATGTGCAGGCTGAGGGTAGAACACAGTTGTTGCAACCCCTGCTACTTTTTACAATAGGTCACAAACCAGCAGAGGAACTTTAAAATTTTACTTGTACTATCAGTACACAATGTTGTTTGCAATGTTATCATTGGTGACCTCTCTAGATTCTGCAGAGGAATCCTGAAAACAATTCATAGCAAGAATCTTAATTTAGGTGCTGTGAGTCATATTTTGGAAAAGGCTGTGTCTGTTCCTCTCCTTTGCTGCAGGAGGAAATCTCTGGGAACCTGTCTAAAGCAGCATTGACAGAAGTAACCCACCAGCCACACTGTCAGTAAAAAAAAACTTTGGTCAAGGGTTAAGTTGCTGGAGCAGACTGAAAAGAGCTAGATTGGATAAATCCAATTTTTTAACAGAGAGTATTTTTACTTAGAGCAATGTAGTTTCTATTCTTTAGCAAAAACCAGAAAATTCTCAGAATAAGGATTGTAGAATGAACTAGACATGTCAAAAAGATGGCATTCACCATTTTATTGTACGGCCACTGAGGATAATATAACAAGTAAAACACAAAATACAGCTGTCAAAATTTTTCACCGGTAAATACACTCACTGAATCCATTTTGTATTCATGAAAAATATAAAATTGTTTCTTCTATAATATAAAGAGTGATAAAACCATTATGCCAACTTTCAAGATAGTGAAAGGAACAAGAAGTGAAAAACAACAATATTTATAATGCACCACATGTTCTGTATTCACAGGAACACAGTGTTCCAAGGTTCAGACCAAATGTTTCATAGATTTGCTAATAGTTATGCTCATATTCTCAATTTTCATGCATGACTACAGCTATGACCTGAATTTTTAGTGCATGATGCTCTTTGGTTTAATTTGAGAAAAACAAATGTAATTCTAATATTACTTCATAGTGATACATAGGTCCATGAATCAACATGCAGACAAAGATACATTTCTCAATAACATGCTGATAATAAAGCAGGATAATTTATGCACACGTTAGTTATTTTTCTTCAGTAAAATTAATAAGGACCTTAGAACAAAATCAAACATGGTCTAGCATTTTCATTTATTTACAATGTTTCCCTACAGAGTCGGGATATGGTCTCATTTAGGGACCATCTTAAAACAAATTTTAAGGATCTCAGTGAATGGCTATCTTTTCATTTGCCCTTGTGACATGTTAAGTGTATGAATATGGTCCTTATTTGATGGAGTGAATAGATTTTACTGCTGTAGTATCCCACAATTCTATCATCTCTCAGTGCCATGCTTATCCACTTTTCCACCTTTTGCCACTTTGTGTAATTCTTTACAGCACCTTTTTTTCTCAGGGGAACTATTATGCTGTATTTTACATGTGTTCATGTCTATAAAACTCTTGCTTTTATTAGAAGGGAAAAAAAATTACAGCAATGTACTTGGGCAGTAGGTGAATCACTGTGACCTAGCCATTGCTCTGTTTTCTCATGAAGCACTTTTTCCATTGAATCACAGAAACAGATGTTCTAACACCACCATGCAAAATCTTCTTTTATCATCTGTCAGAAAAAGGAAAAGAAGCTGTGCCTTAACATTAGCTGATGGATACTGTACCAGTATGGTACAAGGTTAACTTCTTATCACAAATAATTCAAAGCCAATTTAAAGATACTGGTCTCCCACTGATCTGAGCTCTTTAACAAGATGTTGTGTCCTGTTCTCTCATTTTATAGCTCCAAGTTCTCCTCCACAAGCCCTCACTGTAAAACAGTTGTTGGGTGTCACTGTGAAGTTGTCATGGAAACCTCCGCTGGAGCCAAATGGAATTATCCTCTATTACACAGTTTATGTCTGGTAAGATTTTTCTGGAAGTAGTTCTGAGGATAAATGTTAATCTGTAACCTATCAGGAATGTTAGGTTTTTGTTACACAATATGTTGATTACATGTTTTGGGAGAACAAATACTCATCCAGCACTTAAAATACTGGATTTTTTTATATGCAAATGCCAAGTAGCCAAAAACCAGGAGAACAATTTCAACATTTTGTAAGCCTTTTCAACATTTTTTTCAAAGGTTATGCTATAGTAAGTGAATTCAGATTTAAACTAGAGCATGGTGCCTACTTTCATTATATTCTGATTAGGTCTGCTGCAAGGCAGGGCACAAGCCCATGCTGAATTGTCAAGGAGATTTGAAATAGGCTTAAAATAGAGAAGTATTGTCTCCTTTCGTAGACAGCCTCTATGAGCCATGTTCACAGTTTTCATATGTGCTAGCAATTATGTCTACTGTTATATTTTTTGTTTATTACATACATAGCAAACAAGGATTTTCAACAGACACTTTTCATTTATTATGTTCTAGTTTTTTCTATCTAGATTTTTTTATTTTTATTTTTTCCCCCTTATAATCTCCTGTGATACTTTCTCACCTTTACAAAAGAGTTTTGTCACTTTAAAACTTGCAGCTTCTGTCCTACTCCTTGCTGATCTAGCGATGTGGCATCTCTTCAAAGATCTGTAACTTCTACTGCGAATGAAAACATTTTTTATTCATCACTTTTCATATATTGCATTTATGCTTTACCATTTTATTGCCACTACTAAGGTGCAGAAAGCAAGTACTAAAGTGCATGTTATGAGATGTGAACCAGATGTGAAAACACTTAGTTGTTATGGGCATAGTACTCTTGAGCTTATATTATTTTATTGTTATTTGACAGTTTTGGGGTAGGGTTTGGCCTCAGTTACTACTGATTTTTATTTTTTTTAAATTATAATTTCTAGTTAAATTGATGATAAAGTGAAGAGGAGCAAGCTCTTCTTTCCAGAAAAGTCGAATTTGTCTTCTCTTGTTAGTTCTAGCCTACTGGGAATATCTGTTCTCTTTAAAATAATGATGGTCCTCAAGCTAGGGAAGGGTTTCTTCATGATAAGGGCTATGGTTTTCATGCACGCTGTGTTCAGAGACTTGAGGTCATGCAAATTTTCATCCTTATATTCCCTTATAACTTCCTGCTTTTGTTGCTGTAAGAAAGGATTTAGCCAGAATTATTTATAAAGAATCTCTTAAATGATCTGTCTTTCTAAATATTGCAGTTAAACAACTGCACAACTTCTTGCTGTAAGCCTTGCCCCATGTTCTTTCTGCTCTGTCTTGTCTGTCCTTACTATGCCATACCTAAATTTAGAGAGGCTTTAGGTATCATGTTAAGGCAAGGACACTGGAGAAAAAACTCCCTTTGCCTTCAAAGGGGTCATAACTTCACTCCTTCCTTGGCATGAAGGCAGGGGTGTGGAGGAAGGAGAGCAATTTTAAGTATTTAAAAGAGTTGTCTATACAGTTTCATCAAATGCATTGCAGAGGGAGATTTGACAAGGCAAATTGTTGTGCCATATATTTGCTGCTCTTGGGAGGTATTCAATATATTTTGGAGGAGATTGTTCATCCCAGTGTTTCTCAATAAAGCAGAAAGAAGGTTACTACAGTTGTTAAATAAATGTTCCTTCACTGAAATGTTTTGCAACAGTTATTGAAAATTTGATAACCCTTCTCTTGCTGATTTGGAACAAGAATCCAGAGTTAGTAGAACAGAAAGGGTGATATTTGCAATGTTTTCAGTTATATTTCATGGAATTTGTCAGAGGACAAGGTGGATTTGGGTGCTAGCAGGTAGTAAAGCACTTTTCTTCTTTCCTTGAGCCTATAAACTCATAGTCCCTAAATGTAATTTTAGAGTATTAAAGGTAAAATTAATAAAATTGCTGAACTTGGATGTAGCTATAGTTTTTTGGCATTATCCTTTTCTGCAAATTTTTGTGAGATATTTATTGGCTAGGTCTATTTTGAGCTACAGATTTTTAAGAAAATATTGTACACATCTTTGTCAAGTGGAATTACGCAATTTCTTAGGATCTGTGTTGTCTGCATTTTTGAAAAATGTGATTTAAAACATATTATTTTTCTTCAGTAAAATCTCTTGGCTTAACTTATTCTGCTAGGTACTTTCTCACTGTCTATGAAGGCTGCACTCACTTTGATCAGTGTTTTCTTATTTTTATGCAATCTCAGTTGTTTCTAAACAGAAAATCAACTTCCCTTGAAATACGTCAAGCTTTGTTCTTCTTTCTGTGCCTGGTTGTGGAAATGTTTTTTGGCAACTCAGATGTAAGAATGCAGTTACTCAGAGTAGAACTGTTTGCAGCACTAAGCTGTGGATTTTCTTCTTACTTAAATTATAACCAGATACGTATTTCCATACTAAGAATACCTTGGGCAAAGATCCAGGAAAAAATGTCTTTCTTTGTATAGAGTTTGATAACTCCAGCTGCAATCTCTTGTAAATTTTACTGACTCTTAAAATGTCAGAAGTTTGGGAAAAATGTAAATGTTAACTTTCTCTGTTACCAAGAGTATTTCCCATGTCAAGTTACATTCCACTCAAAATCTGAGGGTTAGGGAGGATTTTTTTTTTCATTGTCATATATTTTCTAATTCCAGTTGTTTGTTAATATAATTATTCAGCTACATTAGATGGTGATCTTTGCTAATGGGACAGTCATTCAGTTATCAAAGGATGAAAATCTAGTAATTTTGAATCACTTTTTTTTATTTTTAGTATTAGAACACATTGTCATTTGTGAAGAGCTTCACAATGACTCCTGGAGTAAGATATTTGGTTTTACTTATCAAATTATCATCTCTGTATGAAATCCTATTAGAGACGCAGGACACTTACTCATAAAGAAATCTTTAAAGGAATGGAATGTTAGGTTTTTATTTCCCTCCTGTATTTTTTCTTAAAAGAGTATGTTAACTTTATGAGGTGTATAAGACTTGTTGAATTCAGGTTAGTTATTTCTGTACCTTATTTTACTTTCTGATAATCATTTCATACCTATGCTAATACCAGCGTTTTATTAATGTTACATCTTACAGTCTTTCTCGGCGGGTTTTGACCTGACTGGAGTTCCATTCTGATCCTCTGCTACATTCCACCAGAATTAACTCAGCACCAGCTAATTCCTGTTCCATATCATCTTCTATTATTCCATTTATAACTTCAGCCTTCTGACCAATTTCACAGAGTCACAGTAGGGCACGCTCCCTGCTATAATCTTTTTATATTTCGCTATTCCTGTCCAGGGAGACAGTTTAGTTATGTCCTACTGTGTCCTTCCCAAGGGTACCACATAACCATTTGAAAGCTGTTAATATATAGAAATACTCCTAAATATTTCATATAGCAATTGTCTTTGTTGATGTAATATGCAAACATATTTCTGTGGGGTTTTGGGGTGCTTTTTTTTAAGAAATAAAATGAAGAGCCCTACTGTGATGCCACAGTATAAAAATTAGCTTTTCACCATAAAAGACAAAAAGTTATTCTAGCTTCTTTTAAAAACCTAAACGACTTGTTTTTAACATGAAATTGCATTTTTCACTTTTGCAACAAATGCCATGACTATATATATGTATAGAGAAATGGTGTGTGTGTATATAATTAATAAAAACCTTTGTCTTTAGGAATAAAATGTCAAACAGGAGTGTAAATGTAGCAGAAACATCACTGGAATTCACAGACCTAGAGTATAACTGTGAGTATAGTGCTTACCTAACAGCAAGTACAAGATTTGGAGATGGCAACATAAAAAGTGATACTATAATATTCAGAACTTCTGAAGGAGGTAAGCTTATATGGAGTACGAACCTTTATTTTCATTCAGCCTTAAAATTCTGTCAGCCTTATTTAAGTTAATAAAGCCACTGAAGTAGAGGTGACATTTGACTTATAAAGAAGAGATATTCTACCTGTCTCTGTGGCTCTTTGTGTATACATGTATCTATGGTTCTATAAAATTGTGATAGGTATTTCTATGCATTTACTGAGAAACAAATTAACATTTCTTTTTAGGACAGATAAGATTCAAATAATTTCATTCTAAACTTTGAAATAAATCAAATTATTTTTGAAATATATTTTAATAGTTCCTTACTTTAAGCAGCTGTGACACAACTTCTGATAGGGAAAATACTTCTTAGAGTATCCCTCTCAAGTCTGAAATATTTTTAATTTGAAAATTTACTCTGTAAGTATACATTGATTTGTTTGTTCTGTTTTAATTATTTTATACTTCCAACATGGAAAGTGACTCTTACAGTTAAGTTTATACTTACACTGTGCTTTGAAAGTCATTCAGTTTATTTTTTTTCCTGGTTTTCCATCAATCATATTGCTATAATTTGTTCCAAAACAGATAGTTGGCAAGCATACTTCAGAATCACCCTGCACAGATATTAACAATTCCCCAGTGCACAGCCACTGGGAGGATTATTATCTATGTGAGCCATCCCTCCAACATCTGTCTACATTGTCAGGTTGCAGATCTTCAGTTGCTATTGAAGCTGGTATGGAAATATGAAGTGACTTTATAGGGACAGACTTTAAGGACCTGGTCCTGGGGTTTCCCCTCCAATTAATATTTTAATATTTTACACAAACTAGAGCAGTACAAAGCAAGAGAGGTACATAACTCACAGCGTTCAGTACTCTACTGCACATTCTGTAGAACAATTTCTTGGATGGAGAGAAACATGGATTTAAAGTCTCCTAAGCTGACTTAAGGAATAGATTTTAACTCTCCTGCATCACTGTATTACTGAGAAGAACAATATGCTGCTATTCTTTATAAAATAGGAATAAAGACTAATGGAGGAAGGCTTACAGAGGTCTTCTTGCACATTTAATAGGCTGAGTAAAGAGAAAGAAAGAGAAATTATCATTCTGTCCAAGCTTAAGTATCTGGTTCACCTACATGAGTTGGGAGCTTAAATTCTGTTTATAATCAGAGATAAAAAGGCTTTAAACTTAGGTTTTGTGAAACAAATCCTTTTTTTTCCCTTACTAACTGTATTTGGAATATAGACACCTAACTCAGTCAACTTCCATATCTGCAAATTAGATTTTCTATGTGCAAAGCAGTAAGTACAGGACAAATTCTATAAGAAAGCTCTATCAGTTTAAAAATGCAGCTAAATACAAATATGGTTGAAAAAGTATTTTAAAAATTCATTTTTACAGATATAGTTCTGTTTCATTATTTTGTGGGGCAGTTTCTATACCATAATCATGCATTTAATTTGCCATAGGATGTTGTAAAATCTATTTTAGTGGATATTCCTTGGGTACTAAAGTGTATAAAACCTTGAGGTACAAACACCTTAGGTATGCTAAAACTTAACATTTTTCCAGCACCAAGTGATCCTCCAAAAGATGTTACATACAGAAACCTTACTTCCACATCAATAATGCTATCCTGGTCTCCTCCTCAAAAGCCTAATGGAAATATACTGTACTACTCAGTTTATTTCAAAAACAATTCAGGAATATTCATACAGGTAAGCTTATTTTTTATATTCTTTTGTAGAAGTCAATGAAATGTTCTAATAATTACTTAGAGGTTAAACCAGTTTTATAGTCATCAATAAATTGGTTTTTCACAGTTCCTTTATCATGATGTAGTTTTTAAACTTACAAAGACAGAAGCACATCTTGTAATCATAGATGTTACATTGTGCATCTCACTGAGCATTCATATCATTTAACATTTAAGCCAATAGATTTTGTGTAATATTCCATTATGCAAAGTTTTATGTGCATGTATATATATCTATATATGCACACATACACCTAATATATTTATACACTTAACATATGTAGTGGATAGACTCATGGCCCACTACATGCATAGCACACCCTCAAGATTGTTTCTTTTAGTCCAGTCTAGCAATGTGAATAAATTTCTGGTTCTGGTTTTAGTTTTTAATATATGTTTGTACAGTATTGAAAATATGAAGGTATTGTGAAAGTAGGGAATGCATTTTTTTTTTCATCTTTTTCTTACTCTCAAAAGGAAATTACTGTTTAGTATATTGAAGCAAATATATTGATATTCTGAAGTTAAAGCTTAAAAGACAAACAAAAACTTATAAATAATATTTTGATGATACATGGTCGTTTAGTGTTTTTTTGCTGTTGCTGTTTTCATTCTTAATTATGCACTACATTTATTAATTACATATATTATACATATATTAATTACATATAGTCTTTCTGTTCTGTGAATATGTTACGGTACAGAAATATAATAAGAGATATAAGCTTCCTTTATTTGGGTTTTTGGTCACAAGTTGTATACAACATGGAAGAAAACCAAGAAATATAAATTAATGGAAGAAAAACAATAAATATAAATTAATTTAGAAAATTATGTATGACAAATAGCCTTGAATACCTAAATTTATGATCAAGATGTGTTTAGGGTGAGGTATGCATTCACAAAGGTTACACATACCTGTGTATGAATAATTGCTGACACACTTCAGTGTACACACTTCTCTGACTTCTGTGGAGGTATGTAGTTACCAGACTCTGCGTGGTTCCAGGTGCAAGCAGGACTGTAGCATGAATTCATGACTGAGATTAAAATCAGGGCTACACTTCAGAACACAGATTAATATCAAGGATACAGCTACAGTTTACACACACTGTTCTAACAACAGCTGTTTTCTTAAACCTCTGGACAAACCTTTACATGAGTGCATCACCTGAGCTGGCCTGTCCTATGAAGGACATCTCAAGCAATTTTAGAGGGGTACAACGGGCTTGGATTATTCCTGCTTTTAGGAAGGTGCAATTCTGAGATGAATGAGTAAGGCGAAGCCAACACACAGAGAGATAAAACCCCCTGGCATGTGTCCAGGATTCTGGAAATAAAGGAGGAAGATAGGGAAGATGAAGCTCAGTAGCATTGGCCCAGTAAGGTGAGGGTCCAATTTTATTACTGTGTGATGTAGTTAGGCCAGGAAAAGATGGTGGCACAGGTGGAAGTTAATGCTGCTTTGGCATGTTATGTGTTGTCAGCAGAAAAGTGCTGACAGTAGTTCTACCTCTGTGTGTGTAAACTACCATTTTCATCCTTTTGACTTTGATTTTTATCCCATCCCTCTGCCATCAGAAGATAGGTTTCAGCTGCTGTTGCATCTGTCTCTTACTGCCCATGGGATATGAACATTAATCTCTCGAATCATGATCAAATCTTAATCTGCCTGCTGCCTTGAACTCCTTCTGTCCTTCACTTCCCGTCTGCTCACTGTTTAGCACGGCAACTACCACATCTACACTGCAGTCCTATTCTGTACCCTGGCATTCCTGTGGATGCAAGACAGATTTCAAACAGGTGTAAAAAAGCCAACTCATTTCTATCAGATATTTTATATTACTCTTTTTACAACAGAGAAACGCATGTGTGAAAGTCAGCCTGATATGTGACTATATATATAAAAATATATATGTGATATATAAAGACATGTAAGCTGCATAAGTATGCATACATATAGGTTACAACTATCTGTAACTTAGAAGTAAAACCATGTAACAGCAGGGTCTGTTGCTAAGTTTTGTATTGCACACATTTGGAAAGAAAGAATCCTTGGCTGAAATACTCTGCGTCGAGGTCACCATCTGCTTATGTTTAAGCAAACTGTATTTTCAGTTTGAGAAACTATACAGGAGAATTGAAGAAATAGGTGATCTTTTCACATTTCACATTGTGGGCAGCCATTATCTATCAATCTTTCCCCTGTTTCTTTGTCAGGACAAAATGCCAGAGGTCCAAGTCTTATAGCATATCTTTTAGATGCATGAATGAACACCCTTGCTGAAGAATATCAAGCAAATTAATGTGTCCTAGTGCTCTAATAATCGGAAATATATAGATACAAATAGATACAAAATGGATACAAAAGTCATAAAAATTTGTGCTGTTCTGTTGTTTCAATTTCTCACTTTTCACACATTCTCAGAATGCTCAGGCATATTAAAATCTAATTAATATAAACCTCTGACTATTAATATGTTAAAACTAGGAAGTTACTAGCTGCAGAGTGACTCATTTTGTTTAGGGAAAAAAATACCCAAATATAAAAAAGACCTGAGATAAAAGACAGAGTTTACTCCTTGACATGATGCAGAAACTTGAGTTTTCTGTGAAAAAGGGAAAATTTATGTACCCTCATCAGTCAGAAAAATAATGTATAGTTTCTTTTCTTTACTGGTGTACATGAAAAATAACACTGCAGCTGTCAAGTCAGAAGGCCTGGGGTGCTCAGACCTAAGTTTCAAGACCAGAATAGCAGAAGGAAATATTTAGTGATGGAGATTAGATTTAAGGATTTTGGTAGAACAGTGGGCTGTTTCTATGGGGATGCTGACAGTAGTAAAAGAAAATGTGTCAGAGAGGGAGGAATGACTGGTAGCCAACTAGAAGAAACCATCACCTGCATTAGTTTAGGTTCCAGTTCAGCTTTATCTTTCATTTTCTGCTGTCACAGGTCTAGGGAAAATGCTACTTCTTGGTGTATTTACCCTGTCCCAGTGCAGTAATGATATGACATGTATGCTGACAGAGTCCTTCACTGATGATGTGACACTGCACCTCTCCTTCACATCACTTCTCTGTGACACTGCTGGGTTCCTACAGTTCAAGCTTTCACTGTTTGCAATTGCAGCTTTGCAAGTTTTGCTCCACAGTGCCTTGCCTGGTGCTTGAAGCAATAAAATTGCCCAACTTCTCAGTCCTATCAAGGAAATAAATCAAAGACTCTATGGAAGTAACGTCTCTTGGCTAAATATATCAATCTATGAAAGATATCATTGACTTGAATGAACACTGTTACTCAATCTCTATATACTTATGTTCTGATTAGCAAGAAAGTAGGAAAGATATTAATTAAAAAAATAAATATATGCTTCAGTAAATTACCCCAGTGTAGGAACTGCAGTACAGATGAAAACTGTCCTGCTCTAACAAATCAGACAATGGAACCAGGGGCGAGGACTGAAAAAAAGTCTATGATCCTTACAGCAACAGAATATCCAACCCTGAATCATCCAGCCTCTACCTCAAGCCAAGCAAAGTGATCCTGACTGGATGCAGTTCAGAGTGAAATTCAGCTTGGTGTACCCTAGGGATCAAGACAAGAGATGCAAACAATGTGCTGTATTACTTAACAATCAAACATTTTCTTTCACCAGTATAACCAAAGTAGGGATAAAAAGGGGAACTTCCCTACTGTAAATTTTAAAAAAGCTGGTCTCAGAATGGTACAGCAGACAAAAAGGAAATAACTTCACTTAGGTTTTTACTGGAACAGTGAATATTATGCTCCTTGAAGGATATCTTGAATTAGCCCTCACACTGTCACCAAGTTCACCTGATTTCCAGAGTCAAGCATGTGATCCTCAGACTCAAAAGAAGAATGCAATACAATGAACCTAAAAAAAGAAAGGGGTTAACAGTGAAGAAGAGCACCACCATGTTTTCCATATACAGCTAATTACAGCTTTATGCCACTGGAAATATCTGCCGCTTCCTGACGTGAAGAAGATACTAGTTTCTACTGACACTTTCATGGCTTGAGTGTATTGCTTACACTTAGCTACTTTTAATAATCTGATACTTTGCTATGTCAAAACTTCTTTCATGTATGGATGAAGAAAGGGACAGAAGGAAGAGTTTCTTCAGCTGTAGCCAAAGATCCTAAGCTGTTTGCTTTCATCTGTGGCCACAGTTAATTGTTAAACTTCCTATAGTCTTCTATCCCCAGGGTACAATTAGTACAAGTTTCATCTTTTCTTAGTTTGTACCCACACAGTTCCTCCTGCACACTGTTACTTTTAATTATGCATTCCTTTTTTTTTCCCAATATTTTGTCATATCAGTAGTTTGAGATATCTCAACTCCTTGGACTCCTCACAGTAAAAGAACTACATCTTAAAATAGTTTTTGTTGACCCACCAAAACCCTGTTAATAATATTCACGTTGGTTCACTGAGTCCTTAACTGCCAGACAGCTGGCTAAATTGTAAAGGTCTTTTTAAACTAAGAGTTGAATTTTCAGCTGTTCATACCAATAAGCTCCCATTAAATCTAGAATCAGAACTTGATGTGGTAGCCTTGATATTTTTACCTTGAAAAGGTAATTATTTAAGTAAGGTAATTATTTAAGGTCTAATTTTAAAAAAATCTGATTATTAGATATTATAAATTACTAATTATTCTTAACAACAGTAATAATAATAATAATAATAATAATAATAATAATAATAATAATAATAGTAGTAGTAACAACAGGATGGTATTAGAATGCTTCTTCTGGGCCAGATGCCATTTTCTGTCATACTCTGCTTGAGTATTGGAAAGTTAAAATGAATACCTTAGAATCTGATCAACAGATTCCTGTATTTTAACTTACAAAATGTAACACAAAGCTCTTTCCAGCCTCTTTCAGTTAAGTATGAAGCTAGCATGAAATCCAAACTACTTCTAGAAGAAAGTCATATATTAAGGTGGATTCTTTTTGTATTTTGACCTGTGTTGACTTAATCTGATCTATTGGGAAAAACTAACAGTGTGCTTATAGTCAGTTAATGAGAGTGGATATAAAAAATTATGTTCACAATATGTGCAGCTTCTGTTCTGCATTCAAAACAAAGGCTTAAGTTTTCATTGCAAAACAAACTGTTTACTTATTTATGTCAGTGTCTGCAGGCAAAACTAGATCTTCAAATACAGGTATAAAAATCTCAGGGAAATGAATGAGAGTGTCACCTATCATTTTCTGCAAAAATAAAAATATTTTACCAAAAAACTGGTGAAGTGCTATATTAGATATATAAATTGATATGCATTGGTGACAGACATCAAGATTGCATACTGAACTATCAGTTTGCACAGTACTGTTTCAGCTGTGTGATAGAGCATATAACAGTGGTTTTTTTCAGTAGGAACTTGAGAAATGAGAAATATAATCCATTTTTCAGTATACACTTTTAGCATGCCTATGCTTATATGTAGTATTTCTAAATTTTAATACCCAAATATTTCTGTTGCCTTTCTCCTGCTTTAGTAAGCTTACTCTCACAGCCTCTCTTTTCCAGAAAAAACATTCATTTTAAAGCTAGCTTGGATTTTAAAAAAGTGGCGGGTGTGGATTTGATCTAACACCAAAACCAGGGGGCAGGCCAAATAGCTGGAATTCATCAGGGGTTGGTCAAAATCCAGCTTACCCTTTAAAATATTGCTGTGCAGAAAAATTAGGACTTCTTTGGTCCTGAGAAGTGCTGTCCATGTCATCTGCTCAATGGGGCAAGGTGGCAAGGTGGCTGGCTCCATGGCATGCCACTAGCTCCTTGAATCAGCAGCAAAGATTTGACTTCCTACCCAGTGCTTGATCTGAATATGCTTATGGGCTAAATAACTTCTCAACAATTTTCAAACCATGAGCCAAACTGTGTTGGATCATCTAAGTCAGGTTCCTGTAAAGCAGTGGATGATTCAACACATTCATGTATGTGGTATAGCCAAACTCACATAAATAATAGGCTGTATGTATTTTATTTTTATCTTCCAAAATGGTTGATTTTAAACAGGAATAGCCTCCTTAAAGGTGTTGATCTGAGGCACTAGCTTACTGCTGTAGCCACAGTATTAATGACATTTTTTAATATAGCTCAAAAGACAGTGTGACTAGGTTCTGTTGCTATCCTTTCATTAACAAGTAACTGCAGAAAGGAAAGAAGTTCTGTTGATGCCTTCAGTTTAACATGGTCCATTCACTGTGGCTGTTTCCTTAGAGATAGTGTCATGGTGTTATTGCAAGGGACAACTAGCAAAAGGAACAGTTTATCAAGTGGTACAGTGAGATCTCTGCCACTGAAAGCTTTAAGTTCAAAATCTACTCTCATAAAATTGGATTAGAGAGGAGTCCTTTGGTTTGATTAACACTGATCAAGGCATGTGTGATTCATGTAATCAGCAGCTAGCAGATCTTACTTTTTTCTTGATGAATTATGGATAAACACACTGCAATATTACAGTTTTAATCTCTGAATTTGCATTCAAAAATTACAAACAAAAGGAGAAGCCAATTATGTGCTCTGTAGTACTTACAAGGAGTAACAACAGACATAAAATCGAGAATTTCAGAAAAATCAGTACTCATTAGGAGTCAAAGCATAGGTTTATGTCTTCTGAGTATGGTAAATCATTTCTGCTGCTGGTGGTGATGGCTAAATGGGGAACTAGAAAGTGAAATCAATGAATAAAAAACATTTTAAGTGCTAACATTTTCTTTTTTTCTCTCTCTCTTTAGAATTTCACAAGTTATGGTATTGACAGCAACGTCAGTGCGTCTCCAATTGTAGTGCTGGATGACTTGGCAAAATACAGCCATTATACTTTGTGGTTAACTGCAAGCACAGCATTTGGAGATGGAAACAAAACCAGTGAAAAAATAGATGTTTATACAGATCAGGATAGTAAGTTAATACTTTTTTAGTGTTCTCTGTATATCAGTGATTTTATTAAATATTTATTAAATATTCTCTAACTTTAAAAATATTTTACTGTTAACTGGCAAAGTTAAAAAAATACCATTAAGTGTGGTTTTCAGTGCTGCAATATTTATCTTTGCAAGGAAGGTATTTTGATTTGAGTCTCTGAAATTCTAAGAACATAGAGCACAAGCCTCTGTGGATACAAGAAATAAAATTATTGTCATAACCTTTCATTAAGACTCTTTTCCTAAACAAATTTAACAGAAATGATTATTCATATGTGCCTTCAACTATTTTCCTTTTGATATTGAAACAAAAATGATTTTTAAAAGTTGTAGAAAATATTCCAACTGACATTTTCAGACTAATTATATTTTGAGCAGTTATTTCTGGTTGGGGTTTGGATGTTTTTTTACTGTAATCCATGCATTTAATTTTTTGCTTATTATCTCTCATAGTCCCAGAAGGTTTTGTTGAAAATCTGGTCTATCAAAACATTTCCTCATCTTCTGTAAATGTAAGCTGGCTTCCACCATCCCAGCCAAATGGCTTAGTCTTCTTTCATGTTTCTCTAAGTTTAATGCAACTGGGAACCAGTAAGATATTATCTTTCCTTACTTACAACACAAGCATAATTTTTGATGATCTGGAGAAATATACTGATTACCTTCTGAAAATCACACCAGCCACTGATAAAGGATCTTCTGAATGGCATACTCTAAGTCTTCATATAAGAACTGATGAAGATGGTAAGATTAAGATATTTTATTAATTCCTAAGGAAATGTATAAAAAAAACAAAAAAGAACTTTCTAAAAGAAAAAAAAAGTGTTTATTTTTTCTTGCCTGACTTAAGGTTTTTGTTATACAGTGACACAAACAACTGCTGCACATTTCTAAGACCATGAAATAGAATTTTTTATTGTACCTCATATTTTTCTGAGATTATCCTTGTTTTTCTCTTTCTTATTTCTTTATATAGTCCCAGAATCAGCGCCTGTAATCAAAAAATTTTCAAATCTCTCAACTACCTCAGTTATGCTTTCATGGGACCCTCCTGTTAAGCCAAATGGTATTATAATACGTTATGATTTAAATCTATTTGGGCCAGAAAGGAATAGCTCATTCTCTAGCACCGATAATTTTATTATTTTGGAAGACCTTCTGCCATTCACACTGTACAGCAGTTATGTAGCTGCCAGAACAATAAAAGGACCTGGTCCACCTGCTGTGCTTCAGTTCTACACAGATGAGTCAGGTGAGAAAATTCATTTGTAACCAGCTTCAAAATATCAGCCTGTGTTACTGCATCCATCTTAGATCTGAGCATCAGACCTGTTATGAAGAATTAATTTTCCATTGGTCTGTGAATGAAGAGCTTTCAGAAGAAGGAAACACTTCAAGGCAAGTGCTTCCTGAGTGCTCCTCCTCCTGCCACAGTGTGCAAGAGGAGGTCACATTCTGCATAGGATTACAAAAATAACTCCATGAAGAAATATCTTCTGCCTTTGGAATGCGTTATGGTTTGCAGAGTGTCAGGGATTTTGAAGCAAGCAACAGTACATTTCTCTTCATCCCCCCATGTAATTTAAAAATGATAAAACATGGAAATATTTCTGACACATTCACACAGTTCTCCTTTACATGGACCTCCTCTCTCCTGCATGGTAAATTACACATCTTTTAAACATATGATGTGTTGTGCTCCATATATGGTGTAGGAAGCAAAGTGTATCGCGTTCCAGTTCTATATGTAATGTGACTTCTGTTAAATGCCTTAGTTCTGACAGTAGGGATGTTTAAGTGATTAATAGATTTGTTAGATCTCTAAGAAGATCCCTTGCTGACTAAACATGTATTCTGGATTAATGGAATTTGTTTCATGTCAAAGAGGAAGAAAAGATATTGAAATAGCAATGAAGTATTGTTAGCTTGAATTCAGATATAAATGTTAACAAAAGCACTTATGTTCTCCTGCACGTCTGAAGTGTATTGTTTTGCCTGGATTATTTGTGATTTGGAACTCAATAACATTTCTCTTTTGCAGTGCCATTAGCTCCACCCCAGAATTTGACCATTATCAACTACACCGCAGATTCTGTGTGGCTAAAATGGGATCCAAGTCCCCAGTCAAATGGTGTTATTATGAGATATAATTTCAAGATTTATCAAAACAACACTGAAAAACTATTTTTTTGGGTATGTTTTTAATTAAAAGTGCATAATCTTTTAAAATATTTTGTCATAATTTAGGAAAAAAAATACTGCATATATTTTAAATGACTGTTATGCTCCTAGAATTATGAAGCTCCTGTAAGTTCCTATTTGCTAAGACAGTTTATTTTCCTCCCCACTATATCTGCAATTTAATTTTTCAAATTTAACAGGAAAAATTTTAAGATTTTAATATGCTTTGAGCTTCTAATGTTTCATTAATGGTGAGATTTATTAATCTTAATTTGTATTTTAATGTAAGCTTGATGTTAGAAAATTACAGAAGTTACTTGCTTTGTGGCTACCTTTGTTTAGCTATTTAGTACCTATTGACTTTCAAGATTCAAAAAAGCAGTAACTCCTAGTCATCTTAAAAAAAAAAGTAAAAACTGTTCAGAGGTCTTCATTCAAAAAAAAAAAAAGAAAAAAGAAAAAATGGCACAATAAGAACTGAATAAATTGTGACTGAAATAGATGCTATATAAATGTTCAGGGCCAGGATGGGTGGAGCTCTGAGTAACCCTATCTTATGGAAGATTCCCTACTCAAAATATGGGGGTAGGAAGTGGATGATCTTTAAGGTTCCTTCCAACTCAAACCAAACTATGAATCTGTAATTTTATGACATACAACATTTGATCAAGGCTTAAATCTGATTGCTTGCATGGCCTCAGGAAATGCTCCATGAACTGCAAAAGCAGCAAGCTGAGGTCAGGATTGGATCTCAAGCTTAGAAACTATATAGTGAGCCCTGCTTATCTGAGATGCTTGTAAAATCTGCAGGACAAGGCATTGCTGCAGTGAGGTCTGCTGTTATTCCCTTATGTGGAAGTGCTGGCATCATCCCAGTTTCTTCCATAATACTTGAAAGGCCACCGTGCACACATGAAAGAGGAACTGTGGATTCTACAGCCAGCTACCTTTAGAAACACATTCTTTGGGTATTCATAGAAACCACCAAAGATCTCTCCATCTGAGGCAGACTCAGATTAAATTAGAATACAGAAACGGGCTGAAGCACTTGAATGTGTCAGCTATGCCCTACATTTCTTCATGTTTTGTAGTGGTTTATGGGCAAGAAATTAGATTTAGGTTGTGGCAGCAAGGCAGAGAAATAAATTTATATAGAAATACTGTGTTTAGGTACTGTAATTCTCTGATAGCTTGGATCCCACGAGATGTTCATCAGAATTTCTTGCTGAAATTCAGCTCTTTCCTTGCTGTTATTATAATCTTACCATTTGAACAACTATGCCTTGCATGGTCTGGGAAAAACATATCCAAGGAACTGAGCTGAGGGTTTTTTGTTGTTGCAGTTTTGCTTTTAGTTTTAGTTTTTTGTTGTTGTTTGCTAGTTTTAACTCTTCATCAATCTATGTAGAAACTATGACCCATGACCCCTTCCACTGCAGAGGTGTAGCAATGTAGTAGAAGGTGAGAGGGGCTGATGTGAAGCTGGAAATGGTTTTCAGTATTTGACTGAATACTACTCAGAGTAGAAGAGGCAAAACTATGGCTGTAAATCTTCTGTTCACTTCAGTAGGTTCAAAGTGAAGTCCACAAGGTTTCTAGAGGTTAATTGTGTACTAATAATATTTCTTTCCTTAAGAACATTTCAGGTTCAAACCATGAGACAAACCTTGTTGGATTAGACCCATACAGCCCCTATTTTATCAGTGTCTCTGCATTTACCAAGCTTGGGAACGGCAATCAGTTCAGTAATGCTGTCCAATTTACAACAATGGAATCAGGTTAGATGTGACTTTTTCTAAGTTCTGTCAGTTTTAAATATATTAATATTTTTTTCCTTGTATGGCTGAACAAAAGTATTCCTCTTCTGTCCAAAGAAAACATAACCTAACACTTAGTCATTGTCTCTTGCCTGTGTAGCACTGATTCATATTCCTATTGTAGACTTGGTTTGAAGTCTGATTTCGGAAGTGTAGAATTAAAAATGTCCTCATCTGAAATGAGAGGCTTATATGGCTACTATAAATCTTTTAATAGCAACACAGATAAAGGGAGGAAAATTAGATAGGTATCAGTCTTTGCAGATCAAAGCAGCAATTCAGATCCCTGTGAAAATAACTGGAACATTAGCAGTATCGAAAGCAGCTGGACAAAAGATTGGCAAATGAACTGGAAATTATATTAGACAAATATAAATTTTTAACTAGTGTTTTTTATAATGTATTTTAGGAAGGAAGCTAGCCACTAAGAGTAAAATACTTTACATTCACTACAGAGAGCCTGTGGGTTTGTGAAACTGGTTTTTGTGCAAAACTGTAGCTCCTTTGCAACTCAGAGCAGTCCCCAGGCTCTGTAAGAGCTGTCAGGGCCGGGGACAAACATGGGTTAGGGGGTCCCAGGTTCCTTTACACTGTTAGCAAAGGGAGCAGACCCCAAAATAAAATGATCTCATATGATGACTACAGGTCTGCTAAGATCACATTTCCAGTGAAAGATTCTTTCCAGAACCTGTAAAGCAGAGGTTCTGGGAAAAAGTTACACCATCAGAAATCTGCACTGTCACTCAGCTGGTCCAGTTTGGCTGTTGGACCCCTGCAGCTGAAGGTGGTCCACCTCAAGAGCCATGGTCATCTATCAGTTGTTTCATTTCATCACTGACATTCTGCACTTCTGGTACTTTCTTCAGTTCTCTTTAACCAGTTCATAAATAATTGCTCTATTTTCAACGTGATTATAATATTTTCTACTTTCATTAATTTTTTATGAGCATTTAAAAAACAAATAAGGAAACAGATAAATAAGGAACTTCTGCTGTTGATATTGTTGCTATATATATGGAGTAGGTTTATGGAGTATGTATGTTGTATATGTTACAGTATACTGTATTAAAAAAAAAATGGGGAAAATATGAGCAAAAGGTTTTGTTGGGAAAACAAAACTGAAGCACACAGTTAGGAAGAAGACAGACAGATGGCCTCTTCTGTCTCAATACTAACATCAGTTATATTCACAGTAGCTGGAAATGAACAATCCAATTAGGACAAAGTCATAGTTTCATCCTTTCAACGTGCTTCTTTTATTAATTTGACAATGCAGTGTTTGACTCTTGCTCTGAACATTGGGTCTGCTTCTCTAGTGATACTGTTCTGTGACTACAATTTTAATTGTGTGTGCAAGTTAATCTTTGATGTCTGTGTATCCTTCAAGTGCCAGATGCTGTACAGAACGTTGGTTGTATTGCAATGAGTTGGCAATCGATCCTAGTGCAGTGGGACCCTCCTGCTTCAGCCAACGGCATAATCACACATTACATCATAGCAGTTGAAGGAAATTCTACAAACTTTTCATCTCATGATACACTGCATACTTTTAGAAATCTGCTTTCCAATGTTACTTATCAAATTAAAATAAAAGCTGCAACATCTGCTGGTGATGGTGAAGAACAGATATGCAATGCCACTACTCTTCCAGAAAAAGGTAAATAATTATTTAAGTTAATTTTTTAGTGTAATTTCAATGATGAATATGAAACAAGCAGGCATGAAGAGACTGCTTCAATAAAGGCTGTTAAATCATTCTATTGTTTAAATTTCTTGCTAATAGTGAATGAAGAGAAACAGGGCTTCCTCTTTCTCCTGTTTTAGAACACACCTAGTGATGAGAATAAATTGCCATTTTTAAAAGCACACTGAGAACATCTTTTTCTATGTGAGTTATTTTATTCATTTATGATCACCTTTTTTTTTTTATTCTATAATATCTGCCTTGTTCCTAGTATATTTAGCATATTTGAGATTGAATGTCTGAAAAAATTTTTGGAAGTGAAATTTTTTGTTGTTTTGCTTTTACTGACTGACAGTGGTATGAATTCATTGACAATAAAGCTGTTCAGAATTCAGGAAATTGAGAATTTAGCCTCTGCAAGCAAGTTTTGTAATAACTTTCCATGGATAGGATTTTTTAAAGCAAGAAAGAAAATTGTGAGCTAAATCCAAAGGAAAATGTAGACAGGTTTTCTGGCATTGAAGTGAAAAATTGTTACCCAAAGTCTGTCTTCCTTTTTCTCTCCACATACACACTTCACCCTTCACCTAATCTTGTCAGTGTTTTCAGTCGGCATGTGAAACGTGGAGATGATATTCTGTGCAAAATAGAGTCAGTTCTGTGTGACTAGCTATGTACCTAGCTTCTAAACTGAAAGTGGACAGGAGCTCAAATCTGAATCCAGGAAACAAAGGCCTGTTTCAGTCCTCCAGTCAGGGATGATTTTTACTCTTGGGACTATTTCTTGGGATTTTTTTCTTCTTTGGTAACAGTTAAACATAAAAATTTAAAAATTATGTTAAACAAGAAACATCCAGATAAAATTTCACTTTTCTACCAAATTACAGGATAAATTACTGCATTTAGCTCTTTTTTTTTTTTTTTTTTTGTATTAAGTGACATCTGTTTATACAATGGAGTTGAGGAGGCCTCTATTTCAGAAAAGCTGGATAATTAGAAAACACAGGGATGGGGTGGAGGAGCACAACTGTGCCCCATGAGGCTTAGAAACCAAACCTAGCTCTTGTAATACTTTATTACTGTTTTTGGATAAGTTAAAAGATGAGTTGCAGCACTCATTCTCATATATACTTCAAACGAAAGAGGGAATTTTCTCAGATCTGTCAAATAATAAACACAAGAATCTGTGTCAGCAACAAGGTTTTGGTTCAGGATGGCAAATGGAGGGGAGCAGCTTGGCCATGCAGGCTTGGGTCAGACATTGAACTTGGAGATCAGACTTACCCTTACTCTTAGATTTCCTGTTGCTAGCTTCCTGAGTGACATGCACCTCCACTGGATCCTTCTGGTCCACAGAGCCTTGGTCTCCCATTATGAGCTTTGATTTCCCCACTTCTTAAAATTAGACTTGTGGATGTGCATGTCTGAATGACTCTAGACCATGTCTGTGTTGCCAGCTGAGCTACTTCTGCTTTGGTTCCAGATCAAATGGATGAGCTCCAAATGAGGACAAGCCCCTTGCTGGCATATTTTGGCCAACATTGTGAAAATTGCCAGGGTTGTACTTTGATGACTGTCCCTCCTCCTGATACAGTCTATCCCACTAAAGCCTGGCCACATCTGTTATTTGAACTATCACGTGGCACATTCATACACATTTCTGATAAAAATGTTCAGTCTAAATTTGCTTTCTCATCAACAGTTCCCTTACAAATGCTGCCAGTTTGTGATCCCTGCTGGTCCCCTTCTGTCCAGAACCTTGGCAATTTAAGACATATGCCTGCTTCATCTGTCGTCTTGTTTGCTCAGAAACTTCTGTTCTTCAGCAGGGCTCAAAATCCAATTTTGAAAAGGCAAAGGAATTTTTTAAGTATTAGGGAAGAGCATACTTTTACACAACATTTGACAGTGTTGGCTGGAAATAATGTAGTTAGCTGAGCTGCTGTGTTTGATGCAGTTAGTGTGCTCCTCTGCGTTTCTGAGCATTTCTCAAATGCAACACTCAAAGCTTTCTTTTACACCACGGCTGCTGAACAGCCAACCCTCAGAGGCAGAGCAAGACTGAACTTGGGGTGGAGTTCAGACTTGGAGATAGTTGCATAGGAGGGATGTTACCCTCTGGTAACAGAGGACAACAGGAGACTTCCCAGGTGCTTCACACCTTGGAGGATGGGGGAAAGGCTTCTAGCAGTGTTAAAGAGCCCTGACACCTGAGAAAGTTAACTGTTGGGATTTCTGGGAAATTTGGGATTAGCTTTTAGTTAGTCCTTGAGGAAAGACTGAGAAAGCTGTGGATTAAGCCTGGGCTTTAGGGAGTGACTGGTAGTGTCTTATAGTGTTATAAAGAGTTGTGCTAGCAGGGGAACAAACCCAAACTAGACTTTTTTTTTTTAACAGTATTTGTTTTATGTGTCTTATCACTGGGAGTTTTCCTAAGTGAAGGATTTATACTCCAACACATGTACTTTTTGCCACTAACTCTGCACTAACCCTTTCTTGCTTTGTTGTTGCTTAGTCATATTTACAACAAACTAGTTATTATTAGGACATTTCCTTAGGTATGTGTTTGCATGAATTGTTTTGTAGTGACTGGATACTAGGAATTGGAGATTCATGGATGGGAATGGAAACAGTTTTATAGCTGTTGTCAGCTTCTTATTTATGGTGGTCTAAGATTAGTCACAGAATATGTAGCCAGCACTGAGTCACTTGCAATGCATTTATTTCTGACATAAAGTGAAATCGAATTTGGCTCAGTGTCCCACTGCATAGCATTTGACCTTTAAATTCTTGGCAAGATTATTTACCTTTTTGAGGTAAATTTGTTCATATCTGGGTACAATTAAACATGAATCATGAAGCTGAAATTTATGAGGAGATTAGTACTGTTTTGTGTCTAATCTAGCTCCATTGTCTTGGTAAACCACCTCTGCCAGGCTGCAGTATGTTATAAAAGCTGTCAGCTTTGTAGTGGTAGTATTAGTTTGTGATTAAATACATTATAAGGAATATGAAAGAGAATATAATATACATATACATGTGTAAATGAGTTAGGATTTTATGACTGAATAGATATCCTTGGATTATCTTCAAGATAATGCACATACTAAAATGAAATTTTATTAAGCTTGAGTGAATTTTTAGAAGCAAGAGACAGCCATGAAATAGAAGGAAACTTCTCCAAAAGGCACATCAAAACTATGAATATTCAGTTAACTGACAAATCTGAGGCAAGTGTAACAGTTGTTCCGTTTACAATACAAATAGAACAATTAAAAAGCCAGTTGGGGATATCCAAAGCATGAATAATAAAAAGAAAACTGCTTTTGCTTTAATTTTTTTCATTTAGATTTTTCTTTATAGACTGTTCATTATTTCATGAGAATATTAATGATATTGATTGCAGTATTAAGATACACAGAGTAATTCCCCCACTCCCCTTTACTGCTAGTCTCATACCTGAACACAGGCTTAGATGACATTGAGGCCCCCACTGTATTCTGGTGACAGTCCCCACCATTTGTTTTCTGCTAAACAGACATTCTTTCATATCTTACCTTTAAAAGAAATATGGCTAGAAATTTGTCCAAGAAGCATTTTTTCATTTAATCTGGGCTTCATTTTCAAGGCCATTAATAACTTGTAGTTATACACAGATGTATGCCTTGTGAATAAAGAAGAGTAGTGCCTAAAGGTGAATTGGTGATGGGGAAGTTTCTCAGGTCTTTTGGTGTGGAGGTGGAAAATTGGCATCATCTTTTGTTACATGTGCACAAAATGTCTTTACTCTCTGCACAAGGAATGCTCTAAAGGTTCTGGATTTGTATCTGGAGTATGGAGGTTCTCACTGGAAAATACAGGCTTTTTGTAATCAAAACTTTGAGAAGCACAAAACATAGCAAGAGTTTAAAGCCATCTTCACCATAAATCCTTTTCTCAGGATCTGTCAGTTCATGACAGCTCTGAGCTGGAGTTACATGATTTTCTTCATTAAGTAGTGAAGGAAATGACAGATGACTGTGATGCACTGTAAGAATATCTAAACCCATGCCCTCAAGTGGTTCTTAGGGCTGCAAGTGGGATGTGCAGTGCAGATGTGTTTGCCCTGGTGATTCTGAGGAATCAGCCTGCTGCAGAGTCACTCTATTGGAAATGGCAGAGCTTCAGTGTCCCCTGTCACTAATGCAGAAAAGGGCTGTGTGTTTCACATCTTCAGTCCCTGCTCCAAGCTCACATTTCGAAATTGTATTAAAGTAAAATCATCCAAAATTTGCAGAGTGAATTAGGAACAAGAATCTTTGAACCACTTCTTTCCAAGATAACTAATTTTTTTTCTCCAGATGTATTTTTTTTATTAATATGGATTTTCTTTATGTAATATGGTTTTCTTTACATCTTCTGATTAGCTGTTTGGTCCAAATTTAAGTCAATGGCTTTAAGGCTGATGGAAAATCTTCACTAGAAAAAAGCAGGATCACTTGGTTGCTGCCAATGAAATTGTACTGGTGTTATTTTTATAAGAAGGTTGATAAAAATCAGTGTTAAAAAGGAATTTTTGTCTTTTTTGTAAGGACTAGGTCAACTCTGCATTAATATATAAGAAATGGTGGTGACATATATGTACAAAGCTGACATGGATAGCATCTATAGGCCAAATACAATGTTCACTGAAAAGCAGTCAGTTTTAGTTTAATGGAAAGTTTGTACTCTAAGACTTGAGTACAGGCAGCTTTTCACTACTTCTCTTTTTAGCTTAAAGAAGTGCACTTCTCTCTAGATTTGCATGATTTGATTTTTCAGTACTCAGATCCCACAGCTGGAGACTGAGTTTTCTAGTGGGCTAAGGACTGAGAAACATGGTCCAGAGAGGCTCTTTTAAAACATACTCTTAACTGTGCGATTTCCTTTGAAGCATGTCTGATAGTGTCAATCCCAAGTCATGGGAAAAATAGTCTACAGTTTTTTACATCTTTATGTTAGCAAAATAATTTGGTTCCTATTCATGATGTACTTATTCATACTGAGCAGGACTTTATATCATGATGAGTCCTCCAGAAGTTAGCATTCTATGCTTCATTAATATTTAGTATGGTCTGGGTTATAAGCTTAACCTTCAATGGAATTCATTTACGTCACTAAGCTTTCAAAATTTAATAGAGATAATCAATACTGAATATTTATTTTCTTTTCAGTTATTTCTATTTTCTGAAGACTTTTTTTTGGTGTGTGCCCACTGCTGTCGGTTCTACTTTGTTCTTCACTTTCCTGCTATTGATGCTCTTAATACCGCCCAACAGACTTCTAGGCTGCCGCAGTTCTTTTAATCCAAACTCCAGCTACAAGCAGCTGTTCTGTAGGCAGACTTTTTTTTATTAACTTTGTTAGGAACTATGCCATATCATATTACCGTCTTCTGTTCGCGGCCCGTGCAGCTGTAGTTGTTGCTTTCCACAAAAGTCTCCACAGAAAGCCATAACCTCTCTTTTCTCAGAAGATTTGTGTGTGTGTCCTTTGCTGCCCTTAGGTTATCTTTGCATTGCGAATAAGGTTTTTTTCTACCAAGAGTTTTTGTTAGTTTAAACCAGTTCTACTGGCCAACTTCGACTTGATATGAGTGTTTTCAATGTGCTAGCACTTTTTCTACCAAGAATTTCCTTTCATTTATGTTATTAAATAAAAACTTAATCTCAGAGCAGTCCACCAGCTTTGGAAGGGCTGTTTAGCATTGTAGCCAGACAGGCATAGGGCCAAAATCTGCCAAACTAACTTCTATTTAGGTGTTTAGCTTTCTGTTAACTTCAGTGAGAGCTCAGACATGTAAATAGGTTTTAGGAACTTAAAATCCCATGTGGATCTGATTTCAGTTACTTTTCATTGAAATTTAGGCATCATATGAACAATGGTAGATGAACCTGAAAATACCTCATTTCTCTTCCACTCCAGAAACTGAGTTCACCAACATTTCATGGTTAGCCTCTCTGCCAGCTCCCTGGCTGGCTTTCAGAAGCTGGATCGAAGCTATTAAATGGAAAATTAGGTGGAATACATTGCACCAAATGTTTCAGACTTAGAAAAATTCCCTACTCACAGAGATGAATTATAGCAAACATAATACAATAGGGAAAGACTGTGAGATACTTAATGATGAGACTTAAGGGATCCTATGTATGATTCTAAGGAAATTTAACTTTGGGGTTAGGATGAGAATTCCCACTATCTAATCAGAGCATGGTTCTAAGCAATTAGTGTCTTAAAATACCTCAGTCACAACCTTTTTAGTGCCTTTTCTTTCAGAGGACCTTTCTGGAAATTTGCTTTAATAATACAATTCCCATTAGGTACATATCAAATTGTCACTGTATGAGAGAATTGATAATAAGTCTTTCTACAGTTCCAATGTGACCTGAAATAATAATTGAAAAATATGCAGTTTCTGACTTCCATAAATTTTAGTGTGAACAGTGATCACTTCATCATAGTTAAGTCATGTTTAGAAAATTTAGACAAGCTGCATGATTGCTCTAGGAAGCATGGAATGGTTTGTTCAAATCAGTACCATCTGTGGACAGAAAAAGTTGGGGGAATTTTAGTTATTCTTGAGGAATGGAAATCTGATTCTCCATGCTGGAGTAATTGTAATCTGTAACCCAATAGCATAGCTGTCTTGAAATTGTCTCTGAACACAACCACCAAGTTCAAGAGATACTGTGCCACTGGGTGTCACTGCTCTTCACTGTGGCCTTAGGACCAAACCTCTTTGATCTGCTCCAGTTTCAGTCACATATTTTCATTTGTTCTAATGAGTGATTACATTTATTTTTGATTTGTCTGTGCAAGGAAGGAGACAAAATTAGCTTGGTTTTAAACTGACTAACATTTAAGGCTCTGACTACATTTTAAAGGTCTGTAGGCAATGACAGAGAAAATTTTACTGTCAATTCTGCTGACTGACCCTTGATTTTTAGGTTCAAAATATTTTTTTTATGTGGGTCTTCACAAACTGGAAAAGTGACAACAAAAAATAGTTATCAAAATTTTTGTGTGAAAGTAGAAATGCTTGTCTGATTATCTGCTATCAGGATACCTGCAAGTTTATCTTTAAAAATGTTGGTTTTCATGTAGTGTTACTGGGATAATCACAGACATTACTTTCAGCCTTGTGAAGATAATGTGTATGGGCACCCCCAGTAGTCAGTGGGAAAAAGGACAGATAGAAAGAGAATCATTTCTCCACCCTCCATTTTTTCCCCACTTTCACTGAGTTTGTCTCTCCAAATATAATGAAAGCTCATGGAGGCTGGATTTATTAGAATTTTGTTAGTCTGTGGGAGAGCCCACAAATCAGAGCCACCATCATTTTGCCTGATATAATTGCTAGTTCTATGAAAGTTCTATGAAAAGTGTCTTTTCCTTCTTTACTGCAAAATTGCTAACTCTCAAATATTTTTTATTTCATCATCCATGTTGAAAATAAGGGAACAATATACTCCCCTTAAGAAGGAAAGGCCACTATGGTGTCTACACCATGGGCACTGCAATGTGACCAGCCTCTTTAACCTCACTTGTTTTAGGTGCAGAGACTGCACCAGGGGTGCACATTTGAGCAAGTGAAAGTATATATTTCCACCTTCTCACTAACACCCAGCAAATAACTAGTTACTATCTGCTTTATGTCAAACCCTAATTTCTGTGTTGGAATATAGCCCAATAATTAGTTCTCTCTTCTAGCCCACATTTTTCTTTATCATATTTGAGTGTGTAAGGATTCATACTTTTGCAGTACCTTAACAGATATTAACAGCTTACACTACAACACAGTAGAAGATTAATGGAGAAAAAATACAGGAATTTTCTGCTAATCATGTGGCATTTCCCTGCCTTTATTTTCCATAAACTAGTAGTCAAAATAATACATTTCTTATCATTTGCACAAATAGTTAATACAGTTTATAAAGTTTTTACAAAAATATTGCAGTGTTTTATTTTTTTGAAAGTTGATAAAATAAGTATTACATCTCCAAATCTGACCAAGCAAGAATAGTATTGCATGTTTTGAGGTTTTTTACTACTTTCTGTAATGCTAATAATAACAGAGAAAAACAACTTCAATTTTGATAGCACCATGTATAATGATGGAAGTTGTCTTTAGCAAAGATTCTTTTTATATAGTTTGCTGTTGTTCTGTGTCTGGTTAAGGTGTAGCAGGATGGGAGCCCAAGGGGCTGTTGCATGCTGTGGTGGTGTGTACTTGTGCATAGGAGCTCAGTGGAAGAACAGGGGAAGGCTCGTGGTTCTCTGCCTACTCCCTCTCCTGCAGACTCCACCTGCTTTGGGTTCATTTGAAGGAATTTTAATTTCTCAGCCTTTTCATCAGCACAGCTTTGTCTGATTCAGAATCTACATTTCTTGTTAAACATCCATATTTAATGGAGAAGTTTCAGCTTATTATAATGTGATGATTTTAATAAACAAATTGTTGCAGACAAAAGCAAAGATCAGATATTCCCATAAGGCTGAAAGAAAAGAAAAAGGAGTGTTTTCTCTTTCTTCTCCAGTAACATTGGTCTGGGATCCTTTTCTTCTTTATGTAAGCCTTGGGACTTCTTCAGTTTCAGTCTGAGGATGTATCGTGTGTTTTTCTTTTACCAGTGATACCTCTTCTCCCAAAGACTCTAAAGCACACTTTAAAGCTATGTGCACACAATGATTCCTGAGCTGATTTTTCTGCACAGTTTTTGCCATAGAGAGTATTAGTATTATCTTACAGAGTCTTAGAGATAATATTAGCTTTCTCTATGACTATGTGATAAAGCACAAAACCATATGTTGCAACTAGTCTGTGAAATCTGGGAGTACACTGCTGACTCAATATAGACAGGGTAAATGTGTGTACATGTATATGTATGTACATATATGCACTGCTTCTCTCTCATGGACATGAATATAACCTGCATATAAATAAATGGAAGCAAACTTTGTGGGAAGTTTGTTTTTTATCTTTTATTCAGCTCTTTCTCTTCATGTTCTGCAGGCACTTCTATAACACTAGACAAACATATTGCATGTCTTGATACTTTTCATTCAGATGGTGAAACAGGAGACTTACAAAACTTTCCTCAACATGTTGTTTGAGAATTTAATATACTAGCAAGAGAGAAGAGGACACATGAGCATTTCTAAATGAGAGGTGAAGAATGCCAGTTAGAATCCACAGTAAAAGATGCTATGGGTCGGCCAAAAATAACTTGTGTAATATTCCCCCCCATTAGCTGAGACATAGCCCCAAAAGTAGCAATAGAAATGTCATACCTCTCAAAGCTGGTCCTACATGCTATGCCTGAAAGAATTTTTCTTTTTTTCAAAAACTATAGTAAATGTATGCCACCTAAATATGTACAGTGTGATTTATGCCATTGGAAATATTGCTTATTAAACATATGAAGTTGAATCTTGGTATTTAGATATGCTTATTAAAATATTTTTTCAACAGTGGATAAAAGTAGCTGAAATCACTTCTCATTCAAATTAAGGTATCTTACAAGTGTTTTAATTTTTAGTTCCTAGTGCTCCCAGGGATATTGTTTTTTCCAACGTGCAGTCAACAAGTGTGACCTTGCATTGGAGATCACCAAAATCTATCCTTGGCTACTTTCAAAACTACAAGATTACCACACAGCTACAATCCATCCACTGCAGTGACTGGGAAGCTATGGAATGTATTGAACATGAGATGCATCAGTATTTATATGAAAATGTCATGTATGACTGGATAGAAGACACGGTGTATGGACTGAAAAAATACAGATGGTACAGATTTGCTGTTGCTGCCAGTACAAATGTTGGTTATGGCAGTTCTTCACCTTGGATTTCAACTCAAACCCTTCCTGGCTGTAAGTAAGGATGTCTGTCATGTCTCATAATGCTATAACAATGTGATGTTCATCTAAATAAGCAGGAACTCTTGGTAGAAGTTTTTCTTCATAGACCTATGACACTGGTGAAGTCAATAAGGATTTACAGCAACTTTATAACAACTCCTGATCTATTTTATATATATATATATATATAATGTGGGAGGTATACATACCTAACTACCCAACACTGATATTTCAATGGATTTTTTATATACTCTTTTATATTTACTGCTTACCCAACAACAATTTCAGTCCTCAGCTGTACTACAGGTGTACACTTGGTAAGTCTGAATTTTTGCTAGTATGACTAGATATGCCATTTTTCAATACGATTTTGCCTGTGGGGTGTGCCAATGAGAAAAAGTATTTGTTTAACTCTTTGACTAAAAGTCTGTCCATTAACATTGTAAAACTTTTCTGAAATTCTGTTGTGTGTTTTTGGCAATGGAATTTAAGCAATAGTTTCAGAGGAATTAAGATTTCTTTTCAAAACCGTATCCACCAGCAGAGTTTACTAATCAGAGCCATGTAACATGTACAGGATTGCCATGACACATATTAGAACTCTCATTCCTCAGCTGAGGATTTAAGTTTCCAAAAGAAGAGGTAGTTGTCATAAATAAGTCACCACTAAATATTTGAGAGAAAGGTACATGAAACATTAATTATTTAGGCAGTTGTCATGGGGATATATGGCTTTCCCTACCAGTTTGCAGCCATCCTAGTATAGAGAATATCTGGTCTATAGCCTCTGTAGAATGACTGAGAATCACCATGAGCTGCCTGGCTTAATCACAGCTCTTTCAGTCATTTCCCCTTACAAAGTAATAATAATGGAGCTACCAAGTACTTAAATGGCTGTGTACCAAGGACTGCTCAATGGTCCAGATATTTACCTTGTCCCACTCATATTTTTATAATCATGTGATATGAGCACAGGAGGCTTTGGATACTGTGATAGTTAACATCATAAAAACCTGATTTTTTATAAAGCTCACAAGTAGTCCTTTAGATTGAGAAGTGCTGGAATCAGCTGCAGAGTCATTCTCACGTGCACTTTCTTTCTTTGTCCAGTGACTCTTATGGGGAATCTCTGCTTGTAAATCAATGCAACATTTTAAATTAAGGAGAAGGAAAGAAAAAACCATAAACCCAGATGGAGCAGAAAATAGATAACAGAAGTTCTGCAACTCTTGAGCCAGCATCTCTGGGGAGATTTCTTACTATTAAATTGATAGAATTCAGCTGCTGATATATGCAAATACTTTCCATAAAATTGTTGCTGAATTAAAATAGTTAGGGATTTGAACTGTATGGAGAAGCAGTAAATGGAAACACATATAATTGCATAACATTAGAATGCTTTTTATGATTTCCTCTTTGGACAGTGATGATTTGGTTTAAGAGTGAGCAGTTTCCTATCCAATCCCACTGAGAAAGTGGTAGTTAAAAGTATAAACATCTCAATTGGCTGCACAAGCCCTTTCCACACCAACTCAGTGCAATTCTCAGCAGTAGGTCCTCTGTGTGTTCTAGTAGATAGTTTAAAAGTGGTGGGGTTAAAGATATAAAAGTTCCACCAGTTCTTCCAGCCCAAGTGCCTGGGTCTGTTGACCTGTATCCGTGGTGATGGAAGTAGGCAGCAATGAACTTCCTGTGAGTTAAACTGGTGACACACCAGGAGATAAGTTGCCTCTAAAACACACCACTGTAGAGCTGAGGAAGCATGGGCATTATTCCAAATGTCATGTCTTTTTCCCGGGGTAATGGCAATCAGCTGAGGAGGAAAAAAATAGGAAGGTGACATGGCACATCTGGGTAGCCAGCTGGCAGCTCCATCATGCTTCAGCAGCACTGGGAGCCTCCATGAGCAGTGGCTGATCTTTAGCAAGGGCAGGATTCTAGGCACCTTGTACTTTTCAAAGCCTAGTTTTTAGAAATACTGTTAAAAAAACCCCTCAGTTCTGCTCTTTCCTTTGCAAAGGCTACAACTTGTATGAGGAAAGAGAAATTCAGAATGCACCAAGCAGGTTCAGCACTCTGGGCAGCCTTGCATAGTGTATGCAGAAAACAGGTGTTGATCTCCCTCTCCTTTCCCTCATGGATAGGGCCAAGCATCCTCTGGATTAGCCTGCTGATACACAGCCAATATACATGGCCTGTTAGGGCTTAAGAGTGCTTAGCTGCTATGTAAAATACCCTGAGTACTTAGCCCATAAAATCAATGGGAGTTGTGTTTGCACATTTGAGGCCAGAAGTTAGGCACTGTTTCACTTGATTTTCAAGAAGTGTCTCTGTAAGACATTGCTTTTACCAAAGGTAAAGTTACCTTTGTTGTGAAATATTAGTTAAAGGATTTTTTTCTTCATAATTCATTAGGTTCTCAGAAATTTGTATTTCTCTCAAGCCTAAAGAAAATATTAAAGTATTATGTTCAGGAGGTTATTTATTATCAGGAGGAGGATTTAAGGTGAAAAGTGTTAGACTCATTTCCCAGAATATAAAGAGAAGAAACTTCATGAGCAACAAAAATTACATAAAAGAAATCCCAAATACTTTTTACAAGTTCTGAGGATTTGATTGTTGTGCTAAAGCAGAAATACCTATTTATTCTGACTATCCCATGAATAAGGTGAGGATCTTATCTGTTTATTTCAGCTCATTACAAAGACAAATGTATTTATTTTTTATTTTTATATAATTTGGCTATTATTTTCAAGATTCTTTAACTCATTTGCAAATTTCAAACAACAACAAAAAAAGGGCAGTGTTCTGTACTGAGAGTGGCTATACTTAACTCTGTGAAAATATTGTGGATTTTTAGTACAGCCCAGTTCTCACAGATAAACTATTTAGCTTTCTGTCTTGCACTCATCACGCTACTTTATTCCTCACAGGAATTGTTTTACTCTCGCATAAAGTAGTGTGATGGCACCATTGTTGTTGTGGCACCACTATGTTCCCTCACACCTGCACTTAACCCAAGTTTCAATATTACATTTACGAGGACAATAAGATGGCTGAACTTAGGTTTTCTAAGAGAAAAATAATCGTGGAGGGCCGGTGTTAGATGAAAAATGAATGACAGTGAGATCACTGACCTCGTTTTGGATCCCACACAGTTACACAATGCAGTGCTTTTTTGGTAAACTGCCAAGTCCCCTAATGCCAGGATATACTGAGGTACAAAGGAAAATCCCAGATATTTGAGTGTCCCATGAAGGCTGGGACATAGAAGTGTGGGGCAGAGGGTTATGCTTCCCTTTTCAGCACCTTCATTCCCAATCCCTGCAGATACCCAGTTGCTTGGTACTATTAAAGAAATATTTCTGTGTGATGAAAAGTAATGAGATTTCATGTCTTGTTATGTGTTCTTTCTTCTGGAAAGCTTTGCCCAGGAGAACTTGTTTTTCTTTGTTACATTTCCTCAAAAATAAATGTTTTAAAATAATTGTGGACTAATATAAGATATACCTGTTTAAAATTCTATAAAAATAACCTAGATGATTAAAAATTTAATAACTGAAGCACACATTTAATTTTTGCTGGGAAAGGGAAAAAAAGAGATAATCCTAACCAAACTGGCAAGCATGAATTTCTGTTAGAAAACTGGAGTATTCAGTCTTATTTTTGAGGATTATGCTAAATGATGGGCTATCCAGACCTATCTTCAAACTAACACACTTAACTGCTGCCTTAGCATCAGGACACAGATGGATGGGAAAGATGACCCTGACCTCCATAAGACCCACATTCCTGTGCAAGGATAGAAGCATGATAATCAGGAAATGATGGTTATTAGTTACAGAAAATGCATTATTGTGAAAACCAGGAGAAAAGTGCTTATGAGAGGAAGTGATTGGATTATGGGGGAATGAGAGAATAAGACTAGGTCATTTCTCCAGAGTAAATTGCTGTGATTTATAAGAGAAAGGAGGTAGTGATATCATGGGTTCATATTGACCAGATTCATTTCACAAACAAACCTAAATCAGAATGCAGTGGTTATCCACTGAATCAAACACAGTTTTAAAAAAGATGTTTTTTGTAAGTCATAAGACATGCCAGATACCTTTAATTTTGTGGTTTTCTCCCCAGTTATACCTGTTATTTCAGAAATTATTCCTACATTTTGGTATGATCTGGTTAATGTCTGATATTTTACTTTTCATAATGAAAATAAACCAGGTATTAATGCTTAGATGTACTTTAGATAAGTAACTTAAATATAGCATACTCAATCAGAATTTTCTTGCAAATATCTACAAATACATCAAGTATAAACTGCATATGGAAATTAACCATATAAGCAACTGCAGACTGGATGATTTGTAGATTAGATTATGCTTTAAAATTATTTCATACCATCTAATGCATAACTTCGGAGTCAATTAGTTCTATAAACAAATTGGAAAATTGTCTTTGGAAACTTGGTTGGTTTGAAAACTAAGGCTCAAGAAGCCATATATAAAAATATATAGTTTTATACTGTTTTCCAGAAAATTTAATTTTGCAATTAAGCCAATAAATATCATTGCCATAGTTACTGGAATAATTGTTTACCCTGAAAGACACCGCTTGGTAACAAGCCTGATGTGCATTACTTGAAAAATAAAATTTGTGTTTATTCTAATTTGCAGGGAACTTGCTTGTCCTTGTATTTTGTTTTTCTGTTGTAGCTCCCCACTTGACAGCCAGCCTTCCCTGAGCACTCTTCTCCTTTACCACCCCTCATGTGCACTCACAGTTCATTCAGTTACGCTCTTCATTCAGTTGTTCCATGCTATTCAATATTTTTGGGGACTGCTTCCAATGGTTGAATTTGATCCTGCCTATAAAGTCTTGTATAGTCCTGCTAATCCCAGCACAGGAATCTAATTCCTGTATCCAACACCCTAAACACATCATAGCACCTTTCCTAATCCCAAATATTTCTGTTTTATTCTGCAACGATGGTGCCAAATTTTCACCTCCATGGTGAAAAATTTTATTATTTTCCTCATTAATCTTCCACACAGAACTGCAGCAGCTACATACTTCTTTCCATGTTCTTTTCCTTTTCCTACCTTGTGTTCTTCCTGAAGAGCTAAGTAGCCCTGTATACCTTCCAATTTTTTCCTCATTTAGCCCTCTTTTCTAATGATTGATAGTGGCAAACTACATATTCATGTGTTAATCATGTTTGAGAAAAGAGACTGCATCTTCTAATTAGCATAGGTATAATTGCTTCAGTAATTTTTTTATAATATGCTGTTAACTCATATGGATATTTTTGTGGTAGACTGAAAAGAAGGCACCATGAAGTCAAGTTCTGGAAATATGTACAAATATGTTGTTGTTTTTTAACAGGCTGTTCAGTGATGCTACAGCTGTCTTCTTTTTGTAGTAGATCCGAAAACAAGGCACCCTGGAGCCAAGTTCTGTAATTATCTACAAATCTCTTGTCATTCTATTCCAAATTTTATTTTCCTGAAGTTTAAATGGCTATTATGAAAAAATAATACCATTTACTGAGAACTGCTGAGATGTTATTATAATCTCCTTAATTTCTCATTCATTATTAAAAAATAACTAGGTTAATTCACATATCACCTCAACAAATTATATGTTCCAACAAATGTAAATTTTAGGGAAATCTAATTTCTTAATGTGAACATTCTTGCCCTCTTTCAGTTCTTACCACTTCTTTTGTTTGGGTTTTCTGTAGTTTTTCAACACGTTAAGAATAAATTGAAAGGAAATGTAGAAAATTATTTCTGCTTGTACCTTCCGATACTGCTGGAAATTTTTTCTAGATTGCAAAATATGATGTTTTTCCACAATTATTTTGTTTTTTAAATGATTAATTTGACATACACAAATGTATTATGCTTGTCTATTTGTGTAGATATTTGTATATATTTTGCTTGTGTCATGTGAAATAGTTTAAAAGAACTTGTAATTAAATAAACCTATAATCTCAATATAAGATGAAGTCATAGTCTATACTCCAGAAAAATTGTTGTGGTTACACTGGAAGATGTATTTCTAAAGTTATTTAAGCCGTGTTTAATCTTAACTGTGTGACAAAGTTTTATTTTCAAATCTCTACTGGCCATAGAAATTATACTGGGTTATTTTTTGTGCACTTCCTTGGCCATGGTTCACATGCACATTTTTTTCTACAGCTCCAGATGGTCCTCCAGAAAATGTGACTGTTTTAGCTACATCTCCTCACAGTGTTAATGTCAGCTGGAGTGAACCTGCCATCATTACGGGACCAACGAGCTACCTCATAGATGTTACCTCAGTAAGGCAGCTCTGCTTTATTCTTATTGGGTAAACAGATGCTTGGAGATATCAATACCACAGCAGATGTTCTGATAGAAATTGCAGGACAGACATAACTGGACTGAAAACCAGTAAATTATATAATATATAACAATATATAACAAATATAATTGTGTCTATTTCCACATAAATTCCATGCAAGAATTAATTGTACATTTATAAATTTATTAATGGGAGATAAGTTAATTTCTTCATATTAAAAGACATGTGCTAATAAGAGGTCTTGGAGGAAAAAAATGTGTATCTATAAAGGTGTATGGGAAAGCAGTAGCTGAGCTTCGTGGAAGTCGAGCTCTTTTTAAGCACAATGACTTCTTCGTCTTCAAAGGAATGAAAGGTTCATCGCAGTGATTTTACAAACCAAAGTAGAGAGCCTAGCAAAAGGAAATGACTTGTACAAAGTTACACGGCACCAGAGGGCAGCTTTAAAGTCTTTTAAGTCAAACTAGATTTCCCTCTTTGCACTTGGTGCTCTGTCCATCAGATTAGCTGTATTTTGGTAGCACAGTAATAACACTTCTCTCTCCTTGATCTTTATAACCAAAAAAAGCTGACATAAGACAAAAACTCCAGTGGCTTTTCTCTTTTCATCCTCTACTGCACTTACAAAACTCCTTAAAATCGCCATTAATAAACCCCATTTCCTGCCCTGCAGCAAGATAGGCATCTTTCTAAAGTCAAGCACATGAGAAGTAGGATATAGGTTCCATGTTCTGCCAGGAACAGACAGGGCTATAGCTGAAAATAGGAAGCAGTTTATCAGACATTACCTAGAAAAAATTGCCGTTTTCAGTTTCAAAAATTTTGAATCAATCTGTTAGATAGTAGGAAAAAAAATTAAAATCTTCAAACTATTTAAGGCCTTTAAACAGAAGGTTTTCTGAGAATAGAGTATGACAATATGTGCATATTTAATTTCTGAATCTGTCATAAGAATTACAGATCTGCTAACATATTAATGCTGAGATATTCCTGCAATCAAAATATCTAAGGAGATCAGTAAAAAATACCAAATATTTTTAAGCTACTCAGAAAAAAAAAGGTTGATTTTTTTTGGGTTTAATATTTTATCAACTTGTACTGAAACAATTTCCTCTTCGTCTGATAATTCCAAAATTATAAATTATATAATCTCAATCTACACTCTGAAAATATTATCAATACCTTATCAATAGGAGTTATAATAAAATTCCTGAAGGAAGATGATCTATGGAATGTTCCAGGTGAACTTGCCAGCATTTGAAAGAAACTTAAAAAACTTTAAATCTTCAGTTTGGAGGACCAGTTTTGTTTTTACAAAGTGAGGTTTTGGGGTGTTTTTTCCAAGTATATATCAGCTAACCAGTTAATGTTAATGGATTCCTTGTAATTAGATGTTGTCTGTCTAATGATCAGTAACTACAGGTGCCAGTTCTGTAGAACTTAAGTACACAAACTTATTCCTTCTTAAAGACCAATAAAGCTGTCACAATCTTTTTCAGTGAAATTTTTAGTATATATTTTATTGTCCCAGTGGGAAATTTTTTATGAAGGCTCCAAATTTCACAGACTTCCAGTATGTATAACTTTATAAACTTTTATTCTCAACTGACTATCTTTAAATATTTATAAAAATAGAATCAGAATAGAACAGAATAATTCAAATTTTTCCTCTGTTATATACTAAAAGTTAATCATTAGTATTCATAACTGAATGTCTTAGGATTCTGCTTAAATTACAAGGATGTGCCTTGCAGTTTTAAGGATCAGAAAAGCTAAAAACTACTCCATTGTTTTTCCTCTAAGTCATGCTTTACTGTCTACTATAATTAGAAGTACTTCTGAATAAAATATTCCTGGAAATGGCTAAGGAAAATGGAACTTAGCCATTAAACTTCATGAAGAATAGAAATACATTCAGTGATGTAGTGCTGTGATTGTACTTCAGCTGTTGAATAAATATTTATATGCCAGATTTTTGATAGTCAGAGAGAAGAAAATATTTCAGCTCTTGATGGCCATCCCAGGAAATGAATGCCTGTTTAATTCATCAGAAAGTTTAGTTCAGGTTAATTCTCAGTGGGGATACATGCCTATCTGTCAAATAAATGGTATGCTTGAGCTATTCTAATGTTTTATCAGCTGCATTTAATACAGATTTTGTTCAGTGGGAAAACTACTGTACAGCTACCTAATTCTCTTTTCAAATTACACACTGAAGAAACAATAATAAAAACATGATTAACTGAAGCAGTGGGAATATACATAAATAAAATTTTGTAAATGATACTTGGTGAAACACTGGAAAAGCACCCATTTTTTCCTTTTTCTTCTTTTTGAAGCTACCTTTAGAAGTTATTAATTTGATATAAAGTCCAACACTGAAGATTTTTCTGCAGGGATACAGATTACTTGAGATGTAAGGAAAAGAGGTATCCACAATGTAATCCAACCCCTAGCCTGCTCTAACACAGAAACAAGTGTACCTAAAGTATTTCTCAAAAATTATTTGTTATCTTTTTCATATAATATCCAGTGCTGAAAATTGCTCATCAACCCACAATAGATTATTTTAGTTTATAACTAAATTAATAGTAATGGTTTTAGTTCCATTTTTAGGTATATCATTGCAGATCGTGTAATTTTTAATTGTAGTTGTTTTCTGTGTAAGTAAAATTTCTTTTTGAATTTTTGTGAACACTGTAAACAGTGGGTTATCTTCAATTTATAAACACCCTTTTTCATATTTTAAAGTTATTACTAGATCTCCTATAATCCTCATGTTTTTTAGACTGAACCTTAAATCTTTCTGGCTTTTCTAGTGGGAGAATTAATCCTTCCCAACTCTCTCATAAAAAACGAGCTTCTATTCTTCCATCCAAAGAAGAATTGAACTTTCTGCTGTTGTATCAATATTTTTATTGCTGCCCAGCTCTCTAGTTGTATTCCAAACAGTCTTCTGCTATATAACTGCTCATCTTCTGGATCTTTTGCCTATATATTTTTTTAAATTTGTTTGATGCCTATTTCAGGTCACTATAATTGCCCTGGCCCAGTGTCTCCAAGCAGGTTCAGGTTTGCTTGGTGTGAGACAGGAGCAACCAAAGAGCCCATTCCCTTAACCACATACTTGATGTAGTGCCAGAAAGGAAACATATGGGTTAGATGAGAGTGTATTCCACAGCACAACTCTGTACTCTTGGTATCCAGAGACTTCTTGTGAACCCTTCTATATAACTAGATAGGAAAGTGGAAGAATAAAAGTAAAATAAGATGTTTAAATAATAATTTCCTGCTTTTGCTGTTTCAAGCCTTGTAACAACTTTTTTTTATTTTACTATTTTTTTTACAGGTGGATAATGACAACTATAAAGCTCAGTTTTTGAAGACAAATGAGGAGGATAAAGTCTTAGCAATTTCTGATTTGAAAGCATTTACGAGGTATTCTGTAGTGATCATTGCCTTCACAGGGGATGTTAATGCTGCACTCCTAGAAGGCAAGGCTAGTTCCCCAATAATTGTCTCCACTTTTGAAGCAGGTTGGTAATTTTTTTCTACTTTATGCAGATCAAATTTCACAGTGTTTCTTTAATTTGATAAATTCATGAGGCATTTAACCACAACGTGGGCTTTTAATACAGATTTTTCCTCAAGCAATATTTTTTCTTTAATATTTAAAAAGGTGTCAGACCACAAAAAAGGAATGGTTATAAATACTAAGATTTACCTTTAGTTACGCTGGGATCCTCCTCCATGTAAAATTTGGGTATGTGGAACACAGCCAACTAGGTTACTTCTGTGGCAAATGAAGAGAGAGGTTCTATGTATACATTAGCATGTATATATGAGACACCTGCCTTGGGCAGGGATGACCCACATGGAGGTATCTGTTAAGAGAATACTGAAAACTCAATACAACATCCTTGGTTTTGGTGCAAAATTTAAACATAAAAAATTAAGTGAAGTGAATCTTGCCATTTATAAATGGTATCTGTGCAGACTTGAGGACATTATCTGTGTATTCTCAGCGGAAGTAAGTGGCTAGTGAAGGCCCATAGGAAATTCTGCTTGAGTCAGCTGTTCCACACATTCTAAACAATCTGGAGCATGAGCTAGATATTAATGTGATAAAAGTATATGATGCTGCTAAGTTAGTCAGATAAAATAAAACTGAGAGATGAGATGTTACAGAAAAGTAGATTGCATTTGCACTTGCTTAGAAAACCATAAATAGTACAAAAATATAAATATGTACATGGGGAAGATATAGTCCTAACTTTACATACATAAATCATGGTTATGCTCTGTCTACTGTCTTTGCTGGTTTTGAATTGTTTTCCATTGTTTAAACAAACAAACAAGCAAAACACTAAAAATATTTTCTCAAGAGGTATTAAGTTCTGCTTCATTCAAACTAATTATCACCCGTGTATAAAGCACGATTATCTCTAGTAAGGTCTGCTGTGAAACAACTTATTTAGTTATATACTCAGGTTAATGTCAGATTTAAATGTACTACACAGTGACTTTATTAATCATTTTTGTTTCCTTTGATGTATGAAAATCTAAGATCCCTCTTGGTATGATACTATATATATATATAGATAGATATATATGTATCTCCAATGCTTTAGATAAATTAAATTCTAAGGAATTCATGACCTATTTCTATCCCTGGAAGAGGATATGCTCTTTTGCTCTGGAAAAAGATTAAACTATGTGGTAGCTGGATCTATTCTGAGACAGCATCCTGTAGTACCTTTTTTAGTAGCCCTTTTCCTTATGTAAATATGAGATACATTAAGAGGTGCAGTAACTTTAGAGAGGAACAGGTATTTTTTTCTGTCTCATCTTGTTTCATCTGGTTTGTACAGCTTAGCTTACAGCTTAGTTAGGACCAGTTGCCACAGATTTACTCCAGAGAAGCCTCAGTAAGCATTCTTTGGCTGGTATAAAAACCCTGGGAAACAGGATGACTGCATCTAAATCCTTGGCTGAGGGAATGTGTTTACCTTCCGTCATTTGATTTCACTATTTAGAGGTCACGCTACATACTTGTCTGCTCAGGTAGAGCAATAAATATTTAGCTGCCTGGAAAGAATGTTACAGCCTTTTCTTTCAGAAAGGGACATTGGAAAAATGATTTATATCTTCTCTGTCTTGAGAATAAGCTACTGGAATCAGTGTTTGACAAGAAAATGCCTCCAGAAAAAAATGCATGATGTGCTTGTGTCTGGGCATCAGCTAGTGGAAAAATTTTTCTTAAAGATTTAGTTGTGATAAGCAGAGACTTTTAAGAGCACAGTAGCTTGTTTATATGTTGGGAGGAGCTTGCTGCCAACAGGGGAATACTCTGCTTTTCTCAGAAAGGAATACTCACTGACTTGCTTCTTGCTTGTCAACCTCTGCAAGGATTTGTGTACCCCAGATGTTTTTCGAGGTAGAATGATGCTTTCAGGCTTTTTGAGTAGATAATCAGAAAAAAAAATTCTGAGTAGAGACTACTGAGTCTTGTCTAATCATTATTTTATAAGTTTATAGCATTCAGTACCATCAATAAGAAAAGGATTTCAGCATATATTTGATTTTTTTATTGTGTTTATCAATATTTGCATATGCAAGAACTATTTAAGAATTTTTAATAAAACCCAGAAAAAAATCAGTGAAATAATAGTGATATACAAAATACATAATTTTAGTTTTTCAGGTTTTACTCTAATAGTAATAGTAGTAAACTGATTAAGTGGGTCATTGAAATATTTATTTCAGTGCCTGAAGACCCACCTAACAACATAACTTTCCAGAAGATACCAGATGAAGTAACAAAATTCCAAGTAACATTTGTGCCACCATCTGAACCAAATGGAAATATTCAGGTGTATCAAGCTATGGTTTACAATGAAGATGACCCTGCTGCCATTCAGATCCACAACCTTAGTGTCATTGAAAAAAAAGATCAGTCAGTCACTGCCATGATAGAAGGACTAAAAGGAGGACATACCTATAATGTCAGCGTAAGAACTCTTACATTTTTGGGGGGTGTGGGGGTATTTTTTTTCTTTGATGTAAGTGTAAGATTAGTTTGAAACTTTGCTGAATATGAAGATTTTCAGGCCAAGAATGTTAGCTGGGATGCAAAGAGAGGCAAGCCTGAGGAGCAAGGGAAGCAATGAACAGGATAGAGTGAGTGGGAGCAGGATGCGTCACTAGCCTGGGTGATCAGTTCATGTGCTCAGCAAAACAATTTGTGACACATTGACAAGCATAAGACTAAATTTCACTCTTAATTCCAGTACTGGCATTGCTCACTGGACATGAAAGGCCCAGTTCTGTAAGGGGAGCTTGCCAGAAGTATGTGCATGAAGTATTTTAAAATAGTCAGAGACTGGGACATGAGAGGAGGAAAGATCATCCTTTAAGTGAGCTTGTTACTCCTTTTTTAAGAGCTACACTATAAGCAGTGAAGTGTTACCATACTCAGGATTTCAAAGCTAAAAAGTAAATTCTAGCCTTGTGTGACTGACAAAAGGTGTTTCAGCATTCATTGTTACTACAGATATATCCCAAATTGGCCAATATGAAGCTATTAAAATACTCATTAAAACAAATGTTTGTTTTTTTTAAGGTGTATGCAATTAATGGTGCTGGTGCAGGGCCAAAAATTCAATTGAAAATAACCATGGATATCAAAGGTATGTCCCATAATGTATACCGTTACTGTAATCTCTATAAATTCTGGAGAAATTATGTTCCATCTGTGAGTACACAGCTGTGTGCCTTGAGCTATTATTTAGAGGCTGCATAATGTAGGAACAGGAATATATAATTGATCCTCTTGAACTGTAGTGTTTAGTTTTGCTGATCATTTGCTATTTGTATCGTAATCATACTGTAAAGCACATGCAGACTCACTGAAATAATCATATCAAGTTCAATATTTTAGTTACCATCAGCAAACAGCTTAGAACATGACATAGAAATAGCAGTATCACAATTGTTGAAATAAACAGTCATTGACTGATATTAATTGAAAAATTAAAGCTCACCCATTTTAATGTTTTTTCTTTTAATTAAAAATTGTATACATAGGCATTTATCACAATATATTTTTTAGAGGCTTAAGACAGTAAGTAGAACATTAAGTCGTCCCTGAAAATATGCTGGAGATTTTTTTTCGCATAACTCATCAGTATGCCTGAACAATGTACCTGCAGTGAAAATATTGTAAAACAGAACTCTGTGGTATTTCTTTGCTTAAAAACAGAACCTCCAAGGCCCAAAAAGAAACCAGCACCAGTTTATGATACCAATGGAGCATTACTTGTCACAGCTACAACAATTACAATCAGAATGCCAATATGTTATTACAGCGATGATCATGGCCCTATCAAGAAGATACAAGTTCTCGTTGCAGAAGCTGGAGGTAGAATTTAATTAGTTACCTTGAAAACTGTTTTCACATTCAGGCTGTCTTTTTCATTTGTTTTCTTGGGTTTAAGTAATTTAATTTCAGAAGACAGACAACAAAGTCACTTCTGCTGTGGCAACAGCACTAAGGGCACCCAATACCTGTGGGCTGGGTACTGGATTCTGGGAATGCTTTCTGGTGAAGTGTCTTCCATGCTGTTTGAAGCCACCAATATTATTTAGTCCCTAATTCTATCACTATAGGGCTTTATTTTCTGTTTCCTTGGGAAACACCCCAACATTTGACATTTGTGAGTATAAATAAGGATGAAGGTTTTGGGGTTTGGCAAGGTTATTTTTCTGTTGCTATTAGTGTTGCCTGTAAAATAATGCAGCCATGTGTAGTTGATATTTCCATTTCATTATGGGAGCAGAGATAATTCCCTTCTGCAGACTGTGGGTCAGAATATTTATTCCCTTGTATGGGCTGATGAACATTTACCCACATGAACAGTGCTGTGAAACCTTTACATAATTGTTTACCAATGTGAGTGGGAGTTTTATGACAGGACATTGTATGGTCAGGCTTACTTTATCTAAGAAGGACAAACTCCAGTTATTTAAATACCTTAGATTTTACTTTGTTTCAAAGTATAGAAATAAAGTGTGCACATTAAGTGAACTCATCTTAAGTGCCTCACCTTTTTCTGAATTTTGCATTTCAGTACTAATCCTAATGCCACTTACTTCATAGCTATTGCTGTGAAGATTCTCTCAAACTGGAAGAAAAACAAACACCATGATAAGCAACATTGTGAAGATTTTTTCTCATGAGCTGCTGGGTACCATCCACATATGGAAATCTAGAAATTTAATTTATGAACAATCCTGACTATATTCAGACTAAAGAGTTTTTACTGGCTTTGCTAACTAGCCATGCTCAGTTTCAAAGCTGTCTTCCACAAGTAATATACTCTATAGGCAGAACTGCTGTGTGAAATTGCCCCTCAAATTTTCTAGACATGATTTAATTGGCTTACTCAGAGTTAGCAAAACATGGATAGTGTGGATAGTAAGGAAATCTGGGTTTAAGTACAAATGCAGTTATAGACTTAATTGTGTAAATTGCACCAGTAACATGCTAAGCTCTTATAAAGTAATTTCCTATGTAACTTCTTTAATTTCAGTCTGGTTAAAATGTAAATTTAATCTATTATTTCTTTTTTCGACAATAGCTCAGCATGATGGGAATGTTACCAAGTGGTATGATGCCTACTTCAACAGACCAAGGCCATATTTTACAAATGAAGGCTTTCCAAACCCACCATGCATAGAAGGAAAAGAAGATCTGAGTGGGAAAGAAGAGATATATGTCATAGGTGCTGATACTACATGCCTGATACCAGGCAGTCAAGACAAAATATGTAATGGCCCACTGAAACCAAGAAAGCAGTACCTGTAAGTACATTTGTCTCCATGTTTGTCCAAGAGACAGACTTAAGTGCAACACAGATTTATGTAAACACTCAAATAGTTAATAATAATAATATATAAAAAATAATATATTTTTATATATATACAAAAGTAATAATATATAGTTAAATTAGAAGAGGAGGAGACTGAACTGATCATCATATGGATCTAATTTTAATTTTTTGGCGGAGCATAGATATGGGAGACAAATTTTTAACAAAATTTTTCAAGCAAAAGAAGATGCTTATTGAGTTATTAAATGAAATAAATCCAAATTCAAGATAAGTAATTCACATTGGGGTTTTTTTATATGTTTAAGATTTTGACACTGAGTTCTTGATAACTGTCATAATGTCACTTTTGCAGGTTATTAATGATTTTAAATATATTATACTAAACTTAAATATATTATTTTTGTTTGTAAATGAAGCCATATTTAAGAAAAGGCACTTAAACTTTATTTCATTAGTTTTCCTGGTTTTCTTTCACAGATTTAAATTCAGAGCAACCAACATTAAGGGGCAGTTTACAGATTCTGACTATTCTGACCCTGTCAAAACATTGGGTAAGAAGAATGTAATTTACTAAAGTATTTCTCTATTTCTAAAGAGTCTACACAATTCCATGTTTCTTTTTAGTCAAGTGGTTTCCATAAAGTCAATAATCCCTGTGTTTGTTGGATGTAGCTTAACTAGAATGGCTGAAGAAATATATCCACTGCCTTATATGTCCTTTTGAGGTTGTCAAGAGAGTCTATGTGAGCCTGGACTGTTAAATGAAGAGACAGTATTGATAAAGTTTGTTTGCAGAGATTCAAGTATACCAATAAAAATGTTGCCGGGATAGTTCACATTGTTTGGCAAACAATAGCCAGTAGCTGTTCTGTTTGTGTTGTTTCCTTCTGTAGTGGATGTAGAACTAGTACTGGATACTCTTGGCTATGTGACAAATTGGCTGGGTGGCCGTGCCCAAAGAATGGTGGTTAAATGGAGCTCCATCCAGCTGGCAGCTGGTCCCTAGTGGAGTTCCCCAGGGCTCAGTATTTGGCCAGTCCTCTTTAATGTCCCTGTTGATGATCTGACTGAGGGGATCAAGGATACCCTCAGTCAGTGTGCAGGTAACACCAGGTTCAGCAGGAGTGTTGATCTGCTGGAAGTCAGGAAGGCCCTGCAGAGGGATCTGGACAGGCTGGATCAATGGACTGAGGCCAGCTGGATGAGGTTCAACGTGGCCCAGAAGGCCAATGCCATCCTGGCCTGGGTCAGCAATGGTGTGGCCAGCAGGAGCAGGGCAGGGATTGTCCCCTTGTATTTGGCACTGGTGAGGCCACACCTTGTCTGGTTCTGGTCCCATGACAGCAAGAAAGACATTGAGGGGCTGGAGCATGTCAGGGAAAGGCAATGGGGTTGATGAGGGGTCTGGAGCACAAGTCCTGTGAGGAGCAGCTGAGGGAGCTGGGGTCATTTAGTCTGTAGAAAAGGAAGCTCAGGAGAGATCTTATAACTATCTACCTAAATAGAGGTTGTGGCAAGATAGGTGTCAGTCTCTTCGCCCAGGTAACAACCAATAGGACAAGAGGAAATGTGGTGACAGGAGAGGTTTAGATCAGATATAAGGAAAAATTTCTTCACAGAAAAAGTGTTAAGCATTAGAACAGGCTGCCCAGGAAAGTGGTAGTCACTATCCCTAGAGGTATTTAAATGATGTGTAGATGTGGCACTTAGGGACAGGATATAGCGGTGGCCTTGGCAGTGCTGGGTAAGCAGCAGGACTTGATGATTTTAAAGGTCTTTTCTAACCTAAATGATTCTATGATTATATTCCAGTGAGCTTAATGGCAGGTCATCTGAGGGCATGACCATTTAGCCTTTTCATCCTTCAGATACAGACAAAGCTCCATATGAATTAATAAATTATTATTGTCTAATAGAATCCATCTGGTTCTAAAGTCACTAGCCAATAAGCCAGGAGTTATTTGGTCTGAAATCAAACATAATTCCTTCATGGCCGTGTTGATATACCCCCAAAATTGGGAATGATATGTCCTATAGCAGATTGTAATAAAATCTGTAAGTTATTTTAATATATTTATAAGTCAAAAACTTACTTAGCTAAGCTTTAGCCCTGACTTTCTGAAAATGTATATAAAAACAACTGGATGAGTACCCAGAAGAATTTTAGTGCACATATTTTTCATTTGGCATTCATCTCCTGTGATATGAGATCCCTTATTCATCTAATCCATTCTAGGAATTTTTTACATGATCTGATACTGAAGACCCTGAAATGCTAATTCACTACCTGAATATTCTAAAAGGATCTGGCACTATTTCTCCAGCCCAGAATGCTTTGGACAGTGCAACATAAAAGTTGTCTTTGTATGTTCTGAGCTTAAAACTTTTAAGCAAATGAAGGAAATATTTTACCCAGTAAGGGAAAGATAACATGTCCAATCAGGGAAAAAATTTACTGGAAATGAGTCCAACTGTATCCAGTCCTGTGGGCAATTTTCTCCTTTCTAACAGAAAAATCTGCAATACTTAATGGCAGGTGTAATTCATTGCCTTATGTATTGTTTCTGAAAACTGGTAACATTTTCCACCTTGTACACAATAAATAAGCAAGATGTGTTTGTATGCTGAATGAAATATAATAGGGATAAAACCAAAACAGGGATAAATTCCTCAGATATCCATGTCTCCTCATACCTATCCAATGCCTTCTGTGCTAAACTTTAACATAAAACACTGTTTTTTAAAGCCAGGCTACAACATACTTTTGTCTGATCTTAGCTTCTAAATTTCAGAGTAATTCCATTTTACATGGAATAGCTAATCCAAAGCTCTTTGAATGCTTTCTTACAAGTGCTGGGAAATCATCAAATTGATATATCACAAGTGATGCAGGTACTGCAGTTGAATGGTCCTGAAGATAGAGCACTCTCTTGAGAGGAACCTTGCCGAAGAGTTTCCTTATAGAACATGCTTGGTTATAGGAACATCCAGCTTGCTCTAGAAATATATCTCAGAAAACATGCAAAAAATCAGCTTTTATAAACTTTTGCAACCTAATTACTTCTACTGCACTCATAACATCAGCTGCTCTTCAGGAGAAATTTATGCTGCCTGAAATCCAAATTGCAATTTGATTTTAAATCAGTTAGCTTCTTTAGTAATAATCTCTGAAATTTGTGGGTTTCCAACATTATACTTTCATTTTATTAGCTAAAACCTTAATTTGAATTCTGGCAGAGGTATTCATAAAAGTTAAAAAAAACCCTACATTATTCAGGTTTCTAAATCTACTGATATAAAAGGCCTTTGATCTGGGAAAAAGTTAACCTTTTGGTGCAATTTAATACTACATGTTTGAAGCAGAAAAAAATATGGAAAACTTTGAGAAAGCATTTTGTGAGTCATGTCAGATACTCTTGTAAATAACAGGAATGTTTTTTAGGGAGGAACACTGAAGTAGAAGTTATGGGAATATACAGCTGCTGTAGTTTTTTAAATTATAGTAAAGGATACATTTTAATAGGTGCACCCACCCAAACATATTTGGTGTACCACAACCTTCCTCTCTCCATGTTAAATATAAAGCTGATGAGACAGGGAAAAATAGAAATAGGGTTTCCTAACACTGTGTTTTGCATAGAAACTTACCTTATGGTATTTTATTATTGCAGTTTGCTATCATCTCGTATTGAGTGCAGCAGTTCAGAATTGCACATCATGATATTCTTTGTTTCCTTTCCCATGCCCATGATTATCTCTGCAGACATGTCTGCTGAGATATGTTTAGTCCTCCCCTGTTGCAAAGAAGCATGAGAAAAATGTGGTGTTTTTAATTCTTGGTTGGCATTCTAACAGCACTGTTTTGTTTAATAACATCTGCATTTCTTGCATTAATGTTAGTTGTACATTTTAACATAGACTTCACTGTTCAGTGCAAAATAGAACTTTTGTAGAGGGTTTTTTTTATATTCTTCTGTTCTTTCACGTTGCTAATACTTATTCCCTATCACAGTGAAAAGTGAGTGGCAGGACTTTTTCATTCATTTTCTCATTTAAATTTTTTGTATGTACTTGCTTCTCTATTCTATTATCTTTACCTGAGATTAAATATTTTCTTACCTTGTAATGTCCGGTGTTGCATTTAAAATTTTGCTAATGCAGTGGAAAGATTCTTTCAGGTGTTTTTCAAACTATACTGAATTCTGTCATCTGTCACTTCATAAAGGCCTGATATTGATTATTCATGTTGGTGTCAGCCTACAATAATCTCACACTTCTGATAAATTTCTACCTAGCCTATTGTTACCTGTGCTGTGTATTATTGTAGCTGATTATTCCTGCCTACATATAGAACCATGAATTTGTTCTTACAAAATTTCATCCAACTGAAGTTTTAAGGTGACTTCTTCAGATAAATCAGGATCATTTTGAATTTTAATTGCATGTTCTTATGTACATCAGTCCAGACCATCTGCAATATACTCTCAAATCCAAAAATTGCAATGCCAAGGCTATGGCATTTCCCAATGTGTCCTTGGGACGACATTGTCCCTTCCTTGGGAAATAGTTTCATATGTCAGGAAGCAGTACATTTTCTCCTTCTCCTTGAGGCTAAATTCTCCAGGAGCTAAATTCTACAGTTAGCAAGTGAAGGTGAATGTCAACAGAAGCGAACAATACCAGCAGTAGTGTTCCCTCGCTTTTCTTATTTGCACTGTTGCCTAAAAGAAAAAGAGGATGGGTTTTGTTTTAGGTACAGGTTTACATGAAGGGTGGGAAACTAAATGAGTCCCAGAAATTTAGAATTAAAGAAGTTCGAAAAGACACCTAGAAACTATTAATCTAAATAGTTTATCAGTTTCTGAATGAGCTTTCATTGTCACTTGGAAGGACTGATTAGAATACCAGCACCTTTATCTTTCTATCATATTGGCCTTTATGATTACTTTTGACCTACTGGTGGTTATTCCTAACAATATCACCAATTCTCACATAAACCAGGAGCATGTGTTAATGGTCAGTGAGGCAGATTAATCCAGGAAGTTCAGTTCTTTCAGCACCCTTAGAATAACTCTAAAAATAACGTGTTTTATTTTGCAAGTGGCAGCTGCAAGTCTCATTGCTTTGGAGTTGTGCTCTTCCTTTTCCACTTGAGGAGCTGGGGCAGTCCTGCACAGGGACTGAAGCAGGAGCTGAACTCAGGCCAGCGTTCAGCCTGATGTTACTGCAGTATAAACTGACCTTAATCTGTTTAGCAGGTTAAACTGAAAAACACCAGGTGACACCTGCACATAATAGCTGTATTCAAATTATGTATTGGATAGATCAGCAATGCTTAGGAACCCTTACATAAACTGTTTCTGGTTTTCTTATACTTTCTGAAGCAGCTCTTCAACATAAAATGGGTGCAGTTATACAGAGACTAAAAGGGTCTGTCTTTCATTATTCCCTAATTTCATACTGTCAGAAATTTAAAAGTTCTGAAGAATCTATGATGTATTAGCTTACCACTTTCTGTTGCAGGTGAAGGAGTGACAGGAAGATCTGTAGAAGCTGTCCTTGCTGTTACTTTGTGCATAATTTCAGTTGTTCTTTTGGTGGCTGCAGTATATGCTTTTGCAAGGTGAGATTTGTGTATCCTGGACATAGCATGTTTGAAAACACTCAAAAACGGTTTAAAGAAGAGTTGAAACAATCTTATAAGTGGAACTAATCTGTACTTTCAAAATGTCTTGATTTTTGTTTGGGTTTTTATTTGTTTTTTATGTAGAACTTTAGGGAGAGAATCATAAAGAATTTAATCTAGTGAGGGTAACCCCCATAGAAGATGAAAGTCTAACTTCTCCAGAGTGTAAATCAGAGTGGTAGCCTTTCTTAACCTTTCAGAGCCACTTCTGTATTGACAGATCGGAGTGCCAGCTGGCTGTAGTGATCCTGATGGCTAATACTATCTCCAGCTGGGTATGAAGTAAATACTCTCAATTCTATCTTCTGTCTTCCTAATAAATTTATCAGTTAAATACACAAATTGAGTTTAAATTCAAATAGTGAACAAAATGTCCACGTAAAGAAGCAGGCTGTGTACTGCACACTTGATGTTAGTTTGCTCATTCATCAGTTCTGTTCTTACTCAGCTGGATTATTCAGGCATTACCAAAGAATTTTTGTTGGAAAACTAAAAGGGTGCAGCATGTAGATTCTTTCTTCTGAATTTTAGACAACATAAGTTCAGTATTTGACTAAATTACACTGTTAAAAGGGATACAAGAATAAAGGCCAAGGAAGGATTCCTGGCAACCATTTTTCAGTTTCAGCCTGTCAAATCAAAGTATTGACATATGTGTCCTTATATCTTTTGCATGTGTATTTTTCACTATTGCTTTCCATTAGAATTCGGCAAAAGCAAAAAGAGGGAGGCACATACTCCCCACGAGATGCTGAAATTGTTGACACTAAATTCAAACTGGATCAGCTGATCACAGTGGCAGACCTGGAGCTGAAGGATGAGAGATTTACACGGTAAGCGTACTCCTTAGGCAAAACAGTAGCCCAAAGGGTCTGTAGCCATGACCCCTTTCTGACCTTTGCTTGTTTGGAAGTGTTTGTGCTGTTCTTATTTACACAGGTCACTGAGATCCTTTTTCAAAGAATGACCTCCATCCTCAAGACACTTCTCACTAGCTTTTAGAAAATCACTTAATCTTAAGCTCTTTTTACAACAAGATAAAAAAACAAGTGCAAATCACTGCTTAATTGTGTTAGCCAAAGAAGGGTTACATATTTTAAACATGCAGAATTTCTGTTTTTTAAAGTTTTTTAAATTTTTTTTTAACGGCCTGATTTTTTTGTGTAGTCTGCAAATTTACACTAGCTTTCTGAAAAAGCCAGGCTCCTAGAAGTCCCTGTCAACTAATTCAAGAACAAATCAACTAGCTCAAGAACAAATCTGTCATTGTTTAATTGACATTTTTAAAGCATTTTTCTTTTTTAAAAAAGGGATTGGCATAACATCTGGGTTTCTGTGGAGCTCAGCACACTGGCTGTCCTAACATCAACTCATTTAAGGTGCATGCAGCAATTCATAATTCGTATCTGACAAGAAATCTTGTCACAGATTTCTATGAGAAGGAGAACTGCTTTTTGACTGCCAGAAATATTGTTACTATTCAACAAATAAATATAATGGTGATTATCAATAATATGTGACATCCAACTGTGTTAGAAATATTTGTGAACATTCTTCACCTGCTTGTATTTTCCCTGCTGTGTCACAGATTAAACACTGTGGTAGGCAGTCTCCTTAAAGATGAGAAGCCTAAAATAGTCTTGCCCTAGTAGCCAAATATCCTGCCCTACTGTTTCAGACTAGGAATAGTTGAAAAGATAAATAGTTGAAAGATAAAAGGTTGTAGCTGCTGACCTGGGGTTTTTGTGTATGTCTGTGTGTGGTACAGAGCAAGAGATTGCATGCACAAACCTGTTCGAAATAGAGCACACAAGAATGGCTGCTTGTAACAGATGAGAAAACATACTGGGAATCATCTGGAACTCATTGCCATAAGGGCTGGGCTATGTCCTGTGCGGGGCACTTGTTCAGAGAGCAGGATTTAGTACCTGCTAATAACAGTGCAAAGCGTCCTCTGAAGGCAGAGCCACTGCCAGTGCACTGTGGTAACTGTGCCTCAGATAAGTGATCCTGATGGATTTTCTAAACTACCTTGTTTCCACATTGTTAGCTGAATAAGAATCGTACTAATGTTGTTTGTGTACTAAAGTGTTAATGGATTTTACTTCCAGATACTCTTCATTTTTCTTTAGACGCAAGGAGATTTTTGTCATCCAGTAAGTTTTTGTATTTTTGAAGCGACATGGTGTGTTTTCCATTCTATTCTCTTCACCTGTGTGTTATCATACTATATTGAATGATATAATTAATCAAAATGAAATGTCAGTCTTTGCAGATATTCTAATGACAAGCAATAGTATTCTTCATTGTGAAATTGGCTATATTTTCAGTCCCTAATGTTGAGTTGTAGGAGTTCCACAACTATTTTGAAATAAATCAGGGTAATTTTTAAATGGAAATCATAAAACATTATGGCAATATAGCCCTGATATATGAAACAAAGGTAGTGTAAATATGTTATAAGAAACTTGCTGTTTCTTTCTTTTGGAAGTTAAGATATATATACTTCAGAGAAATTACTTTTTTTCCTCAACTGTCTTTTGTACTCACACTGCAGCTGTTTTTACTATGCCCCTACAATCTCAGCAACATATCCATGCATCAAATCCTTTGTTAGTTTGCAGATACCATTCTGCCACTTTTCTATCTAAATTTTGTGTATTTTTAATTTTTACAGTCTCAAATGCTAAACAGTAATTGAAAACCATGATATTTCATACTTGTGTACACTACATTATATGATTTATGCACAGCAAGACCTTTACTGAGCAATGCTTCAGCGATTTTAGTCACATCACCCTTATTTTAATGAGTCAGTCTCACATTTTGGTTTGCAATTTTTTCATGTCCTTTCATCTGTATTTTTCTCTTCCCTCCTTCCAACTGTCCTTTAATGGCCAAAAGCAAAGACTTTCTACTTCTGTCACTGTAAGGTACAGGACTCAGCTGTTAAAATTTTGAATTATTATTTTTCAAACCGTAGTGGCACTAAAGCTACAGCAGGCTCCTTGCCCAGGTCCTTTGTTGAACATTATGACAAACTGTTGAAGTGCAGGCACTAACTGAGAGCTTCTCAGGACAGGATTCATGACATCTTTTCATCTGGAAGATAGAAAATGTCCCAAGGTACTCTCGTAGATAACATACATATAGTAAAGAGGGGCAGGATGTCCTTTATCTATTAAAATTTTTTTTAGTTTATTTTGGCTTTTTTTGTTTTGTTTTTCAGCCTCAAAAATCTTTCACTATGTGTAATAATCTGTTCTGGTAAAGTCAATGGCCAAAAGGAACATTTTAGGTGTCTTTAGTGTTGTCTTTAATTTAGTTAATCTTTCCTGGTAATGATGGGCTCTATCAGGGAGCTGTCAGAAGCATGGCAGAATGTCCCAAGGCAGCTTACTGCAAAACTTAATGACTAAAATATTTTCATTTCCTGTTTTTAGACTTCCACAGTTGCACCATGAAAGAACATTTGTACCTGATACCAGCGGGGAGCAGCTATGCTTAACTCAATCACAGTCCCAGTTCTTGTGTTGACCCTGTCATTCTCATGATTTGTGGCTAAAGCAGTGACTTGTTAGCATGTTTAATTCTAGTATTTGATGTTGATGACTCCAGTCTAACCTTCACAAATTTCCCATGCATTCAGAATGGGCATCACTACATCTGCCCAGTGTACACTGGCCACATTTAGGCAGCTGTCTCAGCTGTGTTTGCAATGCTTGCTGTGTCTCAGTTTGTGGCTTTTGCAAGTGTATGAGGAGGGCAGAGATGGACAGATCCCTTTACCAGACTGGCATGTTTGTATTTTTCAGATAGCGGTAAATCGACTGAAATCTGGTCCAGCTTCCTACCCTGAAAGGGCAATAGAGAGTTTGTGTGAAAATCCTGAGTGAAAACAGAACAATATAGAGCTATTCCCTCTTCCACTGAATAGGAATCATCCTATTCGGTGCTCATTTCAAGGGGGTATTTTGGAAAACAGGGGGTTTTGTCACTACTCTGACATAATATCATTTAGCTGCTATAAATCAATAAAGGCACACACTTGCAGCTGACAGAGTTCATCCACAGAATCAAAATGCTCTAGTCTGCATCATGAGATCCTTCTTGCCTGTCTCTCATCCATTGTCTCTTCAGACATTCTCTCATACTTAGTGGATCATGGCTTATGATCTTGGCTCATATTATCAGAAAATTTTAGCAGCTGGTATCTCATAAGAAAAACAATAAATTAGAAAAAAATCTGTTCTATATGAGTATGATGAGAAATACTTTTCATCATTTTAGATCAAAAACTCAATAGCTTGAAGCTCAGCCAGTGTTCAGTATAGGTTAATCAAAACATATTTTACACATTTTTATAACTTTTTTAATATGAAGTATTTTGCACTACAAAAGTCAATTTGAGTAGGAAAAGAGAAATTTCAAAGCACCAAGCATTCCATTTGGACAACTTTGAAATTTTTTTGTGGGTAACTTTTTTTTTGGACCAGGAAATTAAAGGATAAACCCAAGTTCCAGTAGTAGTCTTTTAACATAATTAAAAATTGTAAAAACATTATTGACAAACTTCAGTGGCCAAAATTACTAATTCTAGCTAGTACATAGACACTCATTCTCAACAAGTCTTTGTTAAGCATTTGATCAATTGGATGTAGCTTCAGAGGGCATGCAGGGAGTTAAGTCCTACTGGATTTAGTGGAAAATGAGATGTTCTTTATGAATCCAAAATGTTAATTTTGAATGTTTGGGACATGCATTGCATTCCATGATGGTGGAGATGGGGTGAGACAACAGTAAAAAAAAAAACAACCTTGTTCGAAACATATATAGCCCATCAAACAGAACTGGATTAAACACTGTTTCATTAAGCACTCTCAATATACATCTACTGGATGCTCTCATTACTTGCCTTATTTACAACAGGTGCACAGGGTTTCCCAAGTTCAAAGCAGACACTAGTCTTCTGTGAATAAATTCTGTCCCTAAATTTTCAGGTTTGGTGAGATACAGCTCTTCCCTGTTTCAGGTCCTTACCTAGGAGACAACCTCTCTGGCACCCTAATTTTGCAGTGGTTTCCACAGCAAGGATAAAGCCATTTAGATGCCTGGGTTTTTTTAAATCTTACCTTGAGAAGTTGAACCTTGTGGTTGATCATTTGAGGCTTTTTTTTCACTCTATGTGAAACAGCTTGTAAAGAAAGTGGGGTCAGAAGAAATATTTCTGTATTACAGCCAATGTAGGCCCTGCAAATATCAGAATGATTATGGAAAAGTATTATATAGAAAATGATTGTCTGATCTTATCTGTCCCATATACATTTTGTAGGTGTCTATATTTGAGGTAACAATTTTGCAGACACTTTTCTATACACCAGCCTGATACTTTGTGTAGACAGACCTTTCTTCCTTAGAGTAGGGATAGGCATGGCTTCTGCCTTGCCTTTTTCTTCGAGTTTCCCTTTAGTAATCAGCTATTAAAAATAGGCTTCCTGAAGTTTGTGTTCCAGGAGAACAAGGTTTATAAATCTTTGTGTCCTGGTACAATGGAAGAAGTGACCATGTGCTCTCTTTCCTTAGGCCTTTAATATGTAGGAAGGGTTAAGCTTAATATTGCTCTCAATTAACTTGTTAAAAATTAGTTCCTCTGTTGGTCCTAGGAAGTGAGAGTGGTGCTTATGAGTTAAGCCTTTTGCCTACATAGTAATTTCTGTAGTTTTCTGGTTGGATGAAGTTTTAATTCCCTGTAGATTTCAGATGATTGACCCAGAGAGAAAGCTGAGTCTGTGTGACAATATGTCTTCAGTTATCACTGCCAAAACAAATAAATGGCTTCTTTCTAGCTCTATCATAAGTAATCTGAGTTGGATTCAGATTTTTGATAGTCTTCAAAAAACTCCACACATGAAATAATACACTGTTTTAAAAGAAAATCAGGTTTAAGGCTATAAAGCATTTTTTATCTTAGAGAATGTTTTTCTTTCCTCATTTCAAAGCCAGACAAGTGGGAATCTGAAATGGTCCAGCTGAAATAGGGAAATTTTCAACTCCATGGTTCGATTCTAAGTTGTGTTCATCAATATGTAGTGATATTAATATTTTTAAGTTTTACACAAAACACTGGCAAATGTGGATGACCATATTACAGATAGATGAGTATTTGTTCATGGACAAAACACTGTAAGATTATTACTATGTATTCCAATTCAAGAGATGTAGAAAAAGTACTATTTTTTTAAGCCCTAGAATGCTGAAACTGAGAATTGTTGAAAGTCTTTACTGAGAACAAAAAATTCATCCCTTCTGAAAATCCTTACACAACAAAGCCAACATCTTTGCCACAGTTAGACAAGTTAGACATTATCTTTCCTTTAAGCACTTTAATCATCTTATTTTCTGAGCTACCAAGCCACTGCTATGTGCACTTGCTACTAACAGAAATCTGACAGTTCAGTAGTTCTAAAAATCACTTAAATTCCTACAGCTAGGTTCAAGTGTCAACCCATAGATGCCTTGCTTAAAAAAAACTTATATGATTGGATCCATGTACCTTCAGCACTGAAACATTAAATGGCCTACCTGGATTGCTCATGTACAGCACAGAAGTAATTTTTATTCCCTAATGACCAAACTCCATTTTATTACTGCAAATTATATGTAGTAAGCTTTGGTAAAAATTTGAAAGGAGAGTATTTGGAAAATTACTGGAATGTCAAATGGGAAATTATTTTTTTCTGTTGTTCTATGGTGAAGATAGGAGAATTCAAAGAAAAAAGAAGTGTAACTTCCCTTCAGTCTACTTATAGTTTTTACCTGAAAAAAAGCCTGGAAAAAGTTTATGTTCTAGTCAAAGACAAATATATATTTGTGTGCAGTACTTTGGTACAGCTATTAAAAATCCTTTGTTTGTTAGGAAACTTTAGTTCTATCATGTTTCCAGTATTACTAGAAGGCAGTTTCATGTGCCACATAGCACAAACTTATGTGATACAATAAGCACAAGCTACATGTCTAAACATTCTGAATAAATAGTGGCATGCTTTCTTATCTTATTGCCCTCTTTTCCACTCTGAAGCTGTCCTTCAGCTGTCCTTAGTAATAAAAGGTAATAAGGTAAGCACCTTTATTTCTGTGAATACGTGTAACTCCAGTGAGACTGATCCAGTGAGGCTTTCATAGCTAGTTTGCTTTGTTTTAGGATAACTGTTCTAAAAAGGTATGTACCACAAAGGCATCCTTAGTAGCTTTGAAATTAACTTCTCTGATGCTCAATAATAAGTTATTCAACAATTGTATTCATCTCATTTTATCTCAGCTAAAATTTTAATAATTAAGAATAATTTCATAAACAATTTTTAAAACAATTTTTTCCTTTTCTACAAAAATTATGACAGCAATACAGTAGAAATTTGTATTATAGAATACTATTTGTAATATTTTCAGTAAGAATGTAAATTTGGAGGAACAGACACATAAAAGAGTTTTTTGAAGGAATGGGTTATCTTTTAAACTGAATTACTACAAACTTTTTTACTTGGTCCTTTAGACACGCTTTCTGAGTCTGAGTGCTTGAAATTTGGTTTCTAAATCCATTTAGAGGCAATTGTGACCAAGTTTCAATGCCATCTGAAAGTCCTCTGAGTATAGATGCTCCTGTACCACCTTCATGAAACCTGCTGTGAGACATCTAATATGTATCACAGTTTTAAAATTGACATATACAGAAATAGCTGTGAACATGTGAAAAATGAAGATAAAAACAGGATACTAATTTTTAAAATCTTTAAAAAACAACCACAGCTGTGGTTTCTGTAGAGGCATACCAGCATCATGATTCATCTGTGACTCATTTTAGATACCTGCTTCAAATGAGGTGAAATTACAGCTATTTTTCTTCATTGATTATAAAGGAAATCTAGAGTAGCTAAGAAATAGGTGCCTGTGTTTAGTCAGGTTGATCCTACCCTGATGCTGTGAAATGGCACTTAGAAGAATGATATTGGGTAAAGAATGCAAAATGAAGCCTGTCAATGTGTATGTAGTGGTGTGCAGCAAGCATGGGTTTTCCAGGGCCATAGGAGCCCAGAGCACTGTAAAGTGATCTAAAGAAAATGATAGAAACTGTAACTATGTTACACATATCTGCTGATACCTGAGATAAAAACTTATAAAGACAATCACCCAAGGTATCTGAGTTTGAATCCATAAGGGAAACCAATCTCTAAGTACATGGTATTTAATCTAGAACCTATTAAATTGCACAATATTGGTTAACTCTCAGCTTGCTACATTTAACAAAAATCTCTGTTTCAGGTTACTTAGTTATAGAAAATCCATCAAGTAAGTTTACTAAAGATTTTTATGTTGTGTTCATCGGTGAGTCTCAATGTGTGGTTCCCTCCTCTATGTTTATTAGGAAAAAAAACTCCAAGCTGCGTATAAATCATAAAAGCATGACTAATTGCATGGTAACTGGAGAAATGCTTTCTCTCTCTCTGGGGTGAAGCCTGCATGTCTGTGTTTTAGCTTGGGAAGTAATACAGGGTTATTTAAACTCCTCAGGATTTAAAAACCATGTCATTATGAGAATGAGGTCACTGCAATATTTTATATGTCTAAAACCTTGCAATGTGTAAAATGTTTTCTGTCTGACAAAGAAATATTATGTACCTTAGAATGCGATAATAAGTTTACAAATTTACTTTAATGTCAAAACCTTGCCTTGAAATGCTGTTACCTATAAAAACAATCATAGGTTTAGTACTGTTAGCAGTAGCAACATTAAACATTTTGTGAGGAGGAACAACAAGGGGGTGAAATGTTTCTCTTTTAAGTGATTTAAGAGAAATCAAATAAGCATGCTGTAAGCAATTCATAATTTTCTACCTTTAAGCGTCAATTTCCATTGAAGTGGAAAATATTGTTCATTAATAAACTACAGTTAAATAACAAGAATGACAAAGATATTGTATAAACCCTATGGGTTTCTAATTCTTCTGTCTTTGCTTTCAGGCCAATAAGCAAGAAATCCTTTCTACAACATGTTGAAGAGCTTTGCACAAACAACAACCTAAAGTTTCAGGAAGAATTTTCGGTATGTTGCTAGCAGTTGTCACAACATCGCAAGACCTTCAGTCGTTTCATGTGTCACATTTCATGTCCATTTTAAGCAGACAAGGCCATGAAGGACTCTGGCCTTGATAATCAATACCCAATTACCAGGTTGATTGTTTAGAAAGTAACAGTACACTGATTTGGATTCTGCAGCCTATACTACAACCTGGTCAGAATTATTCACCTTAGTGTCAGCCAAAGATGATCTTCTTTATTCTCCAACATTTCAAGACCACCGTATTTATGCTTTTACATATGTATTGCTGCATATGTAGATTACCTAGGAGCAAGTTATTTACAGTTTTCTAAAATATATGCATATATTTAACTGCTATAAATGTGTTTGTTTTCCTGAGTGATGATAACTCCAAAAGCAGAGTTAATGTCCATTCTGTAAAATTTTCAGGCCCCAGTCATACTGCCATGAAATTCAGAAATATTTTTCTCTCATAGAGTTTGGTGCAGAAAGTCAAAGGTTTGCACGTGGTACTCTGGTTTTTGTTCCTCTACAAGTTATAGGTCATATTTCTTATGCTCTTGAGAATAGCTTCCATGTGAACAGCCTCCATTTCCTTACATAAGCAGATGAACACAACAAGCCTGTCTTTCTGAAAAGAGCCTAATTCTCAAAATATACATTACAGATAATATAATGCATGTATAGTTTCAAATTTAAATCTGAAAGTTTTCACGATTTTAATTAAGTAATATTTTATGGCTATCATATTTTTTCCTCAACAATAACTTCTTGTTATTTCAGAATCTTTATCATCATTATCTTAACACATATAGTCATTTGCCCAAAAATAATTTGTCAGTGTCCACTGACTTTATTATTTTGGATTTATAAATTTACCATGAATAATTTACAGTTGGATTAACAAAAATGAAGACTTAACAACTGGCTTTTCTTCTGCTAGATTATAGTATTTCAGTTTCCAAGGGAACACTAACAAAAGTGTATAAAGATTAATGGTATTTCCTACAGGTTTTATTGTTATGCTCATTAGGAAAAATTGGTCTGGATTTAATAATAAAAAGCACCATAAAATTCTCAGAGCAATAAAGTAAGAATATTTTTTTCCTGAAACCAGAAGGTTTATTTCACTTGAGCAAGAATGATTATAGTTAGAATATACATGACTGAACAGATGAAAAGTTTTACTATCAATAACACTTTCACATATTAACGTTCATTACTAGAAAGTCTCTAGTGTTACTTTCTTTAGGCATGCCCCACATTGGCTAAGCCTAACAGCATTGTAATATCCTAAATCTTAAACAATAGTGTTTCATCAAACCAAAATCTTTGCAATCTGCTTAAAACTTAGAGAAATACAAGAAGCCGAGGTCTCCTTAAAACCATTTATATACTCAACCTATAATAGACAGTTTTATGTCATTTAGGTTTTCAGTCTTTTTTCTCTCTGAGGTTCAACTTCCATGTTTCAGAATGTAGTGATATCTTCCCAGATGTCTTGTCCCAAGGGCAGGCAGAATTTCAAAGTAGGTTCAGTCCCTCAATCTGAGTGTATCTATATTATTTGCAGCACATGTCTTAACAGATAAGTAGGATTGACAACATATTTGAAATTACATTGGTAATGGCAATTCTCAGGAACAGGCAATGCACCCAATAAGTAAGTAGATGATCTGCACTGATTTTATCGACATACATAATTCTACTTTTACATAAATGACTTGAGGGTCCTTCTGTGTGTGTAGGAAAGATCAGCTCAAGGCATAAACCCTTGAACATGATGCAAACCTGTATCTGAAGCACATAACTAAGTGGTGAAACAATGGAATGGGCTGCCTCAGAAGCTGTGAATGTCCTATCCCTAGAAGTGTCCAAAGCTAGGCTGGATGGGGCTTTGAGCTGTCATGTATAGTGGTACATGGGAAGGTGTCCCTGCCCATGGCAGCATGGGGTTAAACTAAATTATGTTAATGTCCCTTCCAACTCAAACTGTTCTATGGTTCTATGAAAAGCATAGTGCTGAGCTTGCTTGGGCTCTGCCAGTCTGTCTCTGGATGAGTAAATTCAAGTTTACTGGGAACAGAATATGAGAATAATTTACACAAATAAACTGCTAGTATATTCCCTGTGTTGTATTTGAACTCTTTTGCCTAGCAGTCTTCCTGGACAATTCCAAGATATGCTTTGGTAGGTAAAGTAATCTAGGGATAATTTACAATAATAATTAATATTTAAATATATTATTACTATATTATAAATATAATTTATAATAATAGGCAGCTTGTGCACAACAAATATGGTTTGGAGTTTTCCAGCATAAATGTGAATGAGTCTTCCCTTACTCTTGTGATTTCACTTACTCTTGTAATCCATGGACATTCCCAGTTTCATCTAATTTTCTTGACTGACCAAACTCCAGTACCAGGACATCTTCAGGGGTCAATCTCAGTTCACATGTGAACATGGCTTGTGGGTAAATGTGATGAGAAGGGAATCAGGACCTCAGAATGGACCCATTTCTTGTCAGAAAAGACAAGTTTAAAGAAGCCATAGGGACCCAAAGTAACTGATGATGGGTGTCACTTCACTGCTATTCAAACTTCCAGCCTTTCAGCTGATTCCTGCATCTCTCAATACATTTGGGAACTTTTGATTTCTAGTAACTGGCAAATTACTAAAACAGAAATGCTTGTATAATACTTGTTTTGTTATAAGTTGTGCTCATGAACAATAAAAAAAAATCCTTCAAAGTGTCACCAGTGTCACAGAAGTACTACAGTATACAAAATGCAAATTGTTTATTTCAAAGTTTTATGAGTTTTCAAGGAAATATGATTTCTGTGACAAGTTGTTACTGAGTCTGGGAAACCAAACTGTCTTTCCCCAAATCTGAAAATAATAGATAAGAATGAAATCCCTACTAATGCAGAGAATTGTTACGAGGCTTTTTAGCATTGTTCAGTTATGGAAGTCTCATTATAAAAATAACAAGATACTCTATTTCCTCTCTACTATAAAGTGCTGTACAATGCTGCTACTTCTACAGTAGTTAACTGGCAAGTTAAAGCTCGGAGGAGTGAGGCAAATGAGACAAGTTAAAGTTCACATGATATGGGATTCCATGGCCCAAAACACTTGCAAAATTCAAAATAGGCATTTTGTGTGTGTCCTTCCTTCATATAAATATTAAATGACAGAAACTTTGCAGGAGAGTTTCAGCTTTCTGAATGAGAGGAATTTTAACATCTCCAGCTTTAACTGTGTTTTACACACCAGGCTGACAAAATATTTGAATTAATAATGAAAGAAAAGCATTGTGATAAAACAGTCCTGGTTTTCCATTTTTCATTACCCCTCTCGTTTACTAATTTATTTATTTGCTAGGAGATTCCCATTAAACTTTATTCATAAAAGACAGACTGTCTCAAATACCTGGGCAAAAGGACATAATATTGAGCCTGATGGTAAGGCTGTCTGGCCAACTTTTAGAAGTAGCCCATGCAGACAGTAACTGCTAATATTAAAAGACAAATATGAAGGGATTACTCTGCACAAGCAGCAAAATTTTGCATTATGCTCATTCAAAGCAATAAGTAGACCTCTTAATTTATAACTTAGATAGACAGATATAAAAAACAGACTTGTGTGTAACATTTGTCAAACAAAACAAAATTCTATTGAAGTTAACAATGTATTTAGAATTCTGGATTTTTGCATCTTCTATTTTCTTAACACCAGGATCACTTTAACACATTTTCCCCATTAACAAGTTCTGAAGTTGTCTCCACTCTTTTAATCAACTTTGTAAATTATATCTGTTTATGCACACAAACATCCCCATCAAATAAGTTCCTCAGCATGAATGAATCCATCTCTGTCCTCCATTACTAGAACTAATGGCCAGTTATGAAACTGCAGTGCAACCCAAAATATCTCTTCCCACCCCTCTCACAAACAGTCTTATGAACAATAACTAATTGCCAGTTGTCTCAACTTAATTAAATTCTCATCAATTCTCATGCTGTACTACAAACTCTCCCAAGCTACAGGAAAAGGCATTACTCAAGACTAAGTCCAAGTCAGTAGGGCATGGTAACCAAGCATGTGACCTAATGAAAAAAAACAGAAAACTGAAAAAGGTGATAGACTGACTTTATCCAGGCTTTTAAAGGTGAAAGTTCATGTAAGCTTAATTGTTCAAGTTGACAGCATTGTCTGCAGTGCTGCATCACATCGCTGGTGTAACTGGGTTGACAGTAAGGTGGGAAACTCTGTAATTCTTCCAGCTGTTCTTAGAAATGCATTGTTGCAGAACTGTAGAGTCTTTCCTCTTCAATCATCAATCCTGGATGATTGTGTCATATTTAAATTTCAAGTGGAAAACTTCTCCAACAATCATTTATTCCTCTACAGGAGCTTCCCAAGTTTCTCGAGGACCTTGCTTCAACGGATGCTGATCTGCCTTGGAACAGGTCTAAGAATCGTTTCCCAAACATAAAGCCATGTATGTGTGTTCACCGACCAACTCCTCCATTTTGCTCTTTACTTTCAATAGTGTAACAGATATTTGGAATGCAAGTGGTTTTGTGTTTGATCTCTCTTTGAAATAGCAGTACAATCATGTCCACATTATGAAATAATTTTCTGTCAAGTAATCCGTCTTTACTTTGTGGGGGTTTTTTTTAAGACAGTTTTATTTGCAAGTAGCTTTCAACTTGCTCTCACAAGCTTTAATATGCAGGTGCAAGAAACTGTAGCCTCAATAGTTTCTTGGCTTTGTAATTCAAGCCATGTAGCAAACGCTTTAAAATTCTTCCTCATTGGTTTTTTTCCCACCTTTAGTAAGAAGCAGTTTTTTAAACATATAAAATCCACATGTTTGTGCATTCAGCTACCTCAGGAGTCTGGATATGCTTTCTTGTGGATATGAGTACATGTGCTACAAAGGTTCCACAGAAGATCAGAGTGGCTGTATGATAACTTATAAGCCCAGGCTAGATATTATCACAGGAGACAGGAGTCTGTCTCTCTATACTCAACACTGCTTCATTTTTCAGTTAATAAGACAAGAAATGTCATTATTATTTTAGGCATTAGCTGTGATGTGAGATGGAGTGCATGGCATTCCTGTGTTAATAATGCTACATTCTGTGCTATTAACTTTTCAGAGCAGCTGTTCCTGCAATCTACTGCCTTGTTCAAGACATATTCTAAGCTACAGTCACTAAAAATGTATCTTTGTGGCAGATAATAAAACATGAACAGATATGTTTCATAAATATTTAACTTTTTATTCTAATGTTCTTTACTCAGTTGAGGACCAAACACCAAAATTCGGGTATTACACACGTTTCTTGGATTTTGTAATTTCTGCATATGTACTGTGGGACCAAGAAACACTAACCTTTTCTTTTCCTTTTTTTTTATTTTTCTTTTCTTTTCTTTTCTTTTTTTCTTTTCTTTTCTTTTCTTTTCTTTTCTTTTCTTTTCTTTTCTTTTTTCTTTTCTTTTCTTTTCTTTTCTTTTCTTTTCTTTTCTTTTCTTTTCTTTTCTTTTCTTTTCTTTTCTTTTCTTTTCTTTTCTTTTCTTTTCTTTTCTTTTCTTTTCTTTTTTTTCTTTTTTTTTTTTTTCTTTTTTTAATGACTTAGCCTTATGTAAAAAAAAAAAAGTTAAGTTATGCAGAAATGCCAGAATATGGGTTAGTGACCTGGGCAGCAAGTATATAGCAAAAAGCTATCAGATCCCTGACCCTGCCCTCTGATTCACACAGAAGTTGTGTGTGCTAGAAAAGCATGGTTTGAAGTACACAGGCTCCTTTTAGGTACAGAATCCTCCTACACATACATCAAATTGGAGGTTTTGGCTCATTCACCATTTCAATTAAAAGGTATTATATATAACATGTCTGGAGCATTGAAGAAAGACCATAGAGTAATGAAAAAAGGTTAAATTACCTTTGAAATTAGTGTTCTACTCTTTCAAATATTGCTAGTGTTAATAACAGTATTTTTGATTTCTTAGCACTCCAGGAACACTTTTTACATGTTTTGTGGTTTTTGAACCAATCTTTTAGTTAACTAGACTTTACTTCCATGATAGATAATAACAACAGAGTAAAGCTGATGCCTGATGCTGGTATTCCTGGATCTGACTACATTAATGCCAGCTATGTGTCTGTAAGTAGAAAGTCTCTCGCATTTTTACTGTATTTGTTTTCTGGTACAAGAGTAAAAAGATAACTTGCAACAAAAAAAGGATTCTAATTTTTCTTTCATTCACTACAACCCTTGTTGCCATGACATTGTTCAAGTGGCCCCTGTGGCAGTAAACATGACAAGTTGAAAATATACATGTCCCATTTTCCTTGCTAAGCAATTATTTCCATAATAATCAGAACTGTCCAGAAAATTTCTTTTTAGAAATTATCTCATACCATTATCATAAAAGGCATATCAGTGGAATTCCCACTGAGGTCAATCGTTTAAATAGGTGTTATTTGGTCTCTTGATTCAGGAGTTAAAGTTTTTGTATATGAATAGGACAATGCAAAGACAACTGAACTAAAAACTTTCATAGAAATGGCTAACAGTTTTGGCATGCCCCTTATTATTTTGTGCAAGTTATGATGGAGGAAAATTAAATTAGGCTTCTCGAAGAAGAAAGTAATGTTATTTTTTGTCCTCATCTTTCTTCACAGACCTTCCCTCTTTGTTATTGTGTGCTCAGTAAAATCTTCATATATATTTTAACCTCATTTTTGTCCCATTGAAGCTCAAAATGTGAATTATAGTTATGCATCTAATTTCTTCCAGCAGTGGCTGGTGATCTTACATGAGGTCAAGACTTGATTTACATGAAATACTTTTTAAACAAATAGCAAAACATGAAGAGTATAATTAGAACAGACAACACAAAGGAAAATAGAAATAGTTATTTTCAGGTAACTATGAGACATTATAGAGAATAAGCAGTAGAGCTGAGAGGATCTTCCTTTCTTATTAGAAAATGGTATTTATTCCTATCATGTTTTTGCTCTGAGAGTTGGCAGCCAGGAAGAGCCATGCCACTTGATACTGGGACTATACACAGAATGACTGAGAAGGAAAGCAGAGGCATCTTGGAGCATGGTCTAGTCTTTCCTGTCACTGACAAGCCAAGTCCTAGGCAGGGAACACTAACAGCAGCTTCCAAAAAGCTGCAGCAAAAGCCAGCTACAGAGTGTTCCCTGCTGAGATTTTGCTTGTGTGCACATATGACGACCAGTCATCAGTGAATAAACAATTACAGTGTTATGGCTTCTCAATGCTAAAGTTTTGCCCTTTATATGCTCTCACTTTCCATGTCTGTAGATGTATAAATATATAAATGCATATAGCTGTAAACATGAAATATGTATGCGTATTTACATACCTAATTACCTAGGCTTATTTACAGATGCATGCTTGTTAAGAGAGGAAAATAGAAGTCTTGTACACATATTTTAACAAAAGGGAACTCTGCTGCTGCTTTGACTTTCATTGGTTAAACAAAGTCAGTAACTGAATTGTGAGCTTTGCATCCCTGAATTATAGTTTCTCACCTCAGTCTTGAACTAAGGAGGATTAATGTAGTTTCCCACTGCCACCTGTTCTTTATATTATAGATGGAGTAAATAACAGGCAGCTGTGAATTATAGGGCTATAATTCCAACAAGAAGCTTTGCTGGTGCTGTAAACCACTGTGTCAATTGTTTAGAGCAAAAAAGCAGAAAATTGTGATATTATAAACTGCTAGTTCTACAGCATAAATTTATTACTATTATGGCTATTGTTGCTATTTTAGACTTTCTGTAGTATATAATAGTTCCTGTAGGTGTATTTCTTTTCTCTGAGGAACCAGATCCGTGTGAAACCACGCACTCAGAGCATCTGTAGATTTTTTTCAATAAACTTCTTCTTCCGAAGTTTTACACCAATTTGTAAATTAACCAAAGAGCAGAAACCAACACTAAAATAAGTCAACACCTTCAGTAGGTTTCTTGAAGGCCTTTCATCAGAGATCATTTATTTCAGTAAGTTTTAGCCCCAAGTTACAGCAGGTCCCAGACAATCACCAAAGAAAGAGGTCATTAGTGTGTGTATTACTTGCACTGGTTCTCAGACTGCTCCTTAATTGTTTCCCTGGCTCCACTGCTCCTTAGAACTATTTAATTCTACTTTGTTGGCCACCTCTTGACCTAGTTCTTGGTAACTTCTGGCTGGATGTGCTGTAAGCATAATGTGAAGGCTTAGATCTTTTAACATGCAGTGACTATCCAGGCATATGCCAGTTCATTTAGTATGTCTGACAAGGTTTTAGCCTTAGGCATGGCAGATACAGGCACAGCTATGAGTCACATGCAAATCCTTTTGTTTCCTTGCCAGCAATTATGTATTAAATATTTTCTCTTTCTTAGGGCTATTTATGTCCAAACGAGTTTATTGCAACTCAGGGACCATTACCAGGAACAGTGGGTGATTTCTGGAGAATGGTGTGGGAGACAAGAGCTAAAACGCTTGTGATGCTCACACAATGTTTTGAAAAAGGACGTGTAAGTTACCAGTGAACCGATTAAAAAGCATCTGATGTAATTGGAAACTCTGTGTGCAGTTTCTGTCAAAATTATAACATGATAATTGTTAATTAATTAGTAATCATCTCCCTGCAGATAAGATGTCATCAGTACTGGCCAGAAGATAATAAACCAGTGACTGTGTTTGGGGATATAGTGATTACTAAATTGATGGAAGATATTCAAATAGACTGGACCATCAGAGATCTAAAAATTGAAAGGGTAAGCCAGCACTGGAAGTTGATTGAACAAAATTCATCTAACTCCCCAAAGAACATCATACATGCTATATCCCACCCAACTGCTCCCTCAATATTCTTCTTTTAACCTTTTAGTGTATATGCATTGTACTGCCTGTTTGTCCTGCATTTTATTTTCATTCATGTTTTATTTCCTGAGAATTTCTGTCACAAAGAGCTCAGATATTTGTCCAATATGCTGTGAAGGGCCTACTAAGGTTACTGAATTTCTGGTCTGGTGGGAGGTGAAGTTTCTACTTGGACACCTTGGTGTCTGTTCTAGAAAGGAATAATCCTAACCATTCTGGGATCAGGCAAATAAATCCCTTTGAATGTATCCCTCTCAGATTAAAGGGCAAGATTCTCTGGTGCAGCTGTTTTGCACTGTACCACCAGCCATTGGCCTCCACCCCCAGGAGATTCACCCAATATAAATAAGAATCATCAGTATTACTCCTACTCTTTGTGCTGGGAAGGAGGAGTAGGGCTTCAGCAGAGATCTCCACCTTTTTCATGACCCATTAGTTTCCACCCTTTGGAAAAAAGCATAACCCAGCATTAAATCAGAACAGCAGGCATGCTTAAAAACCAGTCTGGGAATAAAGACACAAAATTAATTCAGCTTTCTTCTGCACTCCCAGCATTGATCTGTGTTGTAAGTAGTGCAGCCAGATCCTAGGACCTGAACTTGGCTGTCCTAATGCAGACAATACCATCCTGTGGCATGTGCATGTGACAAAGGGCACACAGCAGGTAGGGGCTGGTCTCAGCAGTCGCTCCATGGGCATGTGTTGTGCACACAACACAGAGAAACTGAACATTAAAAATGATTGAGAGAAGATAAACCTTTTCTTTCAGCTAAAAATAGAACACAGAGAAACAAGAGTGGGAAAAGGACTATTTAGAATAAAAATGAATGCCAGTGAAATGCCAAGTCACTTGTGTTAAGGAGGGTGAGGCTGAAAAGAAGATAATCTGAACTGAGTGGGTGATCCATTCACTGTAGCTGAACTACCCTGCTCAAGAAGCTATGCCCTTTGTAAGCATGTCACTAAATGTGCTGTGTTGTTGGTTTTGAGGCTGTACAATTGCAATATGAAAGAAGTGATTGATTCAAAAGAACTTAAAAAAAATGAAAACTGGTTCATTACACAACAGTTGATTGAACTGTGGTACTCCTTGCTGCAGGATATTGTGAATGCTAAAAACTTACAGGAATTCAAAAAATTTGCATAAATTAGTAGAAGATAATACTGATGGGTACTATTTAATTTCTATTTACTGTCTCTCACTGAAGCAGTTCAGAAGTCACAAATGATTAAGAATGGAAAGGATATTCTGCAGAACTACAGATTCATTGTTGTCGTGTTTTATAATGTACCCTAATATTTTTTCTTGACCACTGCTGGAAACAGCATATTGATGTAGACAGGCCTTTGACATGATACTGTTTCATTTTTACATCCTTCAAAACTAGTCTGGGTATCAGATCATAACCTCTTTTTTGAGGATACTGTTGCCTCTGCTCTGATTGAGAGAGCACGAAAGAAAATATATCTGTGTTTACCAGTGTATGTGTGCTTGCCTTTACCATATAGGATCTGTCTTAGAGTGGTTGCTTTTTCCTGAACAAATTTGTCATTCCAGCTCACTAAACATCTAAATGAGCCATAGAAATGTCAACTTGCAATCTACAAAATACAGATATAATCACTGAAGTCAAATGAAGAGTCACTACTGAATTCGCTAATATTTTCTGAAAGATGAACTTGATGCCATCCCCAAAATACCTGCCAGAAGTTCCGTGAACAACAAATTATCCCTTCATGCCAGTAATCTTATAATTATTATGTTATTCTAAATTTACTTTTTTTCCATGAGGTTACGGAGAAGGTTACATGTACCTTACAGAACCTTCTGTAGCATTTCTTCTGTAAAAACTGCACTATTCTGTGCTTTTCAGCATGGAGACTGCATGATGGTACGACAGTGTAACTTTACTTCTTGGCCAGAACATGGAGTCCCTGAAACTACTGCACCAATTATCCATTTTGTAAAACTTATCCGTGCAAGTCGAGCACATGACAACACACCAATGGTGGTTCACTGCAGGTAAGTGTATTCACCAAATTATTGTTTGGTAGTTTCGAATTGTAAGTGCATAATAATGCACAGGGAAGTTGCCAGAACAGCCATGAAGACTGAGTGCACAGATTTGGTTTTAGTATGGACAGCAGTGAAGGTTTCTCTAGCAGTCCTTCTTACTCCTTTCTAAAAGGTAAAATGCCAATGCCTGTTCTTCCATTTATGGAAATCCATTGGGGTGACTCCAGGAAATAATTGCTCCAACAATTACTATAAAGTACTGCTGGATATTTCTCCAATTTCCTCTTTAATCATAAGAAGAGGAAAAGAAAATCACATGTGTTCATTTAAATTACTTCTATTATAATTAGAACTCTTAAGAAGTATTAAAAATATATTTGAAATGTACACGTCGCATATCATAAGGAAGAAACTATTTGAAGCCACAGAGAATGACAAATAGAAATAAGGGGTTTCATAGGTCAGATTTCAAACCTGAATGCCTATGAAGAGCTAAAGCCTATATTTAGGTCTTAAGTAAATGGTCTAGTGGTTAGAGGTGTTCAGATGTCATAGTTTCCACTGGTTTCATTAATACCCTTAAACTTCTGTTTCAAAGAGTGTGTGTGTGGGGAGGCCTATGTCTTCTGGAGACCAATGAGTGTGTTTGCATTTTTTGTGCAGTTCCCACTGAGTGAGTGGTCATGCTCCATAAGAGGGATCTGAACTCATAGGTCTGCTGCTGAGTCTTTGCCTCTTTCTCTCTTGGTGAGAGTCTGGAAATAAGTGGAAGGAAAAGATGGCTTTGATGTTACAAATCTTTTCCCAAACCATTTTATCATGCATGGCGGTTCTTTTTATTTGTCCTCAGCATCCTATGGGTACCACTCACAAAGGGTAATAAAGCCTTATTTAATATTGTTGTCTCTGATGAACATTTCTCTCTGCTGCAAAGGCCAGAGAGGCTACAACAGGAGAGAACAATATGGTCTTCATGTTTTCAGGACACTTATACTCTGTGGGGTCTCTCTGCAAGGAACCCTACATTGTTTTCAGAAGGGAGATGTGTAAAGGGGCCAGCATGGACCTGATACTCCACCTGTGCTCAAATTCCTGATGACTATATTATCATATCCAGAAAACTCGTTATTTTTAGCTCACTAGATATCTCAAGCTCAAGAGGTCTGCTATGTGTCTCTTCATTATCCACAGTGATACACCTTGATTTTATTACCAATTGCTGAGAAGTCTGATGATAATTTGGAAACAATCCTATTCATTATAAGACCTTGAAATAAAACACTACCTGTCAGCGTGTCTTGAACACTCATCCTTGTTTTAAAAGTATTTTCTTTTAAATTTTTTGCTAGATGCCATGTTGTAGCACCTCAAATACCAAAAGTATCACAGAATCCCTGTGTGATTTCACAAAATCTTGTGATTTTTTTTCCTCTCAATTAATGAGCTTCAGAAAACTCACAGAAAAGCTATAGGATATTTTTTCCCACTCAAACAGGTTTGGGTCTTATGAACATACAAATGAGTAATATCTCATTTATCTGATGGAAATGAGAAATTAAAAATTATGAAAATGTGAAATCAAAATTAGAAGCTGGTTGAAATCCAGATTTCACTTGATCCAATTCAGAAAGGAATTCACAAGATGTAAATACTGAAAAAAAGATTTAGGTTTTGCTTCAAAAGTTTTTCTTTTCACGATTTATCCAGAATATTCTAAGAAAATGATGAAAGCATTAACAAAAAGGCTTGATTTTATCTTGTTTATCATGTTTGCAGTGCTGGTGTTGGAAGAACAGGTGTTTATATTGCACTTGACCATTTAACTCAACATGTAAATGACCATGATTTTGTGGATATCTATGGACTTGTAGCTGAGCTAAGGAGTGAAAGAATGTGTATGGTACAAAATCTGGTAAGATTTATCTATCCTGTTCTCCTGTTGTTAAAAAATTAGTAATTTCTTCATGTGATCTACAAAACAAGACTAGAAAGCTCATAATAATCAGCTGTATAATACATTTTCTACCAAATCCTGCTTTTATTCATTTCAAGCATTGTGGAAATATATTGTCTGTATCCACCTAAGTACACTTAGCCAGCAGTTTTGACAAGTTCTGAAAAGAGTGCTATTTATATTTAAACCTAAGTAATGATTTCTGTCTCTAAGAAACTTTATTTTAAGTTTTGGGTGCTGAATGGATTCACTCATTTACTATTTAATTTGACTTTACTTATTATTTTACTGTATTTTTTTGTGTGTTTATGTGTATGTGGCATAGTCCACCAAACTTTAAAATATTCATTTGCCTTTGGACTCATTGATTCCTTGATTCTTTTTCAACTACTTCAAATGAACTAATACATATGGATGAATTTGATCACAGATTTCAAACTGTTCAAAAGCAATGGTGGATTTTGGGTCTAAAAAAGTACATTTCTGACAGACTTATTTTGTATGGAGATAATTCAGTGATGATCTGCTGGCAAAGAAGACTTCCTTCTGCTGTATCTGGAATTCTGAGTATATGTAAAGGAATAACAGAAGAATTTAAAGCTGATCCTAAATGCCCAGTGGGTCACACCCCAGGAGCAGGATGACCTGAGGTGTAACTAGAGCACTTGCTCTACGGCTTTTTGGCTGTGAGTCTGCACTCTGAGGAGACAAGGATGAGAGGGAGGTCTTTTGCATGGGATAATAGAGGATTTATTGCTCTGGGTAATCTTAACAGCTGAAATAGGGAGGTGGTTCAAAGGGAGGGTACAAAGCATCAGCTAATCAGAGATATCCTGGGGAGGGTAAAAGGCAGGGTTCACAAAATCATCCTCCAATGAGGGAGGTAGGGGGGGGAAAGTTGGTCACATGGACTAATCAAGCATCAAAGTTTAGGGGATTTCCAAAGTGGGATTCCAAGCATGTGGTGGACATAAGGTAGCATTGACAGGGGACTCAGGGTAGATTGACAATGCGGGGTGGGAGGGTCTCATTTGGACCAAACCATCAACCTGGGCAATAACAGAACATACCATTAACAAGAAACACCCTGAATATGCAGAAAGTGTGTCAGGATACACAAAGCAGTTAACCCTTCATAAGATTTTGTGGGATCCTCTGGTGATATTCTGACATGATGTGGCTTGTAAGCTGCAGTCTAAATTTTTCTTTTTGAAGTCTTGATGCAGCTAAATTGCCAGTACTTTCTTGTGATGATGAATTCTGTGAATACATTTTGGTTCTTGTTTTACATTTTTGTCTAGAAGTAGAATAGAAATAAATCAAAGGCTGGAAGGCAATTTAATGGGAGCATTCCCAAAATAAAATCTTAAAACAGTCAAACATTTGATAACATCATCACATGTTTTAAAATATGCATTATTTTTATGTATCTCTTCACTTGAATGTTTTGGCAGGGGCCAGGGAAAGGTGTGCCAAAATGCAATAAGAGATGATGGTGTCAGAGTTCAGATTTCCTATCAAATCTAGTATCCATCTGTATGCTAGCTGCAAAATTCTGAGATAGCCTGTTCTCTGTCCAGGTCATTTCTACTCATATTTGCAAGACTACAAAAGTCAGATCAGCAACAAAACTTGCCCAAAGGGAATCAATCTTGTAAAGTTTTATGGTGGATTCAAAAGTCAAGCTATTTTGAGAGTTCTGTTATAAAACACTGTCGAGTTACCTATTAATCAGATTTTATGTGAGCAGCACAGAAGATATAAAAGAGAGGAGCAATTCCTTCCCAGAACTCAGTATAGAAATCCCTCAGTCAGACAGTCTGTAAGATCTATGAGTAAAATAAATAAAATCTGATTGCTCTCAGACCTGTATTTTGCTTGTTTATAGCTTCAAAATAATGTTCCTTTTGCTAACAGAGTCATGATCTGTTACTGTAACCAATTAATGAGAATAGTTAAGATTGTCATTGATTCTGACTGGGAAAATAATAAGTTACAAATAAATTGCCCAGACAGCCTCCTTCACTCTCCCCTGGCAAACCCAGAAAGATTTTCATTGCTACATCACCAGAAGTAGCTGTATGAGTGCAAGAGATCACAGAGCTTTCAGTCTTCATTCTCAACTAGAATAACCAATCTAAACTCTACTGAAATTTAAGACCTTCATTCTAGAAATCCATATTTATTCAGCACCCATGTCAAAGTTTGTCTTCTTGTCAAGTACAAGGGCTAGTTTGAAGTAATGTCATGCTATTATTTCAGTAATAAAGTTATTGAAAAGTGTAATGGTGCTGCATGCTTCAGGGGAAAAGCTGTGAAAAGCTGTTTTAATTACCCATAGTTCTGGAGCTGTGACAGTAAAACTTATCCATGCAAGCAAATTTCTCTCATACATCTGAGACTCTTGAATTGCACATTGATGGCAGTTCTGAAACAAAATAGCAATTATTGGGCCAAAAGAGTACATAAATATTTTTACCTGTGCAAAAGTGAAATCTAAGAGTATGATTTTGGTGCCAAGTGGTTCCAAATCTGTCTCAGCAAGGTTCTGGACAACATGTTCTGGCTGACCCAGCTTGAGCAGTGGGTAGGTGAAACACCAGGTGGTCTCAAGGGGTCTCTTCCAATCTGAATGTACCTGGCTTATTTTCTGCATCTACATATGCAATACTTCAATGTGAATATATGCTTAATTAATTGATTGTATTTCTGTCTGTTTTCATTTCTTTATTTCATTCTCACATGGCCTTATTTTGTTTTCCTCTTTTCAGACTTTATGCCCTTGAAAGTGTCAAATTAACTTCAGTTGCCCACTCTTTGTGCTATCATGTGTTAAAAGCGAGGCTACAGCTCGAGGAGTATGACTCAAAATACTGGGCTAATTTGCTGCTAGCACTGGTGCAAGCTCCTAGAATGTATAGGTTTAGATTTACTTGAACTTCTGCATTTGAGTGCACCCTGCTGGTTTTCTCTGTGGTAGAAAGAGGAAAATTTTCTTATCTAGATATTACATTCGTATGGTTCAGTTTCTTCAGTTTGCATCTCGTGGAAAAATGTCTTTTCATAGAACAAACATTCACAGAAAATTGTGAAGTAGCCTATTAGTTTCAGTAACAATTAGTCTAATGTCATATATCTTACTGTTCATAAGGATTAAAATGTTTTGACAAATTTAAAGCATTATGTTTCATAATAATTGAAATCAGATCAGGCATATATGATATAATCACAAAAGTACTGAGACTGCTGAGTTAAACTGCAGTTACTTTGAGATTTTCTAGGTGTGTATAGAAAAAGTAAAAAGGTTTTCTGGTATTACAAGTACATTTTTCTTCTAATCAAACATCTTTGAATTCAAATTTACAGGCACAATATATATTTTTACATCAATGTGTATTGGATCTCTTGACAATCAAGGGAAGTAGTCAGCCTTTATGTTTTGTAAATTATTCAGCACTGCAAAAGATGGACTCTCTGGATGCCATGGAAGGTAAGGAGATATAGACTGTGTCAAAATTACTTTTTCACAGCAGGTGCAAGGACTTGTTCAGATAAGAAGCAGAAAAAAAGTCTTTTGACATGCATTTTTTGCTTCAAAAGTATAAATACCTGGCCTTTTGCTGCTCTATATTCCCCCTCACAGTAATGGTTATTGCTCAAGCTTTCCCCACATTTTTCCATGCAAGATCTTTTAAATTAAGTGAAAAACAGCTATCTGCCATTTGTTACCATTTGTTTACAAGGTAGGTTAATTTAATGCATCTGTTTCTTCTGCAGGTGATGTGGAGCTTGAATGGGAAGAAACAACCATGTAAATACTAGGAGGAAATATTACAGCAAAGCAGATTTTGAAACTCAAAGTCATATTTTTCTAAGCACAGGGGCCAAAGTGAATTCCCCTATTTTGTTGATTAAAAGAAACACAGATGATTGAGAATCTTTTTTTCTATCAATGTGCCTTCATAAATAAGTGGAAGTATCTTATTCAGAACACCGAGCAATAATGATTTGGAGTACTTTTGCACAGACTGCACTTCTGGTGTTATATAAATAGTGCATTCAGAATGTATTTAAAGTGTATTTGAACACATTCATTTTTTCCAAACTATCTTTGTAAAAGAAAAATGAGCCAAATAGGATGTAAAAAATTCATATTTCCATTGAACCTATTTTGGTGTGAATTTGCTGTGTTCTGTGTGTTTTGGTTTTAAGTAAAAGCTAAGGTTTCTTTACTTATTCTTAATAGATTGGCTTCAATGTTTTCAATTCTTGCAGATTAATTCCAAGACCATCATAATGATCTTTACCTAAGTGTATGTTCTTTTGTTTTGAGTATTTTTTTAACAAGTGGTAGTACATCAGCTTATGAACCTGAACAGCTGAAGAGTCACCTTCTGACATGGGGAGGATTATTCAGCTTTTACACAGCACACAGTAGCTCTTCAGGGACACTTGGGGCTATTTAAACTATTTTATAATCAGCAGGTTGGTTTTTTTTTTAAATACACAATGATGATTGCACATGTTCAGAGCAAAAAAAAAAAAAAGTGTTTTACATCTCTGCTACTTTTTCAAACAGATAAAACAAAGTAAAGCTATAAATCTATTACCTGTTACAATGAATGCTAGATTGACTTATGTAATAGAATGTTTAGAATTCATTCACCTTTCTTGTATATAACACTACTCAGCTTTTTTAAAGGTTGCTCAAAATTTAATATCAATGTATTTTATAACACAGTTGTCAAGTAAAAAAAAAGTTTTGCACCTTCCTCAGGTTTGGCAGATCACTTCAGACACTGAAAATTATGGGAGCTAAAATCTAGAGATAATGATCTAGAGATTTATGAAAAGAAAACCTCTTCCACTCCTGATGATGATGATGGTGATGCTTATTGGAAATAGATCTAAAACAGGAATGAGAGAAGCAGGAAGCTTCTGAGCAGAAAAGCAAAAATTAGTAGAGTAGGAAGACTAGAGATATAATGAAACTGTGTGCCCTGGTTTTATATGGAAGTGACAGTATTCAATTCATATTATTGGGTGGAAGGGTTGATTGCTAAATTTTTTTCAGGTAAAAAAATATAAGAGACTTTGGAACTGCCACCTTATATAGTGTTTAGACAGAAGAAATCAAAGCTGTCAGTTTAAGGCATCAAGCTCATGGAATTCAGACAAAAGTCTTTAGAACCTTGAAATATGTATGTTCTTGTGTGTGCACACTCTGAACAGAACAGCCAATGAACAAAAATTTCCATTTCTTCACTGCAGCTTTCAGACAGAAAATGCTATGCAGAAGGTAATGTGGTACTTTTCCAGAACTAAATGACAGTGTTTTTAGATACTGGCAAGGATGGTACAGTGAAGACCATTTGTCATTTCATAGAAAGTGCCATATATCTAAAATGAAAGTCAAAAGACAGCATTTAAGGAGGTAGAAGTGGTCTACAGAGATATTTGGGCAATCTGTCTTCTAGGAAGATCAACGGTATTGTAAACATCACCTGTCAGGCTAAAAAGAAAACAATGCCTTTTAAAGCTTGATAGGGGGAGAGAGAGGTGATGTCCACAGCTGTTCAAGTCTCTGGCAAAGCATTCGGTACAGCTCTAGTTTCATTTGGTTCCTATGAAACATGTGTTCTTCATTTATTATACATGTACTTTAAAGTATTCTGACAAATTGCTTATAGGGACTTACAGATGTTTTTTGTGATTTGTGGTTGCACTTGGTAGCAGTACAGGGAGCACTGTGATAAATTGACATTATAGAGTCATAATCTTGTATAGTCTTATATCCACAATGGTGGAGTATCTGGAGGAAAAAGATAAGCCTTATGCAACTTAGAGATGAACTCCAGAAGTTCTAAACATGCTTAAATGTTCTCTGGCTTTTATAAAATACTTAATGGTGAAGATTCCGTGCACTCTTTTAGAGGACCTGCCTACGGTTCCACTGCATTCAGCAACCTGCTTGCCTGACAACTTAGTAAGAGACTAGAAAATGTGACTCCCTTTTCTTTATGAAAGGTGATTCAAGTACAATTACTGTACAATTTGACATAAGCAATCTGATATATGCCACCTTGACACATTTTGTATTATCTATAGGGTAAAAGGCTATATTCAGCATAAACTGGCCACAATCCATAAGGTACCTGGTCAGGGAAAGAAGTATCTCCAAGCAATTCTCCCTAAGTACAGGTTTTTAGTACAAAGCAGTAGTTTGAACCCTCCTCTGTGTGTGCCAATACATTACAGGGATAGGAGAGCATCCATATATCAAGAAACTCCTCCAGACCTCAGTTCAGTTACAAAGGAAGAACTTCCACACAGTATTTTGTCTTCCATCCCTCCTTCCCTTATGAAATGACACCTATGGCAGTGCTACTGACAACACTGCAGAGCTGAAATCAAGCAGAATTTGTCCAGTTGCTATTTTAAGAATATATTTAGATATATGAAGAGGCTCATCCATTCATTTTTAATGTCACCACTCGATTTTCTACAAATTCTTGGCACTACTAATATAGCAAGAGTGTACTCTGCTAAAATTAGAAATGGAATGAATAAAAATTGGAGAAAAAGACAGAAATTCTAGAGGATTATTGAAATTAAGTCATACTGCATTAAATTATCTGGGAAATTTCTAGAGACTGATATGTCTCCATACAGAGAAAAAGCAGTATTTGTATTTATATATACATATATATATATATATTTATAGCTAGTTCTGCTGAACATCCTTACAAGAGACTACTGTCAGTAGTGTCCTTAAAGTACTGACTTGTTTTGTTAGCAAAGGTAACAGAAAGACAGGAGAACATTAAATTTGTGTTGAATTTAAAGCACTTCTTACACTGTTAAAAGAGTTGATAAAAATAATTGCGAGTTCAATTGTGATTTTACTGCGTATGTGGAACTACTCAGTAATTTAATTTCTTAATATTTGGAGAAATATTAATAATGTGAATTAATCTGTGTAATACCATCTATATATTGCTGCAGTACAGAGTATGATCATAAGCATTTACTAAGAAGTAGCAGCAATCATATTTCATGCTAAGGTAGCACAACAGGGAGCTTTCTCAGTTGCATACAGAAATTGAAAAGCAACCTAGATATGGATATGAATTTGGTGAGATTCAGGTTACAAAGCCCTGTGAAGTCTGTGAACAGAGGATATTTTTTCTGAAAATGTTTTGACAGCAGGTTAAAATAAAATTTGAGAAGTATACCTGTATCAGAGGGTTACATATGTGTTAAGCATAACACAAGATCATTGTCTGTCCATGGAAATATATAGTAAAAATAGATCAAAAATATTTTTGCTTTTAAGACATAAAAAGTATTTAATTAGCCCCTTGTTTAGAGGATATACACATGGTAATAATGAATTCAGAGTTATTTTATAATTAAATTATGTGTCCATTCAGTGCTGCAAAATCTGCAATGCATTGCATACAGTAGATTGTAGCTGGAAACCATTGAAACAGCACTGAACATGACTTTGTTGGTTTTGATTTTGAGGAGATGAGTCAGAGAAAATGTGCTGAAAGGTGATGCTCTGTTTCAACCATTTCTCCGTGACTCCGTGTATGGTGTCGAAAAAAACAGGCCTTCCCAACACTGTTCTCCATGTTTTCTTCTCTTTTCTAATGCTGTGAGTTTTATCTGTGTGTGACTATATTAGAATTGCAAACAGTAATATGGGTCATCTGAATTCCAGTGCTGCAGACATGATCTGCAGGTAGTGGTCTTACAGTTGTGTAGTGGTCTCACTGCAAACCTTCTCTCTGTCTCTTTCCTGTGAGTTGATTTCCAGATGACATCATGGACTATCAGCCCCATTTTTGCTCTGACTCCTGTTCAATACATTTCTGCCCTGCTCTCTCTGTGACTATGATTAACAGGCAAGTGCAAAGCTAATTCTGTGGTTCCAGAGCTGAGCTGTGTTACCAGAGGCACGTCTGTACAGCATCAGCTCTGAATACAGTTGTAAGGGTAAGCTGACTTCTCATCCAGAAATTCCCTTTACTGCTATAGTAAGTTCTGGTAAAATTTTAATAATGGGCATTGTTCAGTGTGAGCTGAAGAAAGCAGGATGGATTCAGTGTTTGATACTTTGCGTGGAGATTCTATTTTCCCAATAACTTTTCCCAAACAGTGTTGAACTAATTACTTATTTTAATTGTTTCTTCTCACAGCTCCCTTATCGTGTAGGCCTTTTCTTGGATTCTATGTAAACAAAACTGAAAATCAGTGGCTGTTCACCACTGGGTAACAGTATATGACAATTTCATAGACCCCACATCATCAGGCAGCTTGCAATGAAGCTGCGAGTCTGTATTTCAGTTGAAAGACGACATTTAGAAGGTTTCAGATATATTTGGATCATCTTACTCTGCTTGTTGATTGGTGTTACCAGGGTGATCTTTTTGTAGGATGACAGCTGCACCCAGCTATCCACTGTAATCATGAATAAACCGTTCCAGTACTCTTTACAGTCAATACTGTGAGAGCTGGGGGAAGTTTTACAAGGATGTTCCCAAAATATTTTGGAGGAGATGGAGTTCTGAATGATATAAAAAGAATACTTGGGTACTGGAAACCTAATATGCAGCTAAAGCTGTACCATTCACTGTTGCATTCCTTGAGGCCTGCTGAGCAGGGGGTGTGTCCTGGAACACAGAGAGCATATTTGGGACAATATAACAACCTTTGAGCTGAGTAATGCACGGTGCAGGAAGCTCTTGCCATCCATGCAGGAGTGAACTTAAATAAGCTTTACCATAAAATGCCCCTGGTTTACTTGGGAAACACAATTGCTGGTAAAACCTATTATGACAGCTGGTAACATCCTTTGTGATTCAACTTAGTGCCAGGAACCAAAGGACTCTATTTAGTCAATCTTTCAGTAATCTTAAATATAGGAAAATACCTTGACACCACAAGTGTAGAACATACCATATAGACAAGGAAGAATTTCTTCTATTCAAGGAGGCACAAGCAAAAAACTAATTAATGTCCCTCTCTTCCATCAGTCTGCTATCTGCATGTGCTCACCAGTTGGGAATAATATTCATTCATTCATTCATTCAGAAAATAACATTAATTCACTTTTAATTTGATTCTTGTATTGGTAATCCTTTTCTCAGAATCCAACATAATG